CCTTCTCCGCTCTTCTGTTGGCTAACCACATTGCTTATAACAAAACTAAGGCCTTTGAAAGTGCACCAAATCAGAGATTTGTACCTGAGTTGGAGTAAACAGGCTGTGGGTGAACCTTATATTGAACTGTATTCTGGGCACATCACCTTTTTCCTAGCTATCACACAGCAACCACTTTCTTGTGTCTATTTCTAAAGATATGTGCAGTGGCAAGAGCTGTGTTCTGCCACTCCCTTCTAGCAGACACTTGTCATAGCATGGCCCAGGGACCAAAGGCATCACTCTGGATCCCTGGACCAGGCCACACCCTGCACTGGCCCTGCTTTGAACACTCCTTGAGTGTTATTACTGGGTTAGAAAATACTTTTCGCTTGCTGCTTTATAGTATTTTGAAATCACTTCAAATGTTTCATAGGAACTGATTTAATAATGCTAATACTAATAATACAAACAAGCCTACTGCACAAAGGTATCCTTAACCCCTGGCCTACCTGGCAGCTAGTCAGTAGGCCAAGTCCAAAGTCTGAGGTTCAGTCCACACAAGCAAAGTCCAAAGACACAGTCCAGGGTCAGTCCAAGAAGCCAGGTCTGAACTCCAACAGTCAAGATACAATCCAGAGTCAAACCCAAAGGACAGTTTCTGTAGAGATCCAGGAGCATCCAAGTCAAAGTCCATCAACATGGGCAGTTGAGAAGATGCAGCGCCTCAGCTCTGCTTCCTTTCTGTACTTTGCATGCTGATTGCAGCATCTGGGTTTAACCCTCACCTGTTCCAAGTCTACTCCAGCTAAGGAATCATACAATTCCTTCCAGGGCTAGGGAACCCCACCTGGTTAGCTAGGACCTGGGCTGTGGGCCCTTGCCTTGCCTCAGCCTCCTAAAGCGCCTGTCCTGCTGATCCCTATGCCTCAGAGCCCGCTGTGTTTGTGGGAACAGGGGCCTCTCTGGCTCTAGGTCCTGCGGCTCTGGATCCTGTGCACTGACCCCCATTGCCTTGTCATCCTCTGTTACCCCATGAGCACTTCCTTCCCCGTCCCCCGCTTGCCCCGGTGTGTTCCAGTCCCACCTATACCCCTCACCAGGATCCTCTTCCTCCTCTCCATTGTCCTGCAAGTTCATGGCAAAAGGTGACTTGTTGCTTCTGGTCCTGTCCACCACTGGGATACTGGCCTCAGAAGGTTACCTAGAAAGAAATGCAGCCCTCATGTTGAAAAATGCCCCCCGCCCCTATGTTTTAATGTAGGAAATGTGGTGGTGCAGTTCCATATGCTAGGCAGTTAACTGGCAATTTACATTTTCATTTTAAGTGGAGTATGAAAGCTGTTCTCCTTTCATATGATAAGGGACCAGCTGCCATGTTCCATGCTGCTAGAAATTTTAAGGGAGTTCAACGCAACATATCAAGAGATACTCTCTCCACTAAGAGATGTTCCTCATAGCAACATGTCAATTCATGCCCTATTCGGGCTCAACTAGTATTCAATTGCCCAATGGTTAATCTAGTCTTGAATGAAAGAGCAGAATTCACGTTGTTAAATTTATTGTGGCATGTAGAGCAAAATGAGATGACATATCATGGCAGAAAATTGGAGCTGAGTTGATGTAGTTTTCTTAGTTTCACGTTTGCTTTTATTGTTGAGAAGCACATCTGTTTTCCAGGGTGTTTTCAGCAGTTTCCAGAAATTAAATCTAGTTTTTATTTAATTTGTGGACACTAGAAGAAAATGTTCAAAAACTCCTCAATACTGTTTTTAAGAATTGTGCTGTCCTTGAACTAGCTCACAGGGAAGTTGTACAATCTCTTAGGCTGTCAGACCAAGTCTAAGGAAGCATAGTTCTAAGGAATTTAAGCAAAATCCTTTTTTATACTCCCTTCTCTCCCCAGCATATATGCCTAATAGCCGCTGCCCCCAGCCCTAACAACAATTTCACAATCAATATAAAGGGTGTATTCGTTTAGGTCAGGGAACTTCATCAGGTTTGGCCAGACATACTCAGGAATTGTACAGTTCCCTTACTCCAAAGATCCATGAGCTTTCCTGAATTGTGGGCAAAATTAGAAGCAGCAGAGTACTTGGAGCTTTAAAAATAAGCTTTTGTGGCTTTTTTGCAGTGCTTTTGTGAATGACTCTTACAAAAATCAGAGAAACAGTTCCATTTTCTTAATATTTGCTTAGCTGTTCAAAACTGCTTCCCATCATTGACTAAGCAAATTCCATCTTGAAACTCGGCAAACAATTCAGTTCAGCTCTACTAGACATGCATTTTTGTGTTTGATACAAGTTGGAATCACTAAGGGCAGGAACGAATTGTTTTGGTGAGGGACTTATAGTGTGAGGAAATATAGTGTTTACTGGCTCAACTTACCCACTTGCCTCTTGCCTGTTGACACTATCAAAGATTTCTGAAGAGTTACTATCTAGTTTCAACTGTTCCAACATCAACTGTTCATCTGACATGAACTTGTCTCATCCAATATGTGATTCTTCCTGGTTGTGACTTTGATTGAGCCTGAGGTGTGCATGTGTGTAATCAGCAGTCATCTCTGCAGGATGATTTTTCAACAGGATGATTGGCAAACACCCTATGCTGCTCTCCCAGTATCTCTTACGGAAAACCAAGGGCACTGTTTCTATATGGATTGCTTTTCAACTGGGCTGGGGAAGAAAGTCAGTTCAGGTTGCACTGAAAGGCTAGCCTACCTAATTCAAACCTTCCAAAACAATACGTGAACCAAAACAGAACCATCCATTTAAAGGCACACTTTTCTAGCTGTTGCAAAGCACTTTTCCAGCCAAGTAATTTATTTTTAAGAATCATATACTTGGGTAAAATGTACATGCATCTGTTTGTGAAAATAGCATACAATAATGCATTATATGTGGGGGAACTGATTAGCAAAACTTGTGTAGTCGGCAAAAAATGCAGACAAAATGTGGCTATTAAGATAAATTTGCACTAAAATGCTGGTTTGTTTTCCTGAAGACTTTTTAAAAAATCACAAACTGATGAGGAAATGTGGAAAACAGAACCAGAGACTGGAAACCGAGAGAAACCAAAACTGACAGACTTGACCATGTCTACTTCCAGAGGGTGGGTGGGGAATCAGATCAGAGGTGTTTAAAATTATAGTTTCTAAGCTAGAATTCATGAGAGGAGGCATGCCTAGATAAATTCTTTCTTTAAAAAAATTATGTTACATTCTCGCAGGCAGGCCACTTGTGAAGTTGTCTAAGCAAACCATGTTTCTAAGAATCCAGCTTGTGCCTTTCCATTGAAATAAACCTATACCTAACCCATTTAGAATCATCTTTTGTCACCTTAAGAATGCCAAGCAAGACACATTTTTGTATATCACCCCCACTCCTGTTTCTCACTTGGACAGAATGCTAAATCTACTTTAATACACTCATTTTCATTAGCAGGGCTTTCAAATATCATCAGGATTTACAAAAGATTGACTATATTCATAGGCAATAAATAAAACTTGCACAGATGTAGCTCTGTGTCCTGAAGAGGAAGCAACTGTTTGTTGAACTGGGATTATAAATTCATCCTCAACATGAATGCTAGTAAGAATACAATATTGACATGCCAAATGTGTATCAACACTTCCTGTTAAGTTCTACAGCTTCAAGGCAGCTGTTTCCCTGGCAGTCTTTGAAACACAGATGTTAAACAGAAAACATACGGCAACTACTCAAGGCAGGGTGGGAGAGGTCCCTTGCTATTATTGCAGACATTTTTAGAGTCCACTCAAAATTCATTCAGCCTGTGGTATGCACAGCCATGTTTTAAGCAACACCTATATTAATAGTGTGTACAACAGTGGTATAAAACAGCATAGTTGTAATAGTGGTGTTTCATCTTAAATTTTGATGCTCCAAAATAATAGATGTGAACAATAATAAATTAATCCACTGGTTTTTGTGCTTTAGTACCAGTTGTTTTATTTAGTTACTAATAAGTTGAGCCTAAGCTGTGCCCTCAGCATACTTATACTACCTAGAAGCGATCTGCACTGTTAGAATTGACAGCATCAATTGCTTGTTGAGTGTTGCAGAGTGAAAGCTGGTTTCAGTGCTCAGTGGAATCTGAGGAGACAACACTGATCTCTTGGGGCTGTGAAGAGCAGCAGCAGCCTTCTAGTGCATTGAAGTTCCCTTGATCAGTGCTTCCCTCCTCCCCCCCCCCAAAAAAAAATCTTAACTTGATTTGCAAAATGTTAATGATAAAAATAGTGGGATTGTCTGCATATGTGGGATTGATTGGGCTCAGAGAGGGCATTTGTGACATGAGGCTTTGCCTTTCCTCTGCATGACTGAGCACATGTGCTGGTTCTCTTTCTCTGGATATTCATTTCTACTGAATGTGCCAGCTGGTGGCAGACTTTCTTTTCGCTGAAAATGCATGAGACAGCCACGGTGCCTTGGGAAATAGCTTTCGGCAATAAGTGTTGCCTTGTGAAGGGTTAGGAAAATAATAAAACGGAGCTGTGTATAAACATTTTTATGGAAGCAGAAGGGGAAAAGACAAGAGCTTGGTGTGATTACAATGTCACATGTATTATACATACATTTTAAGGACATAAGAAGAACCCTGTTGCATCAGACCAAAAACGCACCTAGTCCAGCTTCATGTTCTCACAGTGGCCAAAGAGATGCCTATGAGATGCCTACAAGCAGGACATGAGCACAACAGCACTCTCCCCACTTGTAATTCTCAGAAACTGACATTCAGAGGCACACCTGCCAGTGGACCCATTTATAAATGTGCCAACCTCTTTGGAACATAAATGGAATGGAAACGATTCAAATTCCAAATTCAGATTCAATTTTTATTTGAGTGTCATGAGTGAATGAGACTTTGAACCCCATACTTCATTCAACTCTCATGATTCTTCTTAATGGATCTATGCAGATGCCTGTTCTTTCTAATGATAACAGAAAATTGGACCTTGATCCATAATCCTACTTCTTCTTCTTTTATCCTCTTGACAGGAAACAGATCTTATACTGACCTTCAATATCTCAATGCACCGTTCTTGGTGGATGGAGAATGGGCCAGGCTGCACAGTGACATCTGTGACCCCAGCCCCAGACTGGGCACCGGAGGACCATCGCTACATCACTGTCTCAGGTTGTGTTCTTGAATACCAATATATAGAAGTGGCTCACAGTTCCCTACAGATCTTTCTTGCAGTAAGTATCCAATTATCTCCTCTTTCAGCACCCTTTTGTGTAGTATATCCCAACAGAGTACAATGTAACTATATAGCTAGATAGGCATAGTTTAAGCAATCATTAAGTTTTAAGCATCTGTTTTCAGTATGAATCGCATTCTTAAAGGATTACTGGTTAGTTGGCATCTGTCTGTCTCAGGAGACAATGGAAGAGTGCGCCTTTGGAGGTGAAGTAAAATTGTTGGAAAGTTACAGCATCTGCTGTTACTGTAGAGACTGATATGGGAAAGACATGTTTTGTTGCAGCTGGGGCAGATGAAGGCATCTGGTTGTGCTGCTGTGGATGCACCAAGGCGTTTCTTTTCTCTGCGCTCCTCCCAGTGGTCATTTGTCCTCTGGTCACTGCTATGGATGCACAACCTTACTTCCTGTCTCCAGGCACTACATTCTAATATTAATAGAGGGTGAAAAGTTAAGCAGTGTACTTCAGAATAACTGTAAACTATAGGTCTGGAATGCAAGCCTGAGGGTGCCATGTACACATTCCACACAACATTTGCGTATTACTACAAAATTAGCACCAAAATGAATGCAACCCACTAGACAGTTAATTGACACCTGCCAAATATGTGAGGAGCTCTCTCCTGCCAAGCTTTGTGGTCTATCTGTGCAATCCTATGTTGGTTTATTCAGTTTTACTTGAGCTCATGAACTTGGTGCCTAGTAAATGTGTATATAATGTAGCATTGATGGCATAGCAGTTGTGTGCCCAACAATAATAGCAAATACCAACTGTGGGAGGGGTTATACTGGAATCCAACGAAGAGCTTGTCTCTATTCATATGTGGACCCAGTAGAATCAGTCAACATAGTGTATTGGAAAGATTTCCTTCAGTCTTTTTTTTTTGCATCTAGTGTTTCTATCATCTCTGTTTCTGCAGATAGGAGATACCTAAATGAAGTAATCCACATATATGTCCTTCAGTTCTAATATACCAAATTTCCCCTAGTTACTTTCTTTGGTTTAGAATGACCACAAATCATTCTCGGTTTAGTGGTACAGTTCACTTGGTTCAAAATGATGGATTCTTCTTTCTTTCTTTGGCTCCTCTGTTTGACCAAAACAAATGTCTGAGGTATGAGCTGGTTTGGTGATAAAAGTATATTAACTCATGTTGCTCTATACATTAAAATGTCCTCATTCACTTAATGGCTATTGATTTTGCCCGCCTGTTTCAAAGTCACCATTTCATTTTCAAATCCCTTGAGTTAACAAATATTATTCCATCAAAATAAAATAATCTTAGTTGCGATATCTTCACTACACATTTCAAGTCCTGAACAATAGCCTTATAAAATGTTGACAAAGCAAAAAATTATTTTAAAAACCATCATTGTATGACATTTTCTTGTTGGCATCTACCTGTCTTGGGAGACAATGAAGGAGTGTGCCTTTGGGGGGGTGAAGTCAAGCTGTTGGAAGGTTACAGCGCCTGCTGTGACTGTAGAGACTTGATGCAGGAGAGACATGTTTTGTTGCAGCTGGGGCAGATGAAGGCATCCGGTTGTGGTGGTGCAGATGCACCATGGCATTTCTTTCCCCAGTGGTCATTCCTCCTCTGGTCACTGTTATGGGTTCATGACCTGTCTGTCTCCAGGCACTGCGGTCATCTGCAAGCAGTTGATGTTGCCAGCCTTCATGTCACGTTTGCAGAGAATGCCTGTGTTTTGGTTTGCATATTGTTTCTTAAACTGCAAATTAGGTAGGTTTGTCTGCAAATGCAAGCCAAATTGAATTTCCCCCCCCACACACACACACACTACTATCTATATCCTTACAATAGCATGCAGCAGTTGTAGGATGAGCAAGTAGAGGATTAAAACATTTACTCACTTTGTCCATGTTCGTTTGCCTGTTGTGTGATTTGTGCTATTTTTTCATATTCTTACCAATAATTTCTGGGCCAAACAGCAGGAATTTTCATCCACTGTTGGGTTACCACTCTCCTGCACTGCAACAGTAGTGTTTTGGCTGGGTGGATTATACAAATGTATGGCAGATGGGCATAGGTCACAAACATATATAATTTTGTATCCTTCACTCCAAGTGATTTATTTTATGTTAAAATAAGACAAGCCACCTAATATTTGCAAAGCGCAATCTATTGTCGTTATAAATCAGAGATTTATCATTGACTCTAGTAGGAAGAAAATCACACCTACAAACTGTTTTTACACAGAAATTATTATTATTATTATTATTATTATTATTATTATTATTATTACTGCCCTTCATCTGAGGATCACAGGGCAGCTTACTGTGTGTGTGTGTGTGTGTGTGTGTGTGTGTGTGTGTTTCTATATTTTGTATATGTTTCAACGTTATCCTTTTGTAGGAAAACAAAAATCATTTTTGTGGGAATTATTTCCAGTTTACCATTCACTTCTACCAGACTAAAGGGATGAAGGCGAATGAAAACTGCAAAGGGCCCAGTGGCTGTGTGTAGGGATGGATGGATCTGTCAATTCCAGTTTCTCTCATTGTTCCCGCCTTGATTTTAGTTTGCCACATGGCTGCCTTGGAGGCATGGCATAACACAAAGCGGCTGCCGGATCTAAAAGGGCAGAAAAGGAAACAGGACCACAAAATGGAGCAGATATGCCCCTCATCAACTCCATCCCACCACCAGTGGGGGGGGGGAGGGCACTTATATCAGGCGCCGCCACTGTTGCTCACAGTTGAAAAGCACTTTACACCTCTGTTCAGTTCTTGGTGTCCAGTCCTGCCATCCAATGAAATGTGGGCATTTATAAAGGTATGTGTTTAATGTAGGAAACACAGCCACTGCAAATAGGAACTGAGCAGGAATAGTGAACATTCTCTCGTACACTGTGAATTTTGGAGAGGATATTTATTGAGACCTTTCACGGGTGCCATAGTAGGTTCTCCTGGGCACACTGGCACCCATGGGCACTGTGTTGGAAACCTTGTCCTAATATGTGTATTTTTGTACACATTGTTTGGTTTGAGAACTGCATCACAAAATTCACAGAATTTGAATTCTGAAGGATGGCTGCATTTCTGTTTGTATATTGTTTCAGGGAGCTTGAAAATTAAAATGCAAACCAAATCAAATGCCCCATCCACCCGTAGCTGTGACAGATGGATGTTATGTGCAGCTTGTGTACTGAACTCCACTGGCTCCCTTTTCGTGCTACAGGTCTCTGTCATACTAGGCATCCAGTGTGTAAACACACTCCCTACAGGGGATAAAATAAGCAAAAGATAATTCAGTCAGTAGAGCATGAGACTTTTAATCTCAAGGTCGTGAGTTCGAGCCCCACATTGGGGGAAAGATTCCTGCAATGCAGGAGGTTGGGTCCTTCTGGCCCCTTCCAGTTCCATGATTCTATTTGCGAACAACAGTCCTAAGTTGCACTAATTGAACCAAAGAAAAATTATTTATCAGCTGCCCTTCAGGTGCTCCCTCTTCTCTAAATGCAAATGTAAATAAATGTGCTACATATGCTACTAAGCATAATTCAACAGCACTATAACAGAAAAAATGAGCAAAAGTCCTTCCTTCATATACTGTAAATACATCATCACTAACAACTTAAATACAACCAACTACAATAATTTATATAAAGGCTGGCCATTTCCATATTGATCCTGCTGAATGCCTTCCTATAAAACATGCTATGTATTGACCACAATTTCTCTTTGCTTGCACTGAAACTAACGTAATACACTGCAAGAATTATCATGGTACCATTACTAACTTTCCTTTCTGTTTAAAAAACAAATCCCGTAATCAAGTTAGCTATTCTAGAGCTTTACAGTAAGTGCTTGCCTTTCGGGACAGCATAATTAATTTTAGGGCTGAGATGAGTATTTGGGACCTTGTAGTTTCGGTGTGCAAAGGGGGCCTAATATGTTTCTCCAAAGTCCTGCAAAAATTCAGATTGTTACTGTAAAAGGATCAAGCATCTGCAACCTCAGGGCCATTTTTGCCCTTATTCTGAATTACCTTTGAATATTACCACCAAGCAAAATCTTATTGTGATGACGTTACCATAACTAGAAGGACAGTTTTCAAACAAAAAGCAGCAGCTGATTGGAGCTGCAAAGAGGTCAGCCATTGGGATGGTGCTGGTTGAATGCAAGCGTTGCAGTATGGGCTGCATAGGTTATGTGCTGAAGATACACTTTTTCACCACCTTTTGTACTTCTCCTCCTGAAAAGTCATTCAAACGTACCCACACTATGCATTTAAGGTGCACTTATGGCACATTCAAAGCACATGACTTCACCCCAAGAATTCTGGGAAGCGTGGCGTGTTAAAGGTGCTGGGAATTGTAGCCCTGTGAGGCATTAACCAGCAGCATGACCAGGCCCAAAGGCAGACTGCAGTGGATCCAAGTAATATCTTCAGAAGGACACAGATTCTCAGTTCAGAATCATTACCTTATGTTCACACTTGCAGAGAAATTTCTAGAAAACCTTGTGGTTTCTATGAATCCTAGTTTCAAAACAAGTAGTTTTTAAAATGCAGGTTATGCAACTCTAAGATCAGCAAGACAGATCAACCAAATAAAACAGGGCCAGCAATGTGACACTGAATGTACTTTAACAAACAGCTGTTTACTGATTGTGGCAGATGTTATGGGCATTGTCATATGGATCCATTCATTATAGGCTAAATGGTGGAGTAGTCAGTGTTTCCTTGTAGTGGTGGGATCCTATTTAGATCTAGGTCCCTTCCAGCTCTTTGATTCTAGGACTTTGATCACTGCTGGCACTTCTGAGCACTGGTTCAGATCAGAACGAAAAGCTATGGCTACAGTTTTAAGCAAGGGCACAATTTCCCCCACAAACTAAGGAGCCAATTCGGTTTGTAGAGCCGGTGGGGAAAGAGGAAGAAATGTGACCTGAAGTCAAATGCAGCTTGCCAGTAAAATGAGAGATAGCCTATTCTTTTTTCTCAGGTCTAAACAAGAAGTTCCAAGGCTCAGATTTATTAGTCCCTAACTTTGGGACCTTTCCTCCAATCTCTGGTTGGGATTGGGCACTAAAGTAGAAGTGAAGACAGCCACATATGGCTGGCTGGAAGACAAACTTGCTTCCTTCCCTCTTTAGTGTCCCAGCCACGAAGGGCATGCTCTTAGTTATGAACAGTGCCTAGATTTGGTTTGGTTTTTGCAACCCTGTTTGACTAGGTATTGCTCCCATTTCATTGCATTGTGTCTTTTGCTCTGAATATTTTGCTGTATGCAAATGAGAAAAGAGTCAGATTTGTCAAAACTTCAGCTCCAGTGCCTGAACCACTTAAAATCAAGTTTATGATGAATGTCAGTATGGTTACTTTCTGTTAACCCTTCTCAGAACATCCAAAGACCTCTAGCACCCAGATGGTGGGAGTGGGGGCAGGGTGGGTGTGACAATTGTAGATTTCTCTTTCGCTAGAAGAAATTTTCATTATACTTCTGTCAATCAAACACTGCAAGAGGTTTTCAAACAGCAGGTGCTATCTATATATCCTTGGCTCACATCCTGCTGAAATGAGTGGCTTTCATGCCAACTTTTATAAGGAACATGTACATATTACATATCTGCAGCTTACAAGTGAACGTTCATCTTGAAGAATTTTCTTACAATGTATTGAAGAGAACCCACCAAGGCTTTCTGTGAATCAACAGACTGGCAATAATTTGTCATGTTAAATGAACCAAGATCTTTTGTAATCAAGTTTGGGCTCACTGGGCATGGTGGAGAAAAAGAACCTTATTTGATTAAGATGGAGCTCTTAGCTAGGTCAATACAATTCTTTTATTATTATTATTTTTTAAAGCAGAACTATTGATTCTAACTGATATAGATAGGTGCCATAGAAACAATAGTCCTTAAGTCACGAACGAGTGAAATTAGTAGAAGGGAAGAAGCGTATGAGCCACCCCCCACTGATAATGTAATAACACCATCATGTCTTATTAGCAAAGAAGTGACCAGCTTTAGGCTGCTGTGACATTGCCTCAGAGCATGGTATATTCCTGAGAGTCTGCTTCACAGTAATATTAAGGAAACACCTCATTAGGGGTGGAAGTACTGAAAAAGAAGCTTCTTTTTTACCTAGCCACATTAATGTATTGTTTATCAGGTCTGATTTACCTAGTCACCACAAGCCCTTCCTTTTTAAAGGGAATTTCATATACAAAACCTGCCCTTGATCTTTTACAAAGAATTTTTATTTTAAATTGGGTTTGATGGAAACTACATAGAATAATTCAACACTTTTGTCAGCTTTGCAATGAATTCCATGCCTTGGGCTCAGGGAGACTAATCCTGGACTGTTATCATTTTATCTTGCAGTTCATCATTACTATAATGTACTTGCCAAATGACTTTCATGATGATGGATTGGCTGTATTAGGAAGGAGGGCATTTATATTGCAAGGGCCCTTGGGAAAGTACAGAATGGTGCCTTGCACCCACCTATAGAAACTCAGTGAGGGCTTCACTTCACTTAGTTGTGCTTCCCATGTACTTCCCATTACCTCCAGCAACCAGAGAAGGAACCTGGCATCTTTACACAGTTCAAGAAAAGTATAATAATAATAATAATAATAATAATAATAATAATAGTGCAAGTGCACCTGCTTTTTGTGCTTCTTGGATAATATATGAATAGTGAAATCACACTTATTGAGATGTGCTAGTTCCCCATCAACTCATTACTATGAATGTCTCCAAATGTGGGTGCACAAATCACTAGGATATCAATTTTGCATACTTCCGGTGTAATGTGCAAAGCTGTCCCTTGCTGTGCGTGTTTATGAATGAAAACGCTGCATGTATTATATAGAGGCAGGTTTGGGGTAGAGTGAATGGTAGAGAGCAAAAATAATTATGGTTCTCATATTACTTTCTCTGAGAGATGCCTTTATTAAGCCCAAGTGCAGATTCTGTGGATAGCAGCTAATGGATTAAAAATTGTGGAAGTTTAAGATGCAATTAGAAAACCACTTACTATGGAGCAGTCCCAAAGGCATTCCACAATAAGTAGTTTTGGTGATGGTGAGAGTAAATAATCAGCTCCTGACTATGTGGTTTCAGGACTGCAGTGTAAGTGGGAATAAGAATTGCAAAGTTGGAGCCTCAAACATAATGAAATACCTTGTGGTAGTCTTTGCTTTCGCTTTTGGCTTCTTACCAAATAATATGGGCCACTCCTTTGTAGATATGTGTATTAGAAAGAGGCACAGTGAACCAGGATAGGGTGTTGGACCAGGGTTCAAACACCAACTCAGCCATGAAGTTCACTAGATAACATTGGACCATTTCACTGTCTCTCAGCCCTACCTGCTTCACAGGGCTAGTGTGATAGTAAAAGTAGCATAGGGGCAAGGAAGCCTATGCTTTTTTATTCTCTCTTTCCCAATCTAGTTCCCCTGGGGGGGAGGGAATCTCAGGGAGGTCAATACTGAAGGATTAGGTAGGAAAGCTGCTGAGGGAAAAGGAAATTGCCCCAAATGATACAGAAATACCTTGCACAGGCAGAACTTGCCTCTTCTCCAGCAGTCTCCCCTTTTCTCAAGAGTGCCCCCCAAATGTCCAGAGAGCTTTTTCAGAGGATACATATAGCTAAAGGCAGGAGTGGGTGAGAAAGTCTCCTTGCATAATCTTCCTTCCAGTTGCACTACTTGGGATGCAAACTTTATGGGGCATAGAGTATGTCGCGCCCTTTGGGCATGATTTTGATTTTTCTCTCCCTGAAAAGTAAGAAAAATAATAACTTAGTGGTGCAGTCAGAAGTGGCTAGCCTGGGGGTACGGAACTGCAACACTAGCTTCCCAGCATCAGGGTTATTATTAAATCTCTATACCCCCCTTCATCCAAAGATCACAGGGCATTTTATAATATAAGAGTTTCTGCAGCTTACTAGGTGAAGAAGTTGGGACACTATGGGCACAACAGCAGAAACAATTTTGCACTGCACCACTTCCTGCTTCCTCAACCCTCTCCCAGGAAGTGGCAGTTCCATTGCTGCCAGGATGCTAGTCTTGCCCCTCTGCTGTAACAGGTTAGCCATTTCTGAATGTAGTGATTAGAGCTCTAGACAAAGAGCAGGGAGACCAAGATCAAATACCCATACTGCAACGAAGTCACTGGTGACCTTAGGCAAGTCACTCTTTCAGCCTAATCTACATCCCAGGGCCATCTTGAGGCCCTTGGGGGGGGGGAAGGCAGGGTATAAATATTAAGTATTTAATTAATAACAGAGAGCTGTACGTTACAGTCACCAGAATATGCTGCTGAAAGGGGGGGGGACCCATGGTGCGATTTGCTCTGACACCTAGGAGCAATCATCACATGAAACATGTAACGATAAAACAGTACCATGAGTTGCGGTACACCCATGACTGCAATGGGTGGTGGTGAGAATAAACTCACAGTGTGTTGCTGATCAATGCAGTGCACGGTCCTGTATGTTATGGCAGGATGGCAGTAAATTCATGGGATTGCTGATGGCTTTGCATGAAGTTCATGCCTCATTTCTACAAAAGGGGTTAGTTTGACTAACATCTATGAGAACCTTCGTCGTTTTTGTTATAGGCTCTCGGGACCTGTCTTTAAAAAAATTTTTAAAAAAATGTTCTGCAGGCTTCAGTGAATTATCATCAGCTAGTTACTAGATTTTCATCTGGTCTGCACTGTAGCACTGGAGCCTACCTTTTCTCATGTCACTCACTATGCCTTCTCGTGCAGGCATTCCTTCATTCTGCCTCTGCTGCTAGAAAGAGGCAGCGGCAGGCAGCTTGAAGTGAGCAGCTGTCCTCAAACAAAGAAGGTAGAAATGGAAGAAGGGCTGTCGAATCCATAACAATAAGCACATCATGACATAATTACAGTAAATCTCCAGAGTGATCTTTATGCACATAATGCCATATGTTTTCAGAAGAGGAGATGTGCCAGTGTGTGTATTATAGTGGAATGTAAGCATCTTTTAACAATATTCCTGGTAGTGCTGAATTGATTTTTTTTTTTAATCCAGGAAAGTAGCGTATATGTGATGAGAGAACAAATCAGTTAAGTAAGCTGTAGGTAAAATTTTAATAATGATTTTTTTAAGGCTGAAGGGCATAAAAAGACAAGAGGAAATGATTGACAGACATAATAAATATTGTCCTGTACAGATCATCAATTTAACCCTTCTGAGCACTCATAAGTAATCATTTTTCTTGTACTTTTGTAATATCCTTTCATTAGGTTATGCCACTATGCTATAACAACAGTTATGGGAACAATTCTTTATTACTGGTATTTTCATTTCACAGATGAAGAACTTATTGTCACTCATCTAGATACTCTCAGTTCTTGTTTTTATTTGCATGTGGAATATTTACTGCAAAAGGCAGCACAAATTGGGTCCACTTTATTCTCATAAACACTGTATGTGAGAGTGACTCAAAATATTTTATCAGAATTTGAAGCTAGTTCACCCTGGTCCGAGTCCACAATATATCCTTAATGCCACTGTGTTGCAAATGCTTTGTCACAGAAAAGCTCAAAGTTTTCAGGCACGCAACAACTTTTGCAGCACAAATTCATCGGGTAGAAAGCATCCTTTATTGACAGGAAACTGTCAAGGTTATTCACATACAAAAACTGGATTGGGAGGAAACAAGGAATTTGTGCCAACTTTGGGGGAGAACCACCCCATATTCTAAGTCATGGAACCTGCTCAAAGCCATTCAGTGAATTCCTAATTGAAGGTGCATATTTGGATCTTCTATACCAGAGTGAGGAAACATTTTTTTTTCTTGCCAAAAGCCACATTCCCTCAGAGATAATTTGTTTGGGGCTGTATGCTATTGGAGGCATTAATTTAAAAAGGGCATGATTGTTCAGCGTCTTTGGGATTTATTCTCTGTTTTTATCATTTCCACTGGATGCTTCAAGGTGGGGGGGGGCCTGCATGCCAGCAGGAAGTGGAACCAAAAGTGGGTAGGGACCCCCTCTTTTCAGTCTCTTACTGCCACCCCATTCTCTCTCACTCTGTCACTCGCTCTCCCACTTCTTCCTACCTGGCATGCTGGGGGCAGGGGAATGTTCTTCCCAGAGGTCTGACTCATCGCATCCAAAGAGCTTTTACTTTTTCTTTCATCTATTTCAGATTTCCCATCTTCCCTCTTTCCTTCCCTCCTCCACTCTCCAAGCTTCCCATCTCCCTGCATGAAATTAGGTCAAGGGCTACATGTTGCCCTCAGTTCACTGGTTGGCCACCCATGCTTTATACATTGTTTGACCCAGGCTACAAATGCCAATTCAATGTCCTTCTAACAATACATATAATAGATGTTTCACTGTTCATTTTTTTCAGTGTCTTTGTTTGACTTTGAGTCGGTTAACAGCATTTAATGCGCCTACATACAAAGCACTTGTCAATATATGCAATAGCTTGTGGTCCGTCAAAGATTAATAAACTGCACTCTCCATGCCTGCTTCAGGAAATAACTTAGTCTTCTGAAGATTCAAACAGGATGGTATTTTGTTTTTTGTTTTTAAATATGGGTGGAACAGCTTAAAAACCAATTGATATTTTCAGTATTAGCTGGTTAGACTACCCTGTTTTTCAGAAGATAAACAGCCTAATGTCCATTAGAAAGAAGCTGGCAGTGGACCTAAGTGGTAACAAATCACAGATCAGCCAGCTAAAGTTCAGTGACTCCAAAGGTTTACAAACTTCAGTTTTCAGGAATCAATGTTCTTTTTAGTTGGAGCGTTTATATTTGATATAGAGCTGTCCTAAATCAAGAGGCAACATCATTCCATCTCTTTTCCCTTATTCCAGAATTTTTAGAATCATGCTAGTCTGAAATGCATACATACAGTATTTGTTATACTGAACCATCACAATGAATGTTTTTTCTTATTTAAAACCAAGGTGCCAGACTTGCTGTTGGGTAGTATAAATCCTAAATGCTACAAGAGCCTATGATCATACAAGCTTAGTGCATCTTAGATTTTCTACTCCCATACTTCTTTGCCAATCTTTTTGCTTTCTTAAAATTCATGTTTCAGATTTCCTTGAATAATCATTTCCTGAAAAGCTGGGCATAGCTGTCTTTCCCAGTTGTCTGTGATAGCACATTAATTATTCTCACAAGAAAAAGTGTTTTGGCTTAACACAATTATTCCTATGTTTTCATCATGACAAAATGAAATAAATCCTGAGACTGAATCTGACATGACATTTTATTTTATTTTTTATTTTTTAAATTTTAATAGATAATTTTATTCAATACAAGTTAAAATACATACATAATCACAACAAAAGAAAATACAAAAGAGAAAAACAAATATATCTATCCAAGGAAAAGGAATTAGAGAATATTTTGTCCCTTTTCATATTTACAGTTATTTATACCTCTATAAAATGCTATTCATGATAACACAGTGAAATGAAATGTAAGATATCAGAATAAAGAAAAAGGGAACAAAAAGAGAATAAAAAAGTAAAAAAACAGGTCATATATGAAAATTTTTTAAAAGTAGATAAGTACTCACAATACATAGCCATTTCTCATCTATATTTACATTCAATTGTATAATTTCGTCTTGTCCTTATCTACCTTAAACAAATTGTTTCTTTTGAAAGAAAAAAAGAAAAAAAGAAAAAGAAAAAGAAAAAAACGACTTCCACCGTTTACCTCATGCGTTTTTAATAATCCGTTCTTCAGAGCCTCTGTTCTTCATATTTTCCCTTTGGGTTTCCTTAATTTCTCACTTTGTATTTTTTTTATATTACGCACAAGATTATTCTAAACACAACCAGATTTTTGTAGTTGAGCCCTGGTTTTGTAAATAATCATTTAAACACTCCCATTGCTTCATAACCATAGTTTTGGATTTTCTCCTTATTATATCTGTCAATTTTGCTAATTCCAGGTACTCGCAAAGTTTCCCCAACCATTCTCTTTTTGTTGGGATGCTTTCCTCTTTCCAATAGCTAGCAATCAAAATTCTTGCCGCTGTTGTCGCATATAGAAATAAGTTAATTTTCTCTTTGGGGATATCTTTATCTAAGATTCCTAATAAATATGCCTGTGCCTTTTTTTTATGTGATGTCCTTATCAATTTTTTTATTTCGTCATGGATCATGTCCCAAAAGATTTTAATCTTTGGGCAAGTCCACCACATGTGATATAATGTACCTTTTGTTCTGTTACATTTCCAACATTTGTCGTTGTTCCTTTTATTTATTTTTGACAATCTGTCAGGGGTGGTTTGTAAATTTTTTGTGTTGTTCTTTTTTATCATAGAATAAGTAGCCGTGCCATCCATATATTTTGTCCCAGCCCTCTAATGTTAGGACTTCATTATCTTTTAATAATATCCATTTTTTTATCCAGCACCAACACGCTGCCTCAAAATACTTCCTTAAATCTGGCACTGCGAATCCTCCACTTTCTTTTGGGCCCATCATTACTTCTGATTTTATCCTTGCTTTTTCCCCCCTGCCATATAAAATTTGCAAGATCTCTTTGCCAGCTTATAAAATATTTAGTTCCTATTACAATTGGAATCGTTTGGAATAAAAATAGAATTTTGCGGAGTATCATCATTTTAATCATAGATATTCTTCCTCCTAATGATAGTTTTAATTTTCCCCATTTGTCCATACTTCCTTTAATTTCTTTCCATTTTTTAATATAATTATCCTTAAATAAATTTGTATTTTTATTTGTAATCCATATCCTTAAGTAGTTCACTTTATTTTCTATTTTTAGTCCTGTTATTTCTTCTAATTCCTTTTTTCCTTTCTCGCCTATATTTTTAGTTATCAGTTTCGATTTATCTTTGTTCAATTTGAATCCTGCTACTTCACCAAATTCTTTCATTCTTTCCAATGCTTTATTTATACTTTCTTTTGGTGTTTCAGTTGTAATGATCACATCGTCTGCAAATGCTCTTACTTTATAACACTGTGTCCCAAGACATATGCCCTTTATTTCTTCATCCTTTCTCAGAGCTATTAATAGAGTTTCTAATATTGTTATAAATAGGAGTGGGGATAAAGGACATCCCTGTCGCGTCCCTCTCTCAATGTCGAATTATTCTGTAATTTCATTGTTTAGGATTAATTTAGCTGTTTGTTTTTTGTAGATTGCTTGAATTCCATTCATAAATCTTTTACCTAAATTTAAGCTTTCACATGTTTTGATCATAAATTTACAAGAGACACTGTCAAATGCCTTTTCAGCGTCTACTAAAAGCATTGAAATTTCTTTACTTGGATTCATTTCGGCATATTCTATTAAGTCTATAATTATTCTAGTGTTGTCCTTTATTTGTCTGGCTGGTAAAAATCCTGCCTGATCTTTTTAATTATCCTTTTTAGCAGAGTTTTCATTCTATTTGCAAGGACTCCAGTAAATATTTTATAGTCTATATTCAATAAAGATATTGGCCTGTAGTTTTTTATAAGTCTCAAATCTGTACCTTGCTTTGGGATAAGGGTTATTAATGCTTCCTGCCACGAGTTAGCTATTTCTCCTTTATCTAAAATTTCATTCATAATTAATTGCAATTTGGGTGTTATTATTTCCTCTAATTTTTTATAATATGTTACTGAGATTCCGTCTGGTCCAGGCAATTTTTCCCTCCTTCATATTTTTAATCACTTTTTTAATCTCTTCAAGTTCAATATTTGAATTTAATATTGGATATTCTTCTTCTTCTATATCTGGTCGTCTATTTTCTGATAGGTATTTTTGAATTTTCTTTTCCTCTTTTAATTCTACTTTATATAAATTTTTGTAATATTTTATAAAACTTTCTTTAATTTGTTTTGGGTCAATGATTTCCTTTTCTTCGTCAATAATTCTATTTATTACTCTTTCTACCTGTCTTTCTTTGATAAACCATGCCAGCATCCTACCCGGTTTTTTGCCTGTTCAAAATATCTTTGTTTTGTCCATATAATTTTTTTCTCTACTTCCCTATTTATTAAATTTGATAGGTGGGCTTGTAAATTCTTTATTTGTTGGTGGATATCTTCATTCTTTGGGTTTTTCACTAGGTCTTTTTCTTTCTCTCTTATTTGTTTATTTATTTCCATAATATTATTATCTTTATTTCTCCTTATCTTTCCCATTTGTTGTATTACAAACCCTCTCATATAGGCTTTGCTCTCTTCCCAAATCATTTTTTTATCCGTATCCTGATTTTCATTTATTTCATAAAATTCTTTCAATATTTCCTTTGCCCTTTTAACCCTTTGATCGTCTCTCCATACCTCCTTGTTCATTCTCCACCTTCCCTTAGTATGATTTTGAAATTTCATTATTACCGATACCGGATTATGATCTGATATCGATCTGTTTAGTATTTCTGCTTTTTCTAAACTTAACATCAGCTTTTTTGTTAGCCATATTGCGTCGATTCGTCCCCCAGATTTTTTTGCCTCCAAGTAATGGGTTATATCTTTAACAATTGGGTTTTTTGTTCTCCAGGCATCATATAAATTAAAATTCTCAATTAAGTGGAAAAAGGAGAGTGGTAATCTACCTGAACTTGATATTTTATCTCTTTGCGTTCTGTCCATTTCTATCGATGTTACTCCATTAAAATCTCCCATAATTACTATATTTTCATCCACATAATCCCATAATCTCTCATCCAACTCTAAAAAATTCATCCTTTTTGCTATTCGGAGCATATATTCCTACCACTATGATTTTTCCTTCTTTTGTTTGTATTTCTACCCCAAGTACTCTACCTTCATCATCTTGGAATAACATTTGGAATTTCAACATTGTATTTACATAGATGACCACTCCCCTCTTTCTTTCCGTTGCAGATGCTATATATTCCTGTCCTAGTCTCGTATTTTTTAACACCCTTACATGAGTTTTGGATATATGTGTTTCTTGTAGACATATGACATCCCATTTTTTCTTCTTTAATGTACATTCTAATTGATTTCTCTGAAATTTACTGCATAATCCATCCAGTAGTTTACTCTTCTAGTTTTTCCTAATTTTTCTAATTTCTAGTTTCAGTTCGTTATTCTTGCTCAATCTGGTGTATCTAGACACGCTTTTCTTAAAACACCTTGTGCAATTATTAACAGAGGGTTTTCGCATGAGGCGCACGGCCCCCTTCTCTGTTAACTGTTCAGTTCTGTAGTTCTCTTTACAAACTGTTTCTTCCTGCCTCCCCCTCCCTCCACTGAACCGGCAGAGGTTTTCCAATTATTATCTTCTCTTTCAGTTATTTACGGGGGAGGCATTTGCTTTTCACAGTCTCCTTTTTAAAGGAGTGTTCAGCGCTGCCGTGCCGGGGAATTGGAGCGTTTGTACCAGAGAGTGGTTTTGCCTCTTTGCGCAAAGGTCTTCCCCTCGTCTTTCTATTTCAGTTTCTTTGTTCTATAATATTGCGAAACCTCTTCTTTTGCGCTGCCTTAGGCTTCCGCCCTCAGGTTCCACCCCTGAGGTCGAGGTAACTTATGCCTAGTCCCTCGTTTCTCCCTCTCTGGCACCAGGTCCACCTCGAGATTGCAGGAGCGCGGATCTCCACCCGTCTCTCTAGCGCGCTGCTCTTTTAATGGCACAAACTTTGCTCCATTATCTGTAAAACAGTGAATGCAGGTGTCATCCAGTGTCTATAAATGTAACCCGAAAAGCAGCACTTTAGTCTATGCAAACCATATACAGTGGTACCTCAGGTTAAGTACTTAATTCATTCCGGAGGTCCGTTCTTAACCTGAAACTGTTCTTAACCTGAAGCACCACTTTAGCTAATGGGGCCTCCTGCTGCTGCCGCACCACTGGAGCCCGATTTCTGTTCTTATCCTGAAGCAAAGTTCTTAACCTGAAGCACTATTTCTGGGTTAGCAGAGTGTGTAACCTGAAGCATATGTAACCTGAAGCTTATGTAACCTGAGGTACCACTGTACTGCAGTTCTAGAAGTAAGTTACCAGGATTAGTGAAACTATACCCATCAATATCACTGAAGGACAAAGTTGCAACTTAAGTTCTGTTTTTTCCTGGGCACTTTGCTAATCAAAAGGTCCACCACCAGGTTCAGAATGCTTGAGAACAAAAGCCCACATTTGATCTCTATGTCCTTTGTGGTTGCAGAATAAGAACAGGTGTAGGAGTGGATTAAGATGAGCTTTCCTTTGGGGGCAGGTTAGAAGCAATTTCAACTTTTAGCTGTATCTTATGATGATTTAAGAGATCTTTTGAAGTCAGGTTATACAGTCGGAGAAATCACCCTTTCAAAAGTTTTGTAATTCCTACTTGAGCTAAGAAGCAGCTCTATCAAAGGTTTGAACCATGCTTATTGAAACCAAAGGCATTGCTGGCATGCATTGAATTACTACCATGTGACAAGCTGTGTTTAACCAAAAGGACACACTACGGAGCAACTTTTTCATCTTAATGAGGAAGCTAATGTATCCAGCATGACATGACAGTAGAAGATGGACGAGAGAAATCAGTCTTCTAGAGTGAGCAACAACAAATAGCAGGGCAGAAAGGGGAATACCAGGATGAATGATGTTGCACTAAGTAAATGCAGTTACACATGCGCTGGATTAATTACCAAGTTCTGCAAACATAAGCAGGAAAATAGTCTTATTTAGGAATCACTACCAGGGATCAAAAGATGTGCTGTGGCAAATCACGCAAAACCAACATTATGAATCCCTGGAAAGTCCAATGCTGCAAATTCATCACAAGCAGAATAACTGTATGCAAATTGCACCAATTAAGCAAGCAGTAGTACTTTGATCTATTTGATCTAATAAATCAGTAAGAGTTAATCTATTAGACATCAGCAGATGATGCTAACAATTTATTTGAGATGCATTATTCTCGGGTCTCTGTCATAATAGAAAAAATATTACAATAGTAATATTATGAGATACAGGCACACAGAAAAAATAAATTGGAATTAGAAAGCATGGAGTGGTTTTACATCCTAGGCCTATGACTGTTTACTTACAGGTAAGTTTTACTTTGCTAGTGGGGTTCACTCCTGGATTAAGTGTACATAGGACTGCAGCCCTGAAGAAAGCTGGCAACTACAGATCCTGTCTGCTCTAAGTGTCTTCAGTGGATATGGCCCTCATTAAATTACGCTCCACAAAAAAAAGGGTTTTCCAATACCGAGCTGCCAGCTATACCTGGGGAAGGTACAGGCCAAAGCCAATGAGCAGCAGTCCTGTGCATTCAAAAGCTCCTCAGTGATAAGGCAGCACTCCTGGAGATATTGCTGGGACAAAGAAGAGGGTAGAGGAAGAAACCAATCAAGCATTGGCTGGAGGAGCATTATTCGTGGACCCCTTGGGACGACTCCACAGCCCCCCACAGATCCACAGGCCACACAGGTTGGGAACCACTGGTTTAAGAAGCATTATATTTATGTATTATTTATTTATTTGGAGCATTTATGTCGTGCTCTTTAGCCAAAAGGCTCCCAGAATGGCTTACGTATAATCAAAAACAAGACAGCGCCTACCTACAGGCTCACAATCTTACAAACTATGACACACAAGGGAAAGAGGACAAGGAGGGAAGAGGAAAGTCAAAATCAAAACTCATTACCTCCATGTGAGAAGTATAGACCAGCAGGTAGAGGTGATGCTTAACCATTTATCTCCTGGTGTGTGTTTTTTTCTGAGCAAAATCCATTCCCAAAGTTCTTTTTCATTCTGCCCCCTGCAAAGTGTCTGGTTTGGTCTGAAGGTATTTACAGTGGTGCCTCGCAAGACGAAAAGAATCCGTTCTGGGAGTCTCTTCGTCTAGCGGTTTTTTCGTCTTGCGAAGCAAGCCCATTGACGGGATTAGCGGATTAGCGCTATTAGCGCTATTAGCGGCTTTTAGCGGCTTTTAGCGGCTTTTAGCAGCTTATCAGCTTATCGGATAAGCAGATAAGCGGCTTAGCGACTTAGAAAAAGAGGGGGGAAGGAAAAAAAAACCCAGGAACTCGCAAGACATTTTCGTCTTGCGAAGCAAGCCCATAGCAGATTCGTTTTGCGAGGCACCTCCAAAACGGAAAACTCTTTCGTCTAGCGAGTTTTCCGTCTTGCGAGGCATTCGTCTTGCGGGGCACCACTGTATTGTCCAATTTCACATAACATCATTATGGAGACTCCAGCCTTTGTATTTGTGAAAAATGATTTGTCTGTTTGTTTATTGTTCTAAGTCGCTTTGAATTACTTTGGTTAAAAAAAAAGGTAACTAGTAAAGTTTAATAAATAAAATAAATAAATTGTCCCTGCTCTCATTATCAGGCAGTTTTATCAGTTTCCATCAGTTACTACTATTCAATATGGCAAGTACATGTAGGCACAATTTAAATATTTTATTTACAATCTGTATAATTTTTACCACATAACAGTAAATGACATATCTCACTTTGGCAAATCAAAACTTGAAATGTAAAGTAAGGTGAAATTAATGTGTGTGTGTGTTTAAAAAATGCAAATTGCTATATTAGCAATGGTAAAATCACTTTTTCAGGCAGGGAAATGTGCTGCTTGTATATTGATGTGTTGTGCTATTCACTGTGAACTAATGCTTTCCCCAGAAGTTAATTAACAAACTGCAGGCTTGCATTGTTGCATTACCTTTATTTAAAATGTGATGCATAATGCAAAATTGGCTCCTGGAAGCAAACCTAGATATCATTCAGCAAGTTCCCTACACAATGCAGAACTAGAGATGTGCTACAAGGCAATATATGACCTTAATTTATTTTGTTTACTGACAAATAAATGCCTCTAAAGCTGTAGAGATAAGCAAGCTGAGATGCTGTGGTATCTTGCTATTTGGAATGTTTGTTCAGTAAGGAAATTTTCATCTCCTGTCGCAGAATAATGCACCTGTGACCATAGCAGCTGATTGGAACTGGAGTGGATGCACAGAGGCAGATGGATTAAAACTGTCATAATTGTGGGGTTTCCTTCCCCCCCCCTTTCCTGGATTATAATTTTAACAGGCTCCAGGTGATTTCTATTTCTTTGTAGCATCACTCATCTCAAATAAGTCCCGGCAGGCTTGGAAAGAGAAGATAGATGCATTTGAATTCCCACCCCGCCCATATGAACCGATTTGCATTGTGAGCACTTAAGAGAGTTGTGCTGTGAAAAAAGCAATTAGCTGCTTTAGTCTAGGGTGCCATTTAGAATATCCAGGTCTGTGCGCTTCAACATAAAATTGACCTTTTAAATTTTTTATGTCTAAGATTCTCCATATATATATATATATATATATATATATATGATAGAGCCTAGATGGCAGGAAAAAGAACTGGTTGCACATATAGAATTTATTAAAAGACGTCTAGCCCTAAAGTACTGCTGCAGCTTTCTCCCTATTACTATGAATACCAAGCATATGGTATTGCAGCCTTAATGTTTAAATAACTGATGTAATTAAGTAACATAATAGCACCATAGATAGATAGATAGATAGATAGATGATAGATAGATAACATAGTCAAGCTATGCTCAAGGGAGTTAACAGTAATTTTTTTTACATGTGGCTCAGAAACTTTGTGTCATCCTCATTACACCACCATCACCATCATACACACACATACACACACACACATTTGTTTTGTGATCGTTGAAAGAACTGCTCTATATTGCCACAGTCTTGTGGCCGAGAAATCCTTCCATGTGGCATGAACAGCATGTGCAGGGGGCGGGGCGTGCTGTGTTGTATGTAAATGTCTTTGCCAAATGGATGTATCCACTGCTGTTGTCATGGCAGCCCAGTAGGACCAATCCACACAACAAGCATCTTATGTTTGGCAGGACCTATTTAAGAAGATTGCTATGTGGATTGCCCCTGATGGGCTTTCACACCACTGGACATTCAGTTGCGAATGCTCGCAATCCCAGGTGGCTTTTTTCAAATGTCTTAAAATGGTTTCCCTCACATTTCATATATCAAGCATTTATGAGGGCTGAGCTTCAATTTGAGGGTGGTTTCACACAGGGCATTTTTAAAGTGGCACGGGTAATGTATGCATTCAACAAATGCAGTTTTTCAACCACAGTGGGTTACAACATGTCAGAAAACCCAGGATTGGCTTGGGCTTGTTGCTACATAACATTCAGTTGATCCAGAAGATACACCTATTTTCTGCCATGTGGCATGTGAAGTATCCCTTAATCAGAGGGTGTCTAGTGTAGAAGTGGATTGGCTGGTAGAAGAGCTACAGAGTCTTCAACCTGGAGCAGGCACCTTCTTGCAGAATGCATATGTTTAAGTTAGTTGCTTTTGTAGCACATTTGTGTACATGTTGCTTTAAGAAGTATGGCAAGATTATATTTCTGCACATGCTCAATAGGAAGCTGAAGTGTAGAGCAGCTACCTTTTTTCTTTTTCTTTTTAGAATTATACCCTGCTTTTCACCACCTGGGTCTCCTTGGGCCACAGGGAGAAACAAATATGATTTCATTTGCCATGCAGTTAGGAGCTGGTGTTTAGATAAGGAACAGTTGGTCACCTCCTTACTGTAAAGCCCACAGGAGCAGGCCCTTTTCCTTTACAGAGCTTGTTTTAAGAAGCCTGCTTTGGAACAGCAGAGAGTGAAGAATAAGGTTTCCTCTTTGTGAACAGCTGGACTAAACTGCAAAAGTAAACTTATGGAACTGTTAGAGAACCTAATAAAAGAGATTACATGGCATTATTCTGGAAGAGAGAACTTTAAGTCATCTAATGCATGTTTTATTGTGCCATTTACATAGAATCCAGACATGCATATATGATCAAGACAGTATATTGCTTTATTTATGAATGTTGCATCCAGTGCTTTTTTCTAAAAAAAATGTTTAGGGGTACTCTCATTTTCCTACTCATATTGAAATACTGCCCCTTAATGAGGCCAAACTTAGATTCACAAAATGTTTAGGGGTATGCGTACCCCTGCCTCCCTCTAGAAAAAAGCACTGGTTACATCATGTTTGGCTTTGCATCAGTCCTTCGTTGTAGGTCCCTCCAGAGACCCTGAATTGGTTGAAATTAAATAAAAGCAGAACAGAATTTGGGAAAGAGTCACACTTTCACCATGTTTGCTATGACTAGGGGTATCGGATGCAAATAAAGGAAGTGAAAGCTTTATGTAGAAGAGAATTTCAGGAGAAGCATTTTTTCACTTCCTCTGTAAGACAGACTGCACCTGCCTGAGTTCTGTCTTTTATAGATTAATTAAAGGTAGTAGAGCTCTATGTCCCTTTTGTATATGGCCAGCCTATCTGCAGCCATTTTAATTTTCCCAGCTCAATTGCTTTAGCTGCAAACTTCAAGACAAGATTTAGGTTGGTGTGATGGTATCAGGTAGCAGTAATATTTGACTATTCTCTCTCTCAAATGAAGGTGATATTTCTTTTCACTTCTCTGAGCTAGTGGTGAACAGATGGGAAGGAGGGGACCATAATAAAGAATCATACTTTATTATGTGGTGGATGTGTGTGTTCCATTTAGAATATTGTTGCAGCTGAAAACATTAAAAACTGTTTAGCAGAGCACCTTAATATATGAGAAGGAAAATGGTGGCATAAATATCTCCATGACAAATAAATGACCACGTGAAATATTTTTTTTTATCTAGGCCACCAGTTCAAATCTAGCATGATTAAAATCAATATAACTGTGTGCAACAGTTATATTCCTACTCTGGTGATTAATTACTGAAAATCCAAACAATAGTTTATGCAGTTACATTAAAAGCAAAAGAGGAGTCACGTGTAAGCCAGCAGTCAATAAATGTGAACAAGATGAAAGGCTTGTTCTCACTAGTTATACCCTAGGCATGGATCAGAGCCAGGAGGACAGTGAGAATTGGAAGTGTGAACATCAGTCTGTCGTGGAGTGTAGGAATAAAAAATAGACCAGGATCTTCCTTTGAGGAAACATAAGCCATAAACCAAAAGCACTTTCAAAAAGCCAAGGTACACTGTAAGTGCTCCCACTGGAGTTTCAAAGGTATGGCAAGGAAGAATCAAACAGAGGGATGTAAGATGCTTATAAAACTCAGTTTCGAAGCAGAAGTGCCAGAGAAAGAGCTTGACCTGGATCATATTCTGGACACAAAAGAAGATCAGAACCCCTGACAGAAAACCAGGACCCATGAAATACTTCTGGAAGCAAGAGAGCAGGAGCTCTGAGAGCAGAAGAGAGAAAACAACAGCACTGTTGCTCAGTTTGGGAAGCCTGTATGTTTTTCAAGCCTAAATGAAGAGGAGATTCCCTCAAAGACTCAGCTGTATCACACAAATATTCAAGGCATTATAGGATATTGGCAGGATAAGAATGGAGTAAAGTGTCACTGAAATGTCCAGATGTAAGGTGTTAGCCATGAAATGCTACAGTTCGCTAGCAGACCTGAGAAACAGTACTCTTTATCCTCTAGTTCAGTAGTGGAGAAACTGGTGCACAGGCCTGATCTCTCCCCTCCCTTCAGTATTTTTATGATTTCCCCAAGCAGCAGAAACAAAAATTATATTGTATGGACTGCATTGGTAGACATTTTGCTTGGACAGAGCTGCATGGAGTCTAAGCTGTACCTAACTAGACCAGGAATAGTGCTCTGGACTCATCCCATGTATTATAAGCAGATGTATTATAAGCTGAATTTTAAATAACTCCATAAAGACGTTATTAATTTCCCTGCCCCGTGCCTTTAATGAAGTACTTATCTCAAGTGCTCTTCCACCTTCCTGGAAAATGTCTAAAATGATGGTGATACCTAAACCAAATGGGGGGAAATCATATATTTAGAAAGTTCTATTTAACTTGCTAAGATACCTAAATATTCACAGCTTCTTTAGCAAGGAACTTGAATACAATAATTAATCATGCCACAGTGAAAGATCAGTGTTGTTTTGACCTTACAAGACAATTAATGGACAATGTCAGAAATACTTTAAATGTACTACATCAGGCAGAGCAAACAAAAAAACTGACCTATTTGTAGTCTTGTTCGGTGATGTAGACAACAGACATGATAGCAAACAGCTTGGGCAGCATTTTGGAAATAACCTTCAAAATTTCTTACAGTTTGGGTCTATATTCTTGAGGACATGAACTTGGTACACAGCTAGTTAAAAGCCACACTAAAGAAAACTGTCGCAAAGCTCATTTGGGTGGGGTGCACAGGTGGACAATAGCTCTGCTCTGTCCAGCTTAAAAGCACACACACACTTTCCTCAGGTGGAGAGCACAAAGGAACCTGTAGCAGAGCACAAAGGAACCTGCAGCTTCCATTCACAAAGTTAAGCTAAACAGGTTGGTTGATGCTGCATCACTGAGGTGTTCCAAGTGTTGAAGTGTCTCTCCTGGTGTCTTCAAGTCTTCCCTCATAGAAGCTTCTGGCCCTTGGAGCTTCAACCTGGACAACCCCTCTGCAGTGCAACATGGAAGAAAGAGTGCTCAGGCAGAAATCTTTTTGTTCTGGAAGCCTCCTAAAGTTTAAATTTTGGGCAACAGCTGAGGGTTAGATTGGCTACTTCCATCCATGCTGGTCAGGGCAGGCCCTGACTCCCTCTCACCAGGGCTTTGTAGTGACTTTAGGGCTCGGCAGGGGATAGCCTAGCTACAGTGTATATATGTCCCCTGTGTTTTCCCAGTACATTTATAACAATAGGTTGGATCCAGACTTAGTCATATTTGGGGCAGATGCATTGAAATGAATGGGGCATAAGTAATGTAATGACCAACTGTTTTCTTTTTTTTTTTTATAAGATATTTATTAAGATTTTTAGAATATTACAAGACAAAAAAAGAAAAAATACAAAGTAAAAAAAGTTAAAAACAATTCATTCTTTCCATTACTTATCCTTCATTTGCTTATTTCCAAGACCTCCTCACACCTCCCTTTTTTGTATTCCAGTTCAGTTATTAATTCAGCAAATCCCTCCCCTCTTTATGTATCCTAATCATTAATCATAAGATATTGTAATTTTAGATTTTTACCTATTAATGACCCATGTGTTCATATTCTCTTATAACATTTCAGCTAAAGACCACTTAGTTTCTATCCAACATCATTCTAACATTCATTAATTTTGCAATATTTCTGTAAATAGTCTTTAAACTTTTTCCAATCTTCTTCCATCGACTCTTCTCCCTGGTCTCGGATTCTGTCAGTCATTTCCGCCAATTCCATATAGTCCATCACCTTCATCTGCCATTCTTCCAAGGTGGGTAGATCTTGTGTCTTCCAATGCTTTGCAATGAGAATTCTTGCTGCTGTTGTGGCATACATAAAAAAAATTCTATCCTTCTTTGGCACCAATTGGCCGACTATGCCTAGGAGAAAGGCCTCTGGTTTCTTCAATGACCAACTGTTTTCATTGAGTCCCACTGATTTCACTGAGTAACTAAACCTGTATCCAACACATTAAGAGTCCTTAAGAGGCATGTACAATTTGTGATCCAACAAACCCAAAAGCAGGCAGCAGAAGCATGAGTTTTATTGAACTCCTGGTGGACCACCACGTGGCTGGTAGCTTGCATCTTATGAAGTGTGCCAAAAGCTTTATAGGGCTACCTCTGTGTCAAACCTTTGGGACAAAGGTTTCTTCTTTCCTGTGCTATGATGCAATAGTTTCAGACTCCGGAGTCAGCCTAGCTCTCTTCTGTGAGTCAGGAAATGCTGCCCATGCATAATGAAGGTTTCCTATTGTGAAGGTAGACTAGCATGGGAGCAAACATATTCTGAACATGTGCCCATCAAAACTATGCAGAACTTGGGTTTGTGCGTCTAGTCTCCTTAGACTTTCTTCTTTCCAGATGGACAGCCTTTAATCCCTATGTTATTTTAGTGCCCTCCTTAGTATTTTTACCCCTGTTTTATTTTATCCTTCTGGAGGTGAGATGATCTGAATTAGTTAATTCAAATTGTACAAGCACTTCAGACTGGCTGTGATGTCCTTGAGCTCTGAAGGAAACCAGTGCCCCTTGCATTAATTTAAATAGCACAGCACTGAAGATATAAAATGGAATTTTACTCAGGGCTGTTGTGGCAGCTCTCCAAATGGTTCCTTTTACTTTTAAAATATAAATGATTGTATAAGACTTGATCTGCTCTACTGCTTCACATGTATTACATTTAACAACAGATAAGGGAAAAAAAGCTACTTCAGTCGCAGCTCCAGCAGCTGATCTGCAATGGAATGCAACCATATCAGAAGCCATTCTAATTGCTTATGTCATTTTAATGGGTTGTGTGAATATCATGCACTTTGTGTGCTTCTGTTTGTTTGTTTTTATAAATGATATTTATTGAAAATTTTCTAAAAATTACAAGAAAAAGACAAAACAGAAAAAGAAAAAGAAAAATAAAAAAAATAAAACCATCATTCTCCAATTCTCCACTTTCATTACCTTCTTTCTTTGACCTCCTCCTCCTCCCTTTTCTTGTATCCTAATTAATAATTTTCACAGCAAATCCTTTCCATAATTCATAGTATTCTGTCATTACATTACCTTAATCTATTTTCATCTTATCTTATAGAAAACCTTAAAGCTTAAAACTTAAATCTTATTTTTACCAACTTCTCATAACCATAACATTCTTACCTAATTCTTTAAACATTTTAACAAGAGCCAAGTAATTTCATTTCAACATTTTTCTAACATTCATCAATTTTATAAAACAATCCTAATGGTAAAGAAAGAAATAAGAACAATCCAATCTTCATCCAGCGTCCCTTCCTCCTGGTCCCGGGTTTTGTCAGTCCTTATTATCCCATTGATCTAGCACATTAACCTGGTGATCTTATATCCGAGGCCCTCAAGTCTCTCCCATGTCCCTTCCGCAGCTCTTCTTCTTATTTTCCTTTCACTCGTGGGAACTCCAGCTTGGTAATGTTTTTGACCCTTTTCAACAGATCAGCCCCTTTTCCATAGTCCAGACTAAACTCCATGTGGTATTTGAAGACATGTGTCAGAATCCCTCCAAAATTGAGAGCCCCCACAGCTCCAAACATCTGACGGCCCATTCCCAGACTCGGAAAGTCCAAACATCCCTGCATGGGGGGGTCAGTCCAGCCCCCCATTTCCAAACCAAACTTTATCTTTCCAAATCTGTTTTTTTCCAAGTTCATTTGTCAAATCCAAAGGCTCGTATTCCTGCAGGGCCGAAAATTCCTCCCTTTCTGGCGCCCAAGATTCAGCAACATCCTCTTCTCTCATCTGTTCTGTCATGGCGCACTCCTGTTTTAGTTCCTGGGTGGGCTCCATATAGTTTCCCACTACCTGTTCAAAGGTTCTGACCGCATTAGTCATCAAATCCGTCTTCTGACTTAACTGATCCAATAGGGCATTTATTTTACAGAGAGCACACAACAGAGCTTCTGAAAGCATTGTCCTACAAGGTCACAAGTCCTTTCCCACGGTTGTAATCTTTGACAGCTGCAAGCTCCCTGGAATTAGTTACAGTTTCACAGTCCCCCTCTAGGGGGAAAACTTCTGGTTGTTCTTTCTTTTAAGGACAATAGCAACAAAGTTTCTTTTTAAGATATTTTGTCAATATTTGTTCCTTTAAAATGCGAAAGGAAACAATGAAATCACAATGTTACTCTTCTTTTAGCTATCTGTCAAAGACATTTGTCTCTGGTCAATTAGCTTCAAACATCAGTTCTGACACCCCGCTCCAGGATCAGGACGGTGGAAAGTTACTTTGCTTTAGACTCACTTCTGCAGGTTTAAACAGTCCAAAAAAAAAAAGATCCCCCTTCTTCTCCTGCTGCCGAAGGGGGGTTCAACAATTTTAAATGATGAAAGCCAGTCCTTTGAAGGTGATATTCTAAGCTCTAGTTTACGTTGTCTTTGCTTTACTCTGACTACAAAGAAACGGAAGGCTGACTTCCTGTTTAGACCTTCCCGTTTCAGTACCAAATTAGAGTGAATTTTTAAGTCCAATTCCTTTCTGCTCGCCAGTTCTTATTTAAAGTCCAATTGTTCAATGTTTAAGTACTCACGGGTGATTATTTTAGATGCCAAATTGTCCCAGGAAAAAGGCAGCGCTCTCCGGCAACGGCTATGCGGCTTCGCTCCACGGAAAAAGCAATTGACTCACAGCACCGCGCCACTTCCCCCTCTTCACTCCAGAGCCCGTTAGTGGGTTCCTTTGCGGGTTGGGGGGGGCACTAAGGGTGCCCGCCGAGTCCCACGGTCACAGGCTTCATCCGCCTGTGATTTCTAGAAGGGTCCCCGCTTCGCCGTAGCGGAAAGGACCCGTTTCGCGCGGAGCTAGTCCCTACAGTTCAGAGGGCGTCCGCCATTGCCGATGGCACCACCCCGGAAGTCACTTTGTGTGCTTCTGTCAACATCCTACAGCTGCCTTCCTTTAAGGGTATGGATCTGATATTTCAGATACATCCAGGGGTCAGTCTTTTCCCAATACTCTGACTCTGAACGCAGCCAGTGCAGATTATTTTGGAGGCTTCATTCTTTGGTAGGGTTGCCATATGCCTGGGATTTGGCTTGCATCTGGGTGGCAAGCCATGTCAGCAGTCTCGAACTCCACAAGAATAGCTCAACAACTTATTGGGGTTTTTTGAGATTTTTCAACAACAACAACAACAAAGCTCAACAACTTTTTCTTAAAATCGCAATAAATAACTTTTGTGTCTGGATTTTCACTTTCTGAAATATGGCAACCTTATTCTTTAGTAAATGTTATTTCACCTGAGATGTTCCAAATGTTGTAATAACAGTTTATTTCACTAGATAATCAGGCTGCAATCCTGTGCCATGGCAGGCTGCTTAATTCCCACTCACTTTGGGATTTAAGCAGTCCGTGTACAGGACTGCAGCTAGTTATACTGAGTCAGCTTTGGTCAGTGATATGTCACACATCACTTTTATCATTTTTACATTAGAGAAATGTGATAAATGCATTTGATAAACTGGATGAGAATTTTGTACTGTAGGTTGTCTAAATGTTCTGGTTTTTAATTGATTGTCACTTTGAGACTTCTTTTGTAAAAAGCAACTAATAAATGTATATTACTTCTTCTTCTACTACTACTAGTACTCCACGCAATATGTAAAATCCACTCCTAAACACCTTTATTTGGAAGTTGTACTGATTTCAGTAGGTCTTGCTTTCAGACAAATATACTTAGCAGCCCAATCTACATACATATTTACTCTCAACACAAACTGAGTTCAACTAGAGTGAAAAGGTTGAGATTGGGGAAGAGTGTGCAACCATGCTATCTCTTTCCATGCCATGGAAATAACCTGGATATAAATTGTTGAAGAGGACTATTGTTTTCATTAAATTATTAGTGTTGTTTTGATGTTTACTTTCTTTAAAAATGCTGTAATGAAGTTGTCCACGATACTTCCACAATTCAGCCTAAATGATGAAGAACTTACTACTGAAGTACAGTGGTACCTTGGTTTACAACCATAATCCGTTCCGGAGGTCCATTTGTAAACCAAAACAGGTTGCAACCCAAGGCGCGCTTTTGCTAATGGGGCCTCCCAAAAAAAATTGTTTGTAATTAAAAAAAAAAAGGGTTGTAATCCAAAAAAAGGTTGCAAACCAGGACACACACTTCCGGATTTGACGTGTTTGTAATCCAAAACGTATGCAAACCACAGTACCACTGTATTAAAAACTGGAAGTGCCCAAGCTTATTTTTGAAGGATGGATTGATTTAACATTTAAGAGCTATCTCATCGATATGAAGCTCACAGTGGTGGGCTACTCTGTTTCCATTCCAAGATTTTACAACGTTGCTGAAATGTTTTGTATGTATTCTTATTTCCCTCTAGTCAAACTCCAGTCTATCATTCTCTTAGTTTGCAGTGGTACCTCTACTTACAAGCACCTCTGGTTACGTATCCTTCAGGATACGCATGCAGCAAATGCGGAAGTATTTTTCCAGGTTTCACGGCATGTGCATGTGCAGAAGAGCTCTACTGCACCACACACATGCGCAGAAATGCTCTACCGTGCCATGTGCATGCGCAGAACAGGCACCTCCTGTTGCTAAAACCTCGGGATTCAACTGGAGCTCCAGAATGGATCCCGTCCGCAACTGGAGGCACCCCTGTATTTCAAAAATGTTCATCCTGCTTCCCAATCAGTGGAAGTCTTATAAAGAGGCGGCCCCTACCATAAGAAATATGGTATATGGATTTATAAATCCATACAACTAAAAGATGGATAGACATAAAACCACAAGATACACTGGTAATCATAAAAATATAATTATCCTATGATTCCACTGTCCTATGATTCCACTGTTCCCTCATCTCCAATTGTGGCTTCCCAGGGCTATCTGATTGGCCATTGTGGGAAGAGGATGCTGGACTAGATGGGATTTGGGATAATCCAGTAGGGCTATTGTTAGAATTTGCCATTTTTTATTCTGTGGTAAAACTTGTTACTCACCTGATAATAAATCAAGAGTCTAGGAATTGTGCTATGCTGAAACAATATAAGAGCCCAGCAGGAAGTGGCTGGAGGAAGCCAAGGACAGTCAGCCAACATAACTGGTACTGCCTTGCACAGGATAAAGGTTCATGGACCAAAAGAGAGGCCTAGGCAACTGCAAGCTTGAATCAACAAATTAAAGTTCTACTCCTCTATTTTTAAAGCACAGTGCAGGTTTATGCCATTGGATAATTGTATTAAACTTGGGGTAAAGACATAGTTGCTTGATTGATAAACCAATCAGAAGGAATGCTTTGTGTGATTAATGACTATGCCATATCTAATGGGGCACATGTTTAATAGTCTCCAAGGTTCTGACAAGTAAAATAGCAACTAATTGTGGTGCCTAAGAATTATTCAGTCCTCGAGGCCTAAACAAAAGTTTTCATTTGAGTTTAGGAAGGGTGGAGGTGTTGAGAAAGTTTACTTATCTTCTTTTCTTCAAACCACACCAGCTGTCATAATACATATTAATTTTCTGAATTTTGCTTATTAATGGCTTATTTCACTTTAAGCTCTTTCAACCTACGCAGCAAGAAGCAGGCAAACACGGAGGTTTTTGCAAGCAGACAACAAAGGAAAGCGCTGTACTTACAAATCTAATTTTCATCTAAGTACTGTAGATTGCAGCTCCCTGAGGCAAAGTCCTTGATATCAGAAAACCAATTTCTGGCAGATTGGAGGGGTTATTCCCCTTTGGTTTTCCAGCATCAGCGAGGAGATGGGAATAGAGGACCCATTCTCAGGAGGCTGGCAACTTCACAAAAGAAAAAACAGATGGGACCTGACAGGCTATTTCCAGGAGATGGAGTCTCTGAAGCAGGAAGCAGCGATGCCTGAGTGACTACTGGGAGGCCCTTGCTTTTAAACTGGGAGAGTCAAGGACTCTGATGAGATGACAGCAGGCAGCATGCATTGTCAGGCTTCCACCTGTCCCATCAACATTTACACTCCCCACCCCCTTCCTAATATATAATTTGCAGATTGTCTTGTGAGTGCTATATTGTTTAACCCTATATAACACCCTTAGCTGTACTCTGTGAATATTTTTTATTTATTTGTTTTTGCAGTTTTGCAGAATTTGAGGCTGCACTATGTAGGCATAGAACCTTCAGCTATTTCTATTCTATCTCTGATTTCCTATCCTTTCCCTATCTTTTTCCAATGAAAGAACATGTAAGGATAAGAACACTGGGGTGAATTCTGTATTCAGAGTCCACCTCAGAATATCCTACATTCTGAGAGAAAATAATATTAGGCAGCTGTTTTCCCTGCTCTCTAAATCCTTCTGAAGCAAGCACTGTTTCCCACTTCCTCTTGGTATTTGAAATCAGGTTTTGTTTTCCTCTTCAAAGTCATATGTCATCAACTTTCCTGAGCCAATCATGAAAATCATCTGCTGGCATGATTTGTGCAGTGAAAACACTTTATCTACAGTTAAAGTTTGTATTTTGAAATAATTTTGGAATTTTGTACATGATTACCATTAGCTCTCAACAAGTTGTTTAGAGTCCATTTGACCCAAGCTTGTTCAGTTATCTTCTTCCAGAGACCAATGAGGGGGAAATTATGCCCAGTTGTGAAGATACTTGATTTCAGCCCTTTATATTGTTGACGAGGAGCTCCTGCTGTTTCTGCTGCATCTAAGGAATCTGATAAGCAAATTCTTGGCTGTGATTAAGTCTAAGCTGGTGAGGGAGTGGGCAGGGTTGGGTCACTTTTAGGTGATTACCAGTTTCCCATGACATAAATGCACGATAACCTTCCAACCATTTCAGAATCTGATAGCATGAGAGACTGGGTACTCCACTTCCCAGTCATCTTCTAAGTAGGATCCAGTTTTGGCTGGTAAAGGTAAAGGACCCTGTGACAGTTAAGTCCAGTCAAAGGCAACTATGGGGTGCGGCACTCATCTTGCTTCAGGCTGAGGGAGCAGGCGCTTGTCCACAAACAGCTTTCCAGGTCATGTGGCCAGCATGACTAAATCGCTTCTGGTGCAACGGAACACTGTGACAGAAACCAGAGCACACGGAAATGCCGTTTGCCTTCCCACCACAGTGGTACCTATTTATCTACTTGCACTGGTGTGCTTTCGAACTGCTAGGTTGACAGGAGCTGGGACAGAGCAACAGGAGCTCACCCCATTGTGCAGATTCGAACCACCAACCTTCTGATTTGCAAGTCCAAGAGGCTCAGTGATTTAGACCACAGTGCCACCTGCACCCCTGTTTTGGCTGTACATCCTTTGAGAACCACCTTTTTCTTGTGGTAAGTTTTTTAACAGACATTGTCCCCTAGACTAACACTGCATAGCAAGATCACAATTTGATAGCTGACCCCAAACTGTGGAACTCCATTCCCCTAATGATATCTGAGCCTGTACAACTTCAGTAGCTCTGCAGGGCCTTCTTGTTTGGTACTGCTCATATACAGTATTTTATGGATTACAAGAACAGTAGACTGCAGACACTGCAGTTTTACACTTTATGCACTGTTATTCATCATCGGGCAATATTTCCGAATTCACTCTCTCTGAATCAGTAACCCCCAGTTTACACACATCCTCCTGTAAAGCCTTTTCATCTTCAATCGTAACAGTCATGTCTTTCTCAACAGTAGATGCTAGCACTACATCAGGAGTCTCTGCTTTGGCAGCCGTTCTGCATATCATGAGAAAACAAACATTAGCAGTGTAATAAGCGATAGTGCTCCACACATTGACGTCCCAATGGCAACCAGTCAACAGGGCAGAAATTAACAGCTTCAGCAGATTTGAAACCTTGGTTAAAGCTACTATGAGAGGCTCTTGGAAACGTAATCACAAATTTACCAGCACACCATGAGACATTAATGTGTTGGGATTCATAATTGTAACCAGCTGATGTAAAAGCTCAGCTGAGATTCAAATAGCTCAGGAGCCAACTTCTTCATTACATCTTCTGGTTGTTCAGCTGCATATTCTGGGGCTCCATACCAGATAGATGATGGAATAGCTCCAGTGATCCTCAATACGCCAGTGAAATGAGGAAAAACAAATCCCTACATGTAGCCAAGGCGACTTCCTTCCACATTTATCTGCAGTGATGTGAGCAAGTACAGATTGTTCCATCACAGGCATATTCAAATTCCATCCACTATCAATATACTCCTCTTCTTCTGGTTTTAATTTGATTTTACCATCTCTCACAGGAAACTCACTGCCAAACTCCTTTGAAGCAATATCAGCACCATATTCTACTGTAACATCTTCTTCAATTGTGCTAACAAGATGCCAGAACTATTTCTTAACCAATTCTGTAGGAACCATATGCACTGGCATATTAAAATAATCTGACTTGCAGGCATCTGCCATTTCTCCAAATGTGCAAAGTGTGTAGTCTCGTGCTGCCTGTTCAAAACCAAATGCTTTTTGTGGTTTATTACACTCCTGAGCTAGGCCTCAGGGGCGTCTCCAGTCCCCCTCAGGGAACATCACAAAGAGGTAGTATTAAGCAAAAGGTATGGTAACTGTCATCACAGCCATCACATAGGAGCAGACTATCCTCATCATTACCACTGCCGCACAACAGACAAACATACAAATCCATGGCATTAAAGCTTTTCTTAGAACTTCCCTTTGGTTGTTCTCTTTCTGTTTCCCAGATGGCTTGCCTTTTTTCAACCATTTCCCATTTTACTAGGCCATGAGACTCTTTAACACTGTCAGGCTCAAGCTTTGGAGGGGTGGTTCCCATTCTATGTCTCAGATTGTGAGTTTTTGTTTCTGTAAAGGTAAAGGGACCCCTGACCATTAGGTTCAGTTGCAGACAACTGTGGGGTTGCGGCACCCATCTTGCTTTATTGGCCGAGGGAGCCGGCATACAGCTTCCGGGTCATGTGGCCAGCATGACTAAGCTGCTTCTGGCGAACAAGAGCAGTGCATGGAAATGTCGTTTACCTTCCACGAGAGCAGTACTTATTTATCTACTTGCACTTTGACGTGCTTTCAAACTGCTAGCTTGGCAGGAGCAGGGACCGAGCAACGGGAGCTCGCCCCATCGCAGGGATTCGAACCGCCGACCTTCTGATCGGCAAGCCCTAAGCTCTGTGGTTTAGACCACAACGCCACCCACGTCCCCTTTTTGTTTCTGTGGCGTCCTCCAAATCAGTTTTAATATTAGTAGCCTCTGCTCTCATGCGCTTTGCTCAATGAGCAGGTGAACAAGTTTCAGGCAGCTGAAAAGGCTTGTCTTTGACGAATATAATGGGGTTTATATTCCTTGTCCTTTGTGCTGCTGGTGATATCTGGCTTCTGAAGACACTTTTCCAGAACTGCATCATCCACTAAACACATCAATTTGGAACAAATGTCTGGCGCCAGCAGACTAGCTCCAGTCTGAAATAAGTTATATGGGTAAAGAATGTGCTAATAATGAGCACAAATACGTGAGCCCACAGCTTTGCCAGGAACAAACCCCATCTTGGTAGCTATATTAGTCCATTTTCTGTCCTCACACACCAAGTCAAATCCACCTTCTTCTGCAACTAGTCTATTAAACTGGAATAAATCCAAGATCTTTCTTTCTACATGTGGAATTTTCATTGTGCATCCCTGAAGTTCCCAAAACTTTGCAATCTGGTATTTTACGTTTCCAAGTGTCTTGTACTACTTCTTTTATTATTGTCCTCTCATTTGTGTTATTACCTGGGTAAGAAGCTGCTGGAATGTAATAAATAAGAAAAATGTGTGGGCAGCTTCTTGAGAGTGGAGAGCACAAACTGTTTTACCTTTGCTTGTAACATTGATTGATAGGCTGGAAGCAATTGAACCAACTTGCTATTTTTCATCGCATCTTTTTTTCTCACTTCAGCTGCCCATCTTTATTTCATCTTCATTAGTCTTAGAGTGGCTTGTGCAACTGGCTCTTGATTTACACATGCTCACTAGCACAAAGTTTGCAAACCTCTGAAACAAGTGATTGTAACCAAGCTAGACATATCAGCCGTGAAGCTAGTTAAGGTTCTAAATCAAGAATTTTAATGCACTTTTCTGGCAAGAGATTTTCCTTTTCCTACATTGAGCAAATTTTAATCCCTTGACACTTAATCCCTTAAATTTGGCTCTGTGTTATACTCACATAGGGCAAAAGAGCAAGGTGGAAGACTGCTGGAACGTAAGTGGAGAAAAACTCCAAATGACTATAGTGAAACACTGGTGAGTGTGCATTTTCAAGCATACTTATTGGCAATGAAAGCAGCAAAGAAGGCATACTTTGCTACCTCCATTGCATCCTCAGTATGCCATCCTGCACAACTTTACCGGGTAGCAGGGCCTTTAGCATATTGGCCTGAAAGAGGTGGTAGAACAGACAGAGGTTTGCTGTAACTTGTTTGCTAAGCATTTTGAGAATAAAATTGCTTGCATACATGGGACCTTGACACTGTTGCTATAGCAGTTGAATCTTGAGAGATGTCCAGAGCACTGTCTAATTCTGTTTTGTTGGATGGATTTCAGCTGATGAGACTCGGAGGTGTGGACAAGGTGCTTGGACCCTTGCCCCTCCTTGACTCATAAAATCCAGCAGGGAAGAGAAAGCTATCAGGGCCAGGGAGGTGGTCAATGCCTCTTTACAAGAGGGGGTCATTCCTGGCTGTTTTAAGGTGGCAGTAATAAGACTGCTTCTAAAGAAACCATCCCTAGATTCTGAGAACCTAAGTAATTCCCAGCCAGTTACACTGTTAGTGGGTGGTTCTCTAGACTGGATAGATGGGAGACTGCCTGCTCTTGAGGGAGTTACACTGCCTTTTAAGGGGGTGCTCTTGGATCCATTACTGAGGCCCAGGTGGCCTCGGTGGCTCAGGGTGTCTTTTGTCAGCTTCGGTTGGTGGCCCAGCTATGCCCCTATCTGGACAGGGATAGTGTAACTTCTGTGGCCTACACTCTGGTAACATCTAGGTTGGATTTATTCAATGCATTATGCATGTGGCTGCCTTTGAAGATGGTTTGGAAACTTCAGCTGGCCAGACTGCTCACCAGAACAAAATGATTTGAGCATATAAAACCAATCCTGGCCCAACTGCACTGGCTGCCATTAATATTACAGGCCGAATTCAAAGTGTTGGTGTTGACCTATGAAGCCTTACACAGCTCAGGACCTCAATGCCTTAAGGACTACCTTTCTCCATACAAACCAACCTGAACCCTGCACTTGTCATTTGAGGCTCTTTTCAATGTCCCTACTCAGAGAAGTTTGGAGGGTGGCAACATGAGAATAGGCCTTCTCTATGGTGGCTCCCCATCTATGGAATGTTCTCCCCAGAGAGGCTCATCTGGCACCTTCATTTGATGTCTTTAGGCACCAAGCAAAACCTTCTTCTTTACCAAGGCCCTCAGCCATTAAATAATCTATGGCCTGTTAAATGTTGGGGGGGGGGACTGCTATTATGATTATTTTATTATTATGTTGTCTATTATTATTCTGTCTGTTATGTTTTAATTATTATGCTCCATAGAATGTTCTTAATGCTATAAACTGCCCTGGGATCATATGATAAGGGGTGGGATATTAATCAAATAAATAATAAATAACAATAAGAGAGAGAGTATATACACACTAGGTATGGGGAAGAAATTCAATTCACATTTAAATAGAAACCTAAATAATTCTCACTTTCAAAACAGCAGGGAGATTAAAACACAACCATTCTTCAACATTCACACTTCTCTGAATTTTGCAGTGCAGTTCTCCAGTCAAGCAGTGTTTTCAAAAATGCATATACTGGAGTAAAGTGTCCATAAAGGTGTGTATAGTAGTTAAAATAACACACAAATATATTATTTTATGGGGAATTACTTTGCAAAAATCTGTATATTAGGCAAAATTGTATGCAAGCATGTTTATATTAGGAGAAATTCACATTAAAATGCTGGTAGTTTAATGAGGATTTTTTTTAAAAAAATGACAAGCTGATCTGAAAATCTGGAGGGCTTAATTTAAGTTTGGGGGGGGGGGGAATGACAAACTGAGAGAAACTAAGATTGACAAATTCACTCATCCCTAAAACACACACACACATTCCAACACTGCTCAAAGTCTTGCCTTATATGGAAGCCAACTCTAAAGTTTTGTGTTGTGATGCTTAAATAATTTTTTCACATCTTCAGATTCAGATGGCTCTCCAAAGAACTAGCCCATATCTTCATTTAAAAAAAAAAACCCACCTGCATTTCTATAGTGCTCTAAGGCTTTCAGAAGAAAATTAATTGTGTAAAAAATGTGAAAAAGGAGCCAGTCACAGCCTGTCTCCTTCCAGGGTCCATCATCAGCCAGCACCATTTCACTGCCAGGGAGGGTGAGACACACTCTGTCGGCCAGCTGAAACCAATTTTATTATATCATGTTAGCCAACTTCAGCTTTTCTTTCAAAAAGGGCAGGATATAAAAATGAAAAATATGAATTAAACGTGGTGATTTAAAGATAGAGTCAGATATCCTTCCTGTCCAAGTAGCTGCCTGTAGGGATGCAACTACATCATCTAGAAAGAAGAATGCAGACCCAGACATGGCCTTATGAATCACAGCATCTTTTGCCAAATGATCTTGTCATCTTGATCAAATCATTTAACTCTCCCTTGTCCCCAGTTTTATATGCACTTCAGTAGGCCCATCAATTGGTATACTTTTAATGTTGAGAATTTGCCTGTTGGGTTGAAGAGGTGAAGCTGAAGTGAATCCTTTATCCTATTTGCTGCCCTCCTAGAGCCACTGTTAGCAACCCAATGACTCACCAGATTTATACCGATATTTTAGGTCTTAATTAACTTATGTAGAACTTACAGGCAGTTAGATTGTCAAGGAATATGAAAGCAGTGCGGATTCAAAAGGGCAAGTATTATATATTGTAATGTGAGGAACATATGTTCAGATGTCTAGTTCCTTCTGTTATCAAGACCATGGTGGTTTAGATAAGCTGTAAGCCAGAAGCAGGTCATTAACTACCAGACTGAAATTCTGTGGAAAAGGATTTTCTCATGTTCTTCCTTAGATACTGACAAGCCAGGCAATGTGCTATTTCACTGCAATAACACTGATCATGTGAAAAATAAATATATGCTTGTGTGCATTCAGTTCTAATTAATATACCCTTTACCAAATCACTCTTTGGATGCCTGGTATCAAGTTCTTCGGGGTTTGTTCCTTAATGTGTGCTCCATTTATCACTTTTTTAAAAAAATATACCAATTTAGTGTCATAATTTGAATGTATAATTGAATTTGCCAGTCTGACAGATGAATGAAACTGCTGCAAAACTCAAGTAACTTTTTTCAGTAGGGTTATGAAGGCAGCCAATCTGCCATCAGCGGCAAGCCACGGCTATCTCTTGGATTTGTACTGTTTAAATATTCGTGCCTTGCAAATAATAGAATAAACACTCCTTCCACCACCACCCCTTTATTCCCCTCCAAGCCCTCAAGATAAATATTAATAATACAAGAGATTGTGGGAAGATGAATAAAGCATAATTTGAGCTAAAAGCCTACAGATGGCAAAGAAATGAAAAAAGCTAAGTGAGGTGGAAGAGAAATGTGTAATTGAGCAACACCAGCGCCATATGTCAGATGCTGCCATAAAACAAGACAGCAAAAGGAAACCTTTGCCTTTGCTCTGTGGAAAACACCAAAATGAGTGCTTGGGTGAATGTCTTTCTAACTCTGATGCATTAAGCTCATCAGGGAGATCTTACCTGATCTTGCATTTGACAAGTTAGTATCTCTTTTTATATAGAGAGTGACAGTCCGTTGGTCTTCTTTTCCTTTCTTGATAAGGCGTCGAGAGCCATTCAAATTTAGCTGTAGCCAAAGTGATGAAAGTGAATTAGACTGAAAGCACACACATCTCCTGTTAGATATCCTGGAGAGCTGCTTCCTTCAAAGCCCCCTCAAAATGTTTGAATTGTTTCCTCTTGCATATTTCTAAGCTGTGTGTCAGAGAGGATTTCAAAAGACGGGGAATGATCTGCCAGTCTGTCTGTCTAGTCTGTGATTGTGTGCATTGCTTCCCAAGGAAGATCAAAGAAAACGCTAGCTTTTCCGGAAAATATCACTTTGAAAAATAAATAAATAGAAGAATGTGATACTGTGGCCTTAGTTCTGCATGTATGAATAGGGAGATTTCTCATGGGCAACCACACAGCTGAAGTTTCATTATAAAACTCTGGTGCTGAAGTTCTGCTCACATACAATATTTCTATTACCAAATGGATAAAATCACTAGTGTTGCTTGAATTAAGATCAGATAATTTATGGAGTCATTCCACTTGACACAGATGAAGCACAAAGAAAGAGAAAGAGAATGGTAAGTACATGTAATGATGATTGCTTATGATTGTTTCATGGCATGAACCTTTGCCTGGCCCTCATTTTCTCAATAAGAAACTAATGTGATGCTACATATTGGTCAGAGGCTGACTTAAATGCATCAAATTAACTCCAAGTTCCTGTTCCTGTTTGGCATGCAAGTTTGTCCCTTGAAAGTGTCTGTAGGCTGACTACAGATTTCTTGTTTACTTCATAGATGGGGTGGGTGAAAGTCAATGCTCAATCAATGCTCGGTGGTGGTCTGTGTTGAAGTGAATTTGGAAGGCCACTTACAGCAAAGCTTTGAAACGGACCATGGCTTGCACCAGTAGTCTGGCACAGTGGTGGATGCTAAGCATCCTATGGAGTATGGCTTCCTACTGGATTTGTTTGAGCATCATCACAAAGAAGCCTCCTTTCTCATTAGGATGTTTGCACATTATGATGCCACCATCCCAGCAATGTACCTGAAGCATCCATTATGCCTGCATCTTCATACCAGCTCACCATGATTAAAGTATAACAGTGCAAGGGCTGTGTCCCTGCTTGCTGTACCGGCCAATCCTCCTTCCCTCCTTGCAGGGTTCCCAACGTCCACTGCTGCTGAAATTTTAAATGCAGGCTTCTAGCGCATGCTTCCCCCAGCAGCAGGGCGGGAGAGGAAAGAGGAAAATAAGCTTCTTTCTTCCCTTTGTTCCCCCCACTACCATCACTGCTGCAGGAAGGGAGACAAGAAACTTTTAACGTGCAGGCTTTTACTCTCCCTACAGCAACAGTTGGGGCAGCAGCAAGGAGGGTGAGGTAACACAATAAGGAAAATAGCAGTGCGGGGAGTGCAGGAAGGCTTGCAAAGCCTGTCCCACAGTAGTCTTTTCGACAATGAAGGTTGAAAAGAACAGCACAGGGGGCCTTAGACCTTCTTCTTTCCATCTCATGCCACTGCCCCTGCTGAAGAACATGAGGCCGGCCAGCTGGCACTTCAGGGTGCCTTCCTCCTCCCTCATCGCTCCTCCTTCTGTTCTTCATGATGATCGGTAGTGGTGGTAGCAGGGGATTCTGAGGCCAGCTATAGAGGAGGAAAGTGAGCAACAGCAGCACCAGATGGCCTAAAGACATGGATCTGACAGTCGAGGGCTCCAAGTCTGGCAGGCAGAAGAGCCAGAGGAGCTGACCACAGTTCATTCTGACTGTTCCTCTGCAGCAAGCCTGGGCTGCCACCTCTCATCATGCTGTAGTTCACAGCACCACCTATTGGCAACCATGCAAACTACTGCATGACAACAGTGCAATGCAAATGTGTATTATATAGTGTATTTTATAACTAAAGTACAGAATAGTCACCAGCTAATTAAGCATATATTCACAGTATCTCTGAATATGTCACACATAATAAGGACAGTATGCCTTACACATTCCACTAAATGCTTCAACACTGTAATATTTTTTTCTCTTTTATCTCCATTAAGCAATTAAAAAGAGAGATTGCATTTTAATTCCTTTATGTTTATTTAATGGTTCTTTCGGAATAATTGGTGCAGTTGGTACTACAGATTAATGGTAAAGCAGGAGGGAATGAAAAGGGATGGCATATTTTCAAGTTTATTTTCAATGGGAAAAAAGCCTAGGAAGAAATTAAGGTCTCCCGAAAGCATACAAGCAGTCATTTTACTGTTTACTTTTGGAACTTTTTGTCCTAAATTACAAACTCTATGGAAGTGAACCATTATTATATTTCACCAGGTTTAAAGTGACAGTGTGGGAAAAATGACATGCCGGGGTGGGGGGAGAGAGAGAGAGAGGAGAGAGAGAGACCGACCAAGTTCATTTTATGAGTAAGTGAAGCTGTACTTAGTGTCAGAGCTTCAATTAACAAGATCTGGGAAATAACCACTTCAAGTTAAGATCTAAAATGCATGGCTCAGGCTGATTTTGCTTCAGTGAAATTACTTTTAAAAGTGTGTATGATCAGACTTTTAACAGGCAGGGAACTGGGCTTATTTCCAAATTGCAACTTTAAGATTTATTGTATTTTCACCCTCCCCTCTTTAGCCCAAGCCTTTCTGGCTGGCTGCAATTAATACAGATGTTATGGTTTTTGATTTGCATTGCTACAGCATATGAACTCAATTACTTTTCATTTGTAGCCCTGAAAATGGCATAAACCCCCTTTGTGATGAAGTTTTTCACTGCATTGGTAGAAGTTACTGAACCATGGAACCAGGCAGATATCAAGTGAGCCACAGAGAGTGCCTTCCTTTTGTTTCTGTTTAATATACTTCGCTTTCCTTATGTGCTCTGCTATGGCAAGAGGTCATTGAGGCAAGTGCTGCAGCTGATTTTTAAATGGCTCGTTATAAGATTTTCTCATGGGGAAAAATAAGAGGATGTCTAATTTTTGAATGCTATGACAAGGATAACTAAATCCATGCATAAAAATGCACAGGTCAAGATTGTCTTCCCATATTATCTACATATCTTTAAGAAAGCTTTGCTAATGAGTGGCAATTTTTACTAGCCTGCTTTCCCTCCTCCTGCTCTGCAGATCTAATAAGCCCCTTTTTCAAATGCTATGGCAATCCCCTCAGATTACTTGGTTTCTGAGTTGTAGTCCTAGTAATCAGTAGTAGTCAGTGAGGAGGGCTGGCACCACCCATGTGGCCTCACGGTTTACCAGAAGAGAGCGAGAAAGGTGGCAAGGAGGTTGGGACTGTGTTGGCATATTGGAGAAACTAATCCATCATTCTTTCTAATGTACAGTGGTACCTCGGGATGCAAATGGGATCCATTCTGGAGCCCTGTTCGCATCCAGAAGCAAATGTAACTAGCGACAGCACGTCTGCATGCGCATGCATTGCTTTTCGCTGCTTCTGCACATGCGTGTGATGTCATTTTGAGCATCTGTGCATGCGCGAGTGGCGAAACCCGGAAGTAATGCGCTCCATTACTTCCAGGTTGCCGTGGAGCGCAACTCGAACGTGCTCAACATGAAGTATATTCAACCCAAGGTATGACTGTACCTGCACAGAGCTAACCTCCCTGCCTCCTCATTTCTCTACCTCTTGGAACCTCTCAGCAACTCTACTTCTGAGAAGCTAGGTGTGTGGAGGTAGCTGTCCTTACCCACCACTCCTACCGGTAACTTCCAGGAACAAAAACAGTTTCAAGTAGTGCTATGGCAGCTCAGGACTTCATGGCCTCCATGACAGCCATGGGGTTCACTTGAAGCAGTGATGGCCAAACTTGGCCCTCCAGCTGTTTTTGAACTACAACTCCCATCATCCCTAGCTAACAGGACCAGTGGTCAGGGATGATGGGAATTGTAGTCCCAAAACAGCTGGAGTTTGGCCATCACTGACTTAAAGCATCAAAAGTCCTGACTTTAAATAGTTTTGAATGCCATTTTCCTTTTTTTTTCAGGCTTGTGGCTGGTGGCTTAAGTCATTTTTATTATGCTCTAACTGTTATGTATGTAAATTATGACAATGATTTCTAATGATTTTGCTTATGGGGTACTTTATTTTATTTTATTCGTGAACTGTCCTATGACCATTTTGGTGAAGAGAGAAATATTTTTAAAATTATAGAAACCTCCAACTCCCAACAACCCCAGCCTGCATGGTCAACAATTAGGTCAGGAATTATAGCAGTCGGGAGTCTAACAACGGATGCTTCCAGAATATCACTGTTTTCAAGGAGGATTCAGTAGCATGCTGGGGAATTCAGACTGAATGATTAAAGCTGATCTGGAGCTCTTGTGAAACAAAACTGCTTCCCCAAACTTCAGACTTTTGTGATATGGAAAGTAATGGGGAAATGCACTGGAAAGGGTGTGATAACACCTGCTTGATTCAATGGCACCTGATCTCTCTGCAAAGAAATAATAGTGAATGTTCATTAAATAGTCAGTGCTGTCTAATTCCCCCTGCAAACAAATCAGGATGGATGCTCATTGAACAGGTCATCTGGAAGTGACCAACATCTGGACAGAGACACGTTCCCCATCATCCCCAAAGTGACAAAATCTCTTCTGTTTTGAGCCTAATCAGTGTCCTTTTTGTGTTCAGAATGATACATTTGACTGAAATTCATCCAAAGATAATTATTGTAAAATATCCTGGTTTGTAACTTTCTGCAAATCCTTTGACATTATTTAATCTCTGGATGGGTTGAAACATATCATCAGTTTCTAACACAGTCTCCTTTCCCCTCTAATACAAGGTTATTTTCTTTCTTTTCTTTTAGTTAGGGCAGAGGTCAGTTATCATTCAGTCCAACTATAAATGGACTTGAAGCCTAGCAAAGCATCCACCACAGTTCAGATGCAGTTCAAATCATGACCTACAGAAGGCTCATTTTTAACCACCCAGCTATAATTTCTCCTGTCATTCAAATTGCTCAAACTATAAAGCACATGAATTGTAGGAACTTAAAGTCACAATAACACTGTTATACTTAACGTTTATCTAATAATAGTGCCATTTTTTTGTTGCTGGAGAAAATGGTTTAGGAGGAAATAAAGCTGGACAACAGCCTGTGAACACAGCTGCCAAGCAAGGAAGCAAATCAACTAATCACATCAACACTTAAACCAATGATAGCTGTTTTACAATAGAGGGAAATTGAATCAGACACATCAAACACCTGGCACAGTAGGGCACTTGCTAGCCCCATAGAGATTTGTGTTCATGGTGGAATAAATTTCACCATCATTACTGGCAAGGATTTATGATCATAGGATTTAATTGCTGTTGCTAGGATTAACATGGTCTGTACTGACAGAACATACATTAGTGGTCTTCTCAACTATAAGCAACCAGATCTGCTAGGTAGAATCACATGCATGAGAGTGTTCAGAACATTTCGCAAGAATTACCTCAGCAGTTCTTACAACAGGCCTGCTGATGTGTGGCATTCCAGGCCAGACACAGCTCACTACCATACATGGCTGCTCACCTAGAGCTCAAGGACCCACCTGATGTTCCCCCCTGCTTTGGACAGTAAAAGCAGCAGTGGGCTGTCAAATGCTTGGTAGGCCACAATACCAGACAAAGGCATCCTTTAGCTGTGTGTCTTACAAGCTGTGCAGCGTGCCTTACAACATCTCCGTAAGGGAGCCCAGTATTATTGCCTCTTTGTTACAGATATCAAGGACTGAGAGTGAGAGATAAACCACCATGTGGGATTGTGCCAAGGAAATATTTGGACAAAGGCTCCCATACAGACAAAAGCATTAGGAGTTGTGCTGGCCACGCTACCTCCTCACACACCATAGTCTGTGATTTTGCCACATCCACCCATTTACAAGGAAGTGGCTCAGGACGGAACAGATTTTCATGAGACTAACATTTTTAATTTCATTTTTTGTTCTCAAAATAGTATATAATGAAATAGAAGAAATGGCAAAGGAGCCCAAGGAAACATATGAAGCAATTAATGAAGCAATTCATGTTGTATATTATAAAAGGAAAATTATCAGCATTAAACCCTAGAACTAAGGACTTTCATCCACATTCTGCAGGAAAGAACCATGGCCCCATTTTATTTGTGGAGGCTCCGTAGTGCCTCCCTGCTGCACAAAATGCACCCAGGGCTAAACTCTGGCATTCAAGACAGGCACTTGGGCAAAGATCTGATGTTCCCTGGTACATATTAAAGCTTACAAGGCAGTAATTGTGTCGATACAACTGCCTGTAATGTCAAAGAACCATGTGTGCAGTGCCAAACGTCACATTTATGATATTTCTGTGGTGCATTGACTAGTGCTTGTCTTCTGGAATGCACCGAAAGCGTGGGATCAGTATGCAACTTTGTTCAATACAACCCTGTTCAACTATGCTCTGAATAGATCAATTACATGATTTATGAATGTTACAAAAGCATGACATGAACTTACGGTATATTATTATTGCATTATATCAATAAGACTGTTCCTTCAAGCTCAACTAGGTGAAGAACCAGACCTTGTGCTCATTTTAACAATGGCATGAACCTTGTGGGAATTTTCAATTATGTATAGCAGGCATCCCCAAACTTGGCCCACCAGATGTTTTGGGACTACAACTCCCATCATTCCTAGCTAACAGGACCAGTGGTCAGGGATGATGGGAACTGTAGTCCCAAAACATCTGGAGGGCCGAGTTTGGGGATGCCTGATGTATAGGCTACATTTCTCAAAATACTGTGCATGACAGCATAACAGCGCAATCTTAAAATTCACAATACCAGCAAATAAATGCAGGAGACTGTGTTGAGGGTGAGTTTAGTACTAAGCTACATTAAATGTGAACCATAGGAGGTCAGGTATAAAGCTGGAGCACTGCTGATGTTTCTTTTGGGTTTGCAAAACAAAATGCACAAGTTTATAGGTGCAAGCACCTGGGAATTTTCACTCCAAATGTTAATCTCCAAACTGCCTTGATCCATTTGAAAGAGTAATAGTGAGAAGGCAAATGAAATTCAATATAAAGTAATGTGTATTGGAGCAAAACACCCCAAATTCACAGACACATTGATGGGATCTGAGCTGGCTGATGCTCTCCAGGAAAGTGATATTGGAGTTGTGGTAATGATCAATGAAATCACCAGCTGAATGAGTAGTGACAGTGGAAAATGCAAATTCCATATTAGGAATTATATTGGGGGGGGAGAGAGAATTTAAAGTAAAATGACCAGAATCAAAATGTAGAGATGTACATTGGTTCCGTGTGCAGCTCAAATTACAAAGCAAGTAGAAACAATCTGGGTAAGGTTTTCAAACACCCAAGTCAGACTGTGTCATTAACAAGTCAAATCAACAACTCCCTAAAGTCCCAAGTTACTCTATAGACTCAGGTGTCCAAAAACACTGCATTTCCTTTTTTAAGTGAAACCAAACTTACTAGGGAAATGACCTGAATTTGAACAGAGAGAGGTAGAGAGGTTGGGTTGGATCTTTCATTTGATGGACAGGCCTAAAGTAGGTTTTAATCACAGTGAATTATTTTTCCAGGATGCTCCAATCACATTGATTTAGGGGAGAAAAGTTGAAGAAAACAAAAGTGTTTGCTTTTCACTTGGCTGTTGTTTTGCCTGGGACAGTAGGGTGTTTAGAAAGGCAGCAGATTATTAGTGTCCTTCCCAATCACCTGGTTCCTAACAAGCAATTAAAATACTTCCATTGATTTGTGTTCATTCCACTCTATTTATTTCTCCTCCCATCCTGGATCCTGGTTTGTGTTGGTTTGGCTACTAGTTTTCAGACTTTTGGAGAGCTCAGTATAGGGTAATTCTATTTTCCTGTCCCTCAGATCCATTATTGGGCTTTGCCTGTGATTTATTTTTCTTCCCAGTTTTAGTTCGCTTGCTAGAAGTTTTATTCTCTTCCTTTCATGTTTTAGAGTACCTGTGATTTCACTGAATTTTGTTTTTGCTCTCCAATAATACAAATAATTTTATTAGAGTTTTCTCCCTTCCACCTCTGGGACTGGTACTTTCCCACCACTCAACTGAACCTGCTTGCCCCTTAAGTTAGTGCCCAGGGGCTCCATGTCACCAGTTTTTAGACTGATTGTCCAGAAAACACTAGCAAAGGTTAATTGAGTTCACTTCCACCCACCCCAAAATGGCGAAGTTTGCCCTTGTGGGAGAACCACTGCACCTATCATTCCAAATTTGGCAGGCTCCATCCCCAGAAGGGGTGACCAATGCATGCAAATTACATCCAATTCTGGCAGAAAAATGAAAGCTAGTGACTTTTTTCTTTTAAAAAATAAAATAAAGGTTTCCCGTGCAAACTCTCCTGACTGGATCTGTTTGCAATTTGGCAGGCTTAGTACACACTGGAGGGGCTCTTTTTGCTGAAATTTTCATCTACTTCTGTAGGGAGCAAACAATTCTTTTTTTTTTTTAATGATATTTATTAAGGTTTCAAAGAAAAGAATTACATAAATAGAAAGAAAGGAAAAAAATACAAAAATAAAAATAAAAGGAAAATACAAAATACAGAAAAAAGATAAAAAACACTTAAAAAATATATATCAGTCTTTCCATGCCTTACATTCATTTCCTTGCTTACCTCCTCACACCTCCCTTTTTTGTATTCCAATTCAGTTAGTTAATTCAGCAATTTCTTTCCCTCTTTGTTTTTATCTTAATCCTTTAACTTAATATTTTATAACTTTGGATTCTCACCTGTTAACAGTCCATTTTTACATACACCTTTATAACATTGCTGCTTAAACCACTTAAGTTCATTCTGACATCGTTCTAACATTCATTAATTTTGCAGTATTTCTGTAAATAGTCTTTAAATTTCTTCCAATCTTCTTCCACCGACTCTTCTCCCTGGTCTCAGATTCTGCCAGTCATTTCCGCCAATTCCATGTAGTCCATCACCTTCATCTGCCATTCTTCCAGAGTGGGTAAATCTTGTGTCTTCCAATACTTTGCAATAAGTATTCTTGCTGCTGTTGTGGCATACATAAAGAAAGTTCTGTCCTTCTTTGGCACCGTTTGGCCGACCATGCCCAGGAGAAAGGCCTCTGGTTTCTTCAGAAAGGTATATTTAAATACCCTTTTCATTTCATTATAAATCATCTCCCAGAAAGCCTTAATCCTTGGGCACGTCCACCAAAGGTGAAAAATGAACCTTCAGTTTCTTTACATTTCCAACATTTATTATCGGGCAAATGATAGATTTTTGCAAGCTTGACTGGTGTCATGTACCACCTGTATATCATTTTCATAATATTCTCTCTTAAGGCATTACATGCCGTAAACTTCATACCTGTGGGGAAGCAAACAATTCTTAAGGTTATAGCTGTTTTCAGATTCCCCACTACAGTCAATGAGGGAAAACAGAGCTTCAGGTTCAACAGATCTGATTTGGAGCAGATTAACATGTGGAATCAGAAAGAGCCTGAGTGAACTGGAAACAGTTCGGGTTGCTTCCTAATGCTGCAGATGCTGGGGGGGAAGCAACGTGCCCTGTGTCTGAGCTTCTCAGAGGCATCTGGCTAGCAAGATCCTTGAAGTTAGAGTGCTAGATGCCTTTTGTTTCAGCTTGGATTCACAGGATACATGGAGGCAAGTAGGTGTGCAAATGGCTTGTTGAACACACAAAGTGTTGTTTAGCATGTAACAGCAAAACAGATGGGTGTAACTTGCAAGGCAGCATGCCAAATAGTGATTTATGCCCATGACAAGTATTTGAAATGAGTTGGTGATATGGTGTGGATGGGGAGAGGATGGCTTTTGCATATACAGGAAGCAGATATGAGATTTTAAACAAAGATTGGCAGGGATCTGGTTGCTAGTTTATGCACAGAATATCTGTGAGTAGTGCATATCGGATCTAATTCAAATGTCAGAAAAGTGCATCTTCTTGCAAATAAAGCTCATATTAAAGATGTACGACAGTGTTATGCAAAACTTTTGTTGTGTTTGAACTGGCCACAAGTCCTCATGATAGATGTATGAAAGTTAATGGTTGCAGATTATTGTTCTAGTCTAGAATGAGTATTTTCTGTAGCCTTAAGTAGTATTCATCATTCTAACTGTATATTGCTATTATTGCAGTATTCCCAAACATCCCAAGAAGATAAAAACCCACAACCCTTTGTATTTAGGGCTAAAAACCCTTGGTTAGAGGCCACACCTTCAGCTACCATGGAAGTTCTCCCATTTGAGATGAACTCAGATATACCAAATGGCTAGAGAAATTTGTTCAGTCTAAGCAAGTTGTGTTAAGAATGAATATTAGAAAGGGAGGATATTGCAGGCTGTCTTCTAAAGCTTTTCAGTAGATACAGCCGAGAAATGGATTTTTGGACAGATATCAGCTTCAGATGAATCCATAATGTACTTTTTTATACGTAATGCTCTCAAAACTAAGCAATATCACAATGACTAGTAATCATAACTTTTCCTCTCTCTCTCTCTGCATGAGAATGAATTCAATAGCTGCATTAAAGTCTCCTCCTGCTACCTTTTAGAAACTGATGCATAGATCTTTTCCACACTGTCCTTATAAAATAAAAAGGTTGAGGGCCGAGTCTCTTGAGTAGCTTTATGGCTTGGCTTGGCATTTTAGTCTTATCATGCAGCTGCACAGATCATCTGTCCTCAAAGATGGTTACATGACTTGGACATTACTGTGTGATGTCCTATTCCATTCTCTTATGTTCTGCCAATTAGATTATCCTGTTTCTCCTTTGATTCCGCTAAGGCAATGAATCCCTGTAATAAGGTCATACTTTCTCTTTAGCTTAGACATTTTAAAATATATTCACACACATACATAAGGCAGTGCTCAGCAGAGCCATCTTCCATTTACTCAGTCTTAGAATGCAACTATGATAGCACCTTCTCCGGCCATAACATTTCTTAATCATTTCTTTCTTGCCACTGTTTTCCATCTATGACTTATTGTCTACAGTGTCTAGCATATTCTCAGTATGATGATTGATAGGCCATTTAGAGATGGTAGGTGTTGTTGTTGTTGTTTGTTTCAAACAGGGAGGAATGAAAGGTGCAGGGTTGTGGAATCTGGGTTCCTTGACTGAAGAGTTTTCCTTTGTTTTGTTTTGTTTTAAAAAAGCATATTTGTGAATCTTCACTTTTTTCGATTATGTCTGTTGCCTCTTCTGAGATTCCCCACCCCACCCCTTGTTTTACTACATATTCCTGGCTCCTAGTTCCTTCCTGGATTAGTAGTGTGCATAATTGCATGCAATCAGAGTTATTCAGTAAACAAGATAATATTGTGCCATGCTTTTCTGGACCATATCACTGAAAGAAATGAGAGTTAGGGCGATCCTAAGGATGTTTAAAAGGTAAAGGGTAAAGGGACCCCTGACCATTAGGTCCAGTCATGACCAACTCTGGGGCTGCGGTGCTCATCTCGCTTTACTGGCCGAGGGAGCCGGCGTACAGCTTCCGGGTCATATGGCCAGCATGACTAAGCTGCTTCTGGCGAACCAGAGCAGCGCACATAAACGCCATTTACCTTCCCGCCGGAGCGGTACCTATTTATCTACTTGCACTTTGAAGTGCTTTCGAACTGCTAGGATGTTTACTCAGAAGTAAAACCAACTGAATCAGCTGGATGCAAGGAAATTATGCAGTGGCAGCCTCAGGCAACAGATTTTGTGTGTCATATGAGGGCAGCAAGTTGCTGGTTAAAAAAATTATTGTTATTGTATTTTTAGTCCTATGGAGAGCCTAGAGGTGCTCTTTCTCAGATGCCAGAATAACTTGGCTGGCCTTAGGTACCTTGACTTGGTGAGATTTGGACATTAGCTGGCTGTGCCTTAGGCTAGCTGTGGTTGAATGAGACATGGGCTGCTTGCACGCCACACATTTAAGGTACTTCTAAGTCACATAACTTTTCTCAAAGAATCCTGGGAATTGTAGTTTGCTAAGCATTCTGGCAATTGTAGCAATTGTGGGGGAATCCATGTGCTTGGAATGCATTGTGTGCAATGCATGCTGCCTTACTCCTTTGTAGCAGTGCTTATAATTACAGCCTAGGCTAACACTTTCACAAGGAGTACTGAAGGAGAAGCATTTTTTCAACACTGCTAAAAATGCTCAGTAAAAATGGTACGGCTTTGGCTCAGCTATATGTAACATTATTAACCTTGCTGGGCTTTCTACATTTAAAACATAAATAAGGGCAGGAACATCTCTATAAAAGGGAGGGAGGGAACAAAGTGGACATAGAAACCTAAGTGGATGTCTGGGCAGATTAATTTTTTTTATTAAAATAGAGGAAGACGCCAGTAAATTTGGAGGAAGAGAATTGAGATAATGAATTGGATTAAATCCAATAGCTATCCAATGATAAGAAAGGGAGGGTGTTACATTACACCCCATAATATAACCACCAGAGGGCCAAAAAGCCTAATGCTACTTTCCAGACTCACTCCCAGATGTAAGATTGTAACCACTGTAACCCAGGGCCCCCAATTCCCATTCCTGGCAGCTGGTCCTGGAGGATACCATGGTCAGTGATATCAAAAACCAACAAGAGATCAAGAAGCAGGAGCAAGGTCACACTCCCCTTGTCCTGCTCTACAGAGCAACCAAGGCCAACTCTGTCCCATCACCAGGCCTAAACTGAGATTGGAATGGATCTATGTAATCAGCGCCAGCAAATAATGATTGCAGTTGCCAACCCACCCCCTTTAAAGAAACATTTTTCCATTACAAAAAAAAAAAAAACAGCTTAAAATCCCACTCGCTAAAAGAGACAATGCCAATCACTGTAGGCACTCCTGAGCAACATGAGCCATTGGTCTGGCATGAAGTAAGGCAGCATCCTATGTTCTGGGGTGCATTCTGTAGCTCTCATAAAATCTCATTATAGCTCAGCGCAGTCAGCCATTCTAAGACTTTTTTTTTTTTTTTGCATGCAAGCCTGATAGCAATTATTTAGAAGATAATTGCAGAGTAATTAATATGTAAAGGTATTTGAGGTTGTTAGAAGTTATTCTGAGTTGCTTTAATGTGGGTTCCATTAGTGCAAGTTCCTTCCCTCCTGAGATCGTTCAGGATAAGAGAACAGTATCAACCACTTTCCTAATATATTCTCTTATCACAGTTCCCTAATATCAAACTCAGATGGTAGAGTGCCCAACAGGACCGTAACCAAAATAGCACACAACCACACCCATGAAACAAGGGGGAAGTATCAGCATGCTCGAGTAACAAAAACTCAAAGGGAAGGGGCGTTAAAGTTCAACGAAGACCGAGCATGCTCAGTTGCCTCAAGAAGTCAGCAAAAATTCCATAGGGTCAAGGCAATCAATGGAAAAGAGCAACAAGCTGACATCTGATTAAGTTTATCACCAATCCCATGGAGTATCTTCTTTACCCCTCCTCCCATACCATTTTTATACTAGAAATTAAAAGTAAGGGGTTGTGGAAAAAATAGAAGTAAGTGTGCTAAGGGGAAATTTGAAGGAGGTGAGAGAAGACCATACATGTGTACAGGGAGGGAGCTGCATGTAGAACTCAAACCTTGTTTCTCTTGTTTTTGGTATCCATCTGTGTCAGGAAAAGAGTGTATTTGGGGGTCACGTAGTCACCAACACAATCTCCACATGTTAACTTTGTGTTGTGCAATTATTTCCTTTAAAAACAAAGCAAAAGAATGGCCAAAAGCAGTAAAGCTGAATAAGTCTCAGCAGAGCATGACTGGTAACAACTATAGGATAGGATTTACAGAACCTTAACTTCAGAACACAAATGGTAGCCTGATTCTGCAAAACTTCCATATTCAGTATTCAGAGTATACCTTTCAATATAACAAATCCTCCTATGTTAATTTTAACGTAAGCCCATACCAAATACATGTTTATGTTGCAGACTGTTCCTTGACCCATATTTTGTGAGGAGAACCTGAGCTTACAGGGTTAAACAGCTCAGAGTGTACGCTCTGCCTACTAGTGGGAGGGGGAAACTTCTACGTCAGTTCCGAGAGACTCAAGTCTTTGTTCTGTCTCTCTACTTTCGCTTTTGAGGAGAGAGGACGTGTTTTCGCGATGCTGTTCGCTGTGATAGATAATGGATAGCCTGCTGTAAATAAAGCTGCTTTTAGCTGCTAAGATCCTGTGTGGACTTTATTTAAGCACACTGAAGAATGCACTGGAGTTGTTGTTTTTTGGTTTCCTCTTACCGCTGACGAACTCTGCTATGCTCAGATATGTGGATTTTGGAATGCAGAGGCCTGCGATGGGGGAAGCGTGCCGGACCTCACGCTTATCTGAGCAATAAATCAATATTATCTAACATATTTATGTTTAATGAATTACTTCTGCATTTCTGAGTCATGAATGTGTAAACAAACAATTCCCATCTACCTGCAATTTCACAAGAGAAAATCAACTGCAGGGGGTTGGACTAGACAACCCTTTGTGTCTCCTCCAACTTGGTGCCCTCCAGATGTTTTGGACTACAGCTCCCATCATTCCTGGCCTTGGTCATTCTGACTGTTGCTGAAGGAAGTTTCAGTCCAGAACATCTGTAGGACATCAAGTTGGGGAAGGCTGCCCAAAATAAATATGATACATAGTGACCATGCCCACTGCAAACCAGCTTTTTCATCATTGACCTTGCACAACAATATATTTAAAATCATTTGAAGCCAATATTTTCAATTAAAAGAAGACCATAGGGGAAGTCAAGAGTAGATTCTCTAAATGTGCCTGGATTATTGTTTTTTCAGAAAACTGAGGCCCACAAATTATTATGCCTACAAGCCCAAGGGTTTCAGGCTGAATATTACTGATTTAGTCAGCAGCAGAAGAGACTGTCCCAGCTGAAGCAGTTGGTGTTAAATAGGTCTCTGATGTCTGACAGGCTGGGGTCTAATTTTGACTTCCCTGGATCCTCCTAGCTGGCACCTTCCCAGACATCACATTATATTAACAAGGCTCATAAACTGTCAGAAATAACTCGTCCACTTAACTGGCTGGAATGATGCAGATTTTAAGGACATGGCCTTTCCAAGAATTGTCTGTCTTTATAATTTGTCATCTCCACAGCCAGTAATATAGTGTTGCTGGATTCCTCAGCTAAAAGTCTTTGCCACATTAATTTCTCAGGAGACTATGGCCTCTTTTGACCATTTACCCTTAGGGTGTCCTCTCACACCAGACTCTGAGGGTGATGCCCTCCAACAGAACGATTCCACATTATACTTCCTGACAAACAAATTACTGTCTTGTCAGGTATAGTAAGTACCAATGTGATTCTCCATTACATCTTTATAAGTGTCAGAGGCTGTAGATTTCTAAAATAGCTCTTTCTCAAAAGGGCTAACTACACATTGCATGGAAAACAGACCCCATTGGTTTTTTGGTTTCTTTAAATGAAAAGCAACTTGGCGAGAGGTACATGGTGAACACAGAGTGACAGGGAGGGGAGCTTAATCCTTCTTTGCCCACTCTTCAGAATAATGCCCAGGATATCTTAGGAATATCCTTACCTAAAGACCTACCTGAGAATTGGTGTCTCCCATTTATTCTTCAATTTTAGAAGAATGCTGGAGATGCCATGCTGGTTTTGGTGGCAATTCTTGAAGGGTAGCCTCTAAATGTGCCTTGCCTTGTGGCTTCATTTTGATTCAGACTACTATGTTCTTTGTTCTTTCCTCCTTCTCCCTGAACCTTTCATATACAGTGTGTCCGTTGCCCTTGTCATACCACCATCACAAGCCAATCACAGTAGTACTCTTATTAGAATCACATCAGGATCTTAGCCATCCACCATGGAGTAGTGTAATGGTAAGTCTGTCATGCAGCTCTAGGTTTCTAGGTTTCTAAAACTATTAACTGTCACCAGAGCTTTGAAGTGCGCTGCTTTTCATCATACTAAAAGGGAATCAGTAAAGGAATCAATCATTGCCAAAAAGTCTTCTTCATTTCATTTCATATGTTAGGTTTCATAGTACTTTGTTGTTGTTGTTGTTGTTGTTTAGTCGTTTAGTCGTGTCCGACTCTTCGTGACCCCATGGACCAGAGCACGCCAGGCATAGTACTTACTTGATCACATTGGTTCAGCTGACCATAAGTTCAACCACAACCATGTGGATAACCAAGAGGGCTTTTTGAGCGTTCTGTGGGGCAGCCTACCATTGGTAGAGACTCTAGAAATGGTAGAAGAACAACCCAACCACCACACCCTTCCAGGCACTTTAAAGCATCCTATACCTAGCAGATGCAATCACCTGAAACCATTTGGTGAGGTAACAGGTAACATATAAAGGATGCACTTTGGACAAGTGGAAAACTAGAGAAGTAACCAGACTCTAGGGTGGCAGGTACCACAGTCAGTGGCAATGACTGAAGCCCTGTGTATGTCACAGTGACCTTGCTTCAAAAATAGCCCCATTTTTGTGTTACTCTCAGAAAGCAGCAAATTAAGTCAAAGGGGGCTGTATGTCTGTATATTTGGTGCTCATCCCATCCCTGCTGTCCACGTGTTAACACATTTATCAAACCCTAATTGACATTATTCCCTCATTAACATCTTTCTCATAAAAATTCTTATTATGAAATAACCGGCCTACAATGCACATGCCACTATATTAAAGGCATGTAATGAATTTGGATGGATTTGTATGTATGGTTGGTATGGGTTAAATTGGTCTTTTGAATAACTGAAAATCACAGCTTAGCATATCTTACTTCAAAAAACTTTCCTGAAGCAATTTCAGGACACATGAAGTCACAGTCACAACACTACTGAGTCATCTCAGCATATGTCAATTCACTGATTCAAAAGTCAATTTATGTTGATTTCAAAAAAAGAAAAGAAAATAATGACAAGAGTACAATGGATTTTTTAAAAAATGTAGACCATTAAGGTGTTGCCATTTTCAGTAATGCTTTTTCTGGGGGTTTTAAGCCATCTTTAAAAAATATACCACTGAAACTTGAATCAGGAGAAGAGCTTGTAGGTAACAATGTGCAAACAATTCTTTCTTTCCCTACTCTTGTGGCCACAATGCTAGGCTGTTGGGATTTTAAGATGAAAGAATGCTCAAATCTAGGCACCCATCATTCATATGCAAATCTCTCACCATATGTGTTTCCTGCAAGTGAAGGAGTTTGTACTCAGCAGAGAGGAGCTTGTCAGAGCTTGTCTTTGTTTACCAGAAAGCTTTGGGGTGTTCTTTTTTTTTTTTGCTGCCATCAGAAATACATCTCTGCAAACAATCACCACTGTCCTCAGAATATGCAGATCTTCTATATCCACAGGCCCTCAAATAAGTACCTAGCATTTATAATCATCAATTTCATCTAATCCAGGTGGTTGCTGGGTGTTTTTTCCTCCTAACGCTAGACATTTATTTGGAGGGCTGTGAGCAGTAGGTGGTTTTGTCAGATCTGCAGTAGCATAAAGAACCAATTTTTCTTATCCTAATCCTATAGCTGTCTGGAAAAGGTGACACACAGTGAGACATAATGATAAGAAAAGCTCAAGCTGCCCAAGGCGGTCAGATACCAAAGCTGGATGATTAAACTATTCTGTAACATTCCCAGAGTCCCAGGGTGGGGGAGGGAGATGTGAATGGTTACTTCTCCAAAACCACCAGAGAAGAACGGACAGAGACAGGCAATGTCCTCCTTGCCTTCATATTCTTCCATACATAGAAAGTGGAGCCAGGTGGGTGGGGGAGAACCACCACACTTCTCTGTAATGTGTTTGGAGAACTAAAGGGCACACAGCCCCTACTTGCTCCATTTAGCTAAGCTGGGAATGTGTCAGTATTAAGCACTGACAGCTCTTACACTCAGCCAGTGCTGGGTAGGGAGAGGAAGGGACAGATGAGAAAGGAAGAGAAGGAATGGCAGCAGTTTCAGCAACTTCCCCTCTCAAGCGGCATCTCAAGCACAGGCCCCAAAATAAGAGGGAAAGATGTTGCTGTCCACATGTAGGGCCAAATGTTGGGGCAGGATATAAGCCCTTCTGGCTCTACCCATGACTTCACACATTTCCAGCTGCCCTGTTTGGATACAGCGACACTTATCAAGCCAGGCAGGTCAGTGGTTTCAGCACCATGGAAAGCTCCAGTAAAGCCTGGATGTGAATAGAGGCCATTTGAATCCCTTCACACAGTCAACCTCTCCCAAGCTCCACACACAGTCCCACCTGAAAAGTGTGAATCATTAAATGACCAACTCCCTGGCCCTAACATGAGTGCTTCTCCTCTATTCTGTGACCTCCCACCTAACCTGCTCCCATGGTTGGGCAGGGAGTGGGTGGTATTTGACTACTCGTGTCTCAATTAAGGCATCCCCAAGGGCCCTGGCTCGGGTTCCACAGTATCCAGAATCTGTTCCAGTTTCCCAGCCAGTAGTACAGCAGCCCCAGACCTGCTCAGCTTATTCTGAGATTGACTCCCCAAATATCCATGTGTTGATATGGATATCTTCAAAGAAGCTGCTTTTGTGCAGGGTACTGGTTAAATTGAATCATTCATGCAGACAGCTATACACACAAAGCCTTTCCATTTGCAGATATCTGCATCAACCCATGAGCATCAGGTGCAGGACCAAGACCTGTGGTTTAGACCTAAGCTTGGATGCTGGAGGCAACATCCCAAAAGGAAAACAGGGCCAGCTGTAGTATTGCCAGTGACTTTAGGGAAGAGGGCAAGTACAGACTCCTCTGTAGGTTTTAAATACAAACATAAATGAAAATGTGTCAGCAGAGGATATCTCTAACATCCTGTAGACTGAGTACCATTACCTCATCTAACAGTGATCTGTGACATTAACTCTGTTCTCACATTTGAAAGTCACATTGAAAATGTTGAGGAGGAAGCAGAGCTATTGTCCCTGACCTCCATTCATTCAGCTGAATATGAGAATGTTGTTGTATGCATGCTTGGGATCTCTGACCTTGTGCACACTCTCTACTGTATTTCATAACTTCCACTTAACATTCAGGGGACAGAGTCACTAGACGCAATCCCCCTCACCCATCCATGTGCTGAGGGTGGGTTTGAAGCTCTAGGATAATGATAGAAAACAATCGTTATTGCATTGTGCCTTCCAAATCCCCTTAACACTGATCTAATTCTACTCATATTAATAGAATAATATCTTGTCTCTTTTGTTTTAGTACTGAAAAAATCAGTATAGTGTGTTTTCTCCATGGTAACCCATTAGTCCCAAAAATGAAAATTTTGCATAATTCAGAATTCAGCATATTTCCATCATTATAAACTCTGCTTTTGAATAAAGGATTATTACCCCTACATGACAAAGCTTGCCTTTTTTATTTGAAAAAAATTATGTATGAATGAATGAAGTTGATTTAAAAATTGCTAAATTTTATTGAAACTTGTTTATCAGGTATTGTCATATACTACATGTCAGCTGTCAATTACTCTGCATGTCAAATACAGTCAAGCACTGACTGCTACCTGGCAGATATTGTCAAAACTACTGCTTCATGCTGGTGTCCAATACTGTTAAATGTTCATTGTTCTGCGTCAGAGTACCAACAGTAGCTGTGTATTAGATACTGTAACATGTTGGCATAAGAACATAAGAAGCCTGCTGGGTCAGGCCACAATGGCCCATCTAGTAAAGCTTCCTGTTCTCACAGTTGCAAACCAGGTGGACACGTGGGAAGTCCTATATTATGTTGCAAATACAGGTACAGAATAACGAATGTTCAGAGGATATTTGGAAACTGCCTGCCATCATTTTCAGAGGACTTATTTCAGTTCTGATTTCTCATAGAACAGGGAGTGTCCTGAGGAATAGCTCAGATGGTAAGAGCATGGGACTCTTAATCTCTGGGTCATTGGTTTGAGCTGGTTGTAGTGTTGGGCACTACAGGCAGTTAGACTAGGTGATCCATTCCAACTCTACAATTCTTTGATTCTATATATTTAATGGTTTTAAGGATGGGTTGATTTATGTTTTCTTGTGTCTTGCATTGTTGTAAGCTTACTTGTGGGCCCTTCGAGGCAGGGTATAAACATTATTGAAAACCACACATTTTATAAAGATGGACGAGTAGTGCTGAGGTGACTGCTTGCAGAGATTGTTGTGCTCTTCCATGTCTTCCCAAGCATGTCATTATGTGAGTTTTCAAAAGAAGCAGCATCACTATGCTTTTGCTAGACTAACAAGCAGATGATGAGAAACAGAAAAACTATCACCATGCCCTGCCTTACTGTACACTTCAATACAAAGCCATAGAATAGTTTTGTGGTGCTTTTTAGTTTGGTGTTTTATTTTTGGTTGGTCTTCTTTTTTTCCTTGAAGTGGAATCAAAGAATGGTTATTAAAGGAGATAAACATTATTCATCTTCACAGAAAGCAAAAGCCTGTTTCTGCTTCCAGATTCTCCACGTCATTCATCTTCATTTTCACAGCTTCCTCTTCCTCGCCTCCTTCATCTAACCTCCGTGGTCTGTTCAGCTTCTCTTTTCTTCCTTGCCCCAATACTTTGGGCTTGACTGTCTGGCTTAATAAAGTTACTTCCTTTTGATGATCAATCTACTGTTTGAGTATTAAAAGGAAATAAGAGCATATATAAGAATTATGTGCTTTCATAGAGAGTCTCTCCCTAAATCCAACGGTGTTCTCAGTGTATGAAAACAATTTGTCTCCATAAAGAGGGTCAGGGGAAGTAGTGAGACAGTATTTTGATAAATATTGATTTTGCTTTAGTATGATCACAGCACTTGATGACCTTGGGAACTCCAGAAGTATACTCAAACTAGAGTCAAGAAAACTTTTAGCTTCCAAAACACTGTAAGATTAGATGGTTTAAGAAACATTATTTCAGATTTGCATAATCCTCTATTAGTTTATCGTGTAATGTTTATATGGCAGAAATTTAAATGGGACAGAATATCAATTTCTAGTTATTGCATTTGCTTTTTTCTTTGCGTGTTCCCTCCACACAATTGTAATCATATGGAGAGGAAGGAACTGTGACAACTGGCCCCACCTGTACTGTCACATCCCAATGTGTTTGAGGGGGGATGTCTGAAGAGGAACCTCTTGAATATACATAGGCTCCCCCACTATATGGTCTAGAACTCTATAATTATGTGGAATGAGTGCCTGAAGAGGGTTTTCGTGAAAATGGCCCATCCTCATCAAACCCTTGCCATTTGAATACTGAACACTGTCCATCTATATTAGGTGGGGGGAGCATGTATACTCACAGTGGGTCAATGTGTTAATTGCAAAGTGGGCTCTAGTCCATGAAAGTTTATACCAGAAATCATCATACTTTTAGGCCCATGGACTTACAAGGATTTTTTTAGTGACTGCTGTACCTGCGACCAGCACCCCTCTGATCACTTCTCTCCTGCCTCACCCAGATCAGAGACAAAAAGGGGGAAAGTACACACACAAAGTTTGTTTTCCAGAGGATCTGGATAGGAGTTGAATCCAGCAGAATTAAGATGAGCCTTGAAAAGCAGATAGGTTGTAAAGGGGAAGGGGAAAGGAGTCTCTGGTTCATAGTCTGAGTTGTTTTAAGGGAATGGATGCCATAGGGCACTTCTTGAACTGTTTCTGGGAGACTTTTCACACATTTAAGGTGTGCATCCAGTATACAAGTATACAGTAAACCTATAAATGATCCACAAATGGGGCAACAATCATGTGTTTGCAAAGAGAAGTATCATACATCATATTATATCACACAAGTATCCCCATCAAGTAGCTAAGATTAGCTAAAACTCTTTGTAAAGTGTGTGTGTGTGTGTGTGTGTGTGTGTGTATGCATGTATGTATGCATGTATGTATTCAGTGGCGTAGCGTGGGTTGTCAGCACCCGGGGCAAGGCAAGTAATTTGCGCCCCCTAACCCGTGGATTTGCGCACCCTAATCCTAACCCCCAGATGTTGTGCCCGGTACGGCCGGCCCCCCTGCACCCCCCACACTACGCCACTGCTCTAGGCAGCGATGCTTCCACCCCCTGGAAACAGCAGGAAGGGAGAGTGCTCTTGTGCCCCGGTCCTGCTTCTCATTGACGCGTCTGCTTGGCCACTCTAGATGGGCCCTTGTGGCCTTGATCCAGTAGCCGGGTCCTTCTTCGGAAAGAGCGAGCGCCTCCGAAGCATGTGCAGAGCGCCTTCCTCTGCCCCCGCCACGCGGAGCTCAGCCTGGGCGTGGGCAGGCCCTTTGCGTCACACGCGCTTGGCAATCCCCGGCACCTCTCCTCTCCTCTCTCTCTCCCTGGAGAAATGAAGCAGTGACCCGACAAGGAGTAGCGAAGGATGGGCGTGTTTCGTCCCTGATCCGGATGAGATCAAGGCGCCGGCAACGGGAAGGAGGCGGGGGAGAAGCAGGAGCAGGCCAGCCAGGGATCTCTCCCATCGCCGCTGGAGGGGTCATGGAGGCACTGAGCCTGGGAGGCGGGTAGCCAGCCAGGGCGCACCTACCCAACCTCGCCGCGCCCAGGCGCGCTGCTCTCTCCAGCTTCCTCCCGGCCGGGCCAGCGGCTCCACCTCTTCCTTTGCCTCTTTGAGCCGCTTAATTCCCAGCAAGCGATTAGCAGGCTCGGATCGGATCCTGCGGCAGGCGGCGCCTCCACCTCCTCCTCCTCCCGGCTTTGCTGCTGCTGCTGCGTGGCTCTTTTCCCTCCACCGACGGCGCGCTGCGCCTTGGAGAGGTTCCCGCTTCCTCGAGGGGGGCCGGCCAAACGGAGACGACGACCCCCCACCCCAAACAAGCCTCGATTGCTTGTCCCTTCCCTCTGGACTCATGCCCCCCCCCGATGTTGCGCCCGGTGCGGCCGGCACCCCTGGCACCCCCCACGCTACGCCACTGTATGTATTAGAAAATGAGAAATTGTTCATTGCCTCTGAATGGTTTGTGATACCTCTGGACCAGGCTGCAATCCTAACCCCAACTCATCTGGAAGAAAGCCCCACTGGATTCAAGAAGACTTGTATTTGAGTACACATGGTTAGGTTTTTATTTTACTTGATCTCCATAACATCTGAATTCTCTCAAAGCTGGGGAGCTATGGATTGACTCTAGGCAGTATGCCTTCTTCCAGCTCTTCTAATCATTGCATTCTCCACAAAAGGAGCAGAGGTTTCAGGAAAGTTCTCAAAGGGCCGAAGTGTTTCCATGGCAGCATTTCTATCTTTAGGGTAATTCTCTTAAGGCAGAGATAGGGTCCTTCTCTCCATCATCCCCCAAAGACTCATTATCTCCTTTCTAAGGTGACTTTTTTAATAATAATAATAATAATTTATTACGGCCGTAGGCCCATACAGGTGACTTTTTTAAAAATCAGACTCAGAACCTAAAAGGTAACTCAAGGCTGGTTGCATAATACACATACACACAAAAGTTGAGGTCTGTTTTCCTGAAATACACTTCCTCATTGAAAACACTATAAATCTGGTTGTATCAGATTCACACACACACAGCTGACTTGTCATTGCTTCTCCTTTCTATGCATAAACACTATTGGGAAGCAACTGAATGCCTATCCCTATGTGTGAACTAATAACCAATTATTAGAGAAAACAGAGTTGCAGGTGTGAACTTTAACCAAAACTTGATTTAAAAATCAAGTTTAAATACTGGGGACACCTGTACAGAAGTGGTTTGCTGGGTGGGGCAGAACCCCTATGCTAGCTCCCAGCAGGTGGTTCAGTGTTGCTTACCAGGAGGGAGGGACAATATAGCAAGGAGGTCAGTGTGGTGCAAATGCACCAGCAGAACCAACCCAGCACACCTGTCATGCATTTGAACCAGACTAACCTCCCTGCTACCTTGTGTCTCTCAATCAACAATGGTGATCCACCTGCCATGAAGCTAGTGGAGTGACTCCACCTCACTCAGTGAGCCACTTCTGGGTTTGTTTCATGATTCTGCGTATCCAAGCAGAAGCCCACGTCCGTGTGAACATAGGAGGATGTTCACTGGTAAAAAAATGTAAGAGTGAAATTTAATGAAAATTCTCTTAATCTTTCACTTGCTGCTTACCACTTGTTTGGAGCTTCTTCTTCCTTTGAACTCCAACTTCAATATGATTTCTGCTTAAACGGGTTCTTTGTAAGACACGAGTTGCTAAATATTTGGGCTTGGTTGCCTAAATAATGAGAAACTGTAGTCAGCATGACACATACACCACAACCCTAGACCCACTGCAACCACACATGCATGCATGTACACATGACAACCACACATACATGCACACACTCAATTTCCCCCTTCTGCTTGAAAAATGTGTGTTTGCTCCCCGCCCCCAGGTTGATCTTCTTGGAGACTGCAGCTGGGGAGGCAAGAGTTAACCTGCACTCAGCAAACTGCAAGGAAGATCACACACAGCCTATGCAACAACTACATCATTAGAGAACTTTCCAGAGAGGGGTGGGGTCACAGCCAGAAAGATAAAAGTCAAGCCTTATTCCCCAGTTGCAACCCTCAAAATTGTTATTAGGCTTCATTTTTAGTTTTAGTTTTGTAATAAAAAAAACCTCCCATCTTACATTAGCCCTAATATTTAGAGAAGAGAACGCATTCTAGTTGAAAAAGGTATGTCGTTAATCAGTAAGATTGCCTCCTGAAATTTATTTAATGAGTTTTTGCAATACTTAAGGGGATGCAACTGGAAACAATTAAAAGATCAGTGGTATGTACAATTTGTGCTACAGTACATTTGCTATGCGGTATGTGGGCGAAGGTTAGTTAAGAAGATATTAACTTTTGACATTTTAGCAACAGGCGTGTGGCAAACTCTGTTAATAAGAACATCCTCATCCCTGTAATTTTAGACCACTTTGGGGACTGTTGAGCTGTAAGTGTGATCCATTGATTTGCAAAAATAAATCAAAGAGCCAGGACTTGCACATGTGTGGGTTAAACAGCCCTTCAACTTTTGGTCACATTAAGTAAAGGCTATAATAGCTCAATGAGGCAAAGACGGCCTGCTGACATCACACAAGGTTTCACTGTTCTTTGCTACAGTGCATGTTAGCTCCTGCAGTGAATTCTCATCCCTGCTAGTGTGAAAGCCTCCCAGCAGAGCCTCATGACAGATGTGAAATAAATGTGGGATTTAGCTCTGATGTAACATAGAATTGTAGGTAAGATGCAACCACGACTATAAATGCTATTTTTTAAGGACAATGTCCCACATATCAGCAGGTCTGTGTTTTTGGACTTGTATAAATGAGATGGGCACTACCTGAAAGGGAAGATTATAGTATCTGAGAAACCTGCAGCTTTTCACCTGGAAGCTAACCCCCCCTCCGAAAAAAAGGTTCATTTTTTCATGGGAAGTAGTGCCATTTTCTTTTTTTGAGGGAGTCATTTGGGTCTTTACAAAGAGTAGCACCTGTGGGAAGATTTGGATTGCGGCCAAGGGGATCAAAACTCTGGCCATATGCCTTGGGAGAGGGTGAGTCTGCAGTAGGAAACAGAACAGGGGAAGTGTGTGTGTTTTAAAAAAATATATACTTGCCTGCTATCCATGTTTGTTATTTACTTTCAATGTCAGGAATCCAAACAGATCACAGAGCCTTGTGCATTCCCTTTAAGCCACCCTGCCAATATCATCATGCTGCTATACAAATACGTGATACTATAGAGTTGTAAAAAGTTTAGACAGAATGCTCAAGGGGGTTGATCAACTGCAGTGAAGCAGAGCACCTCCGTAGCAACTCCCACAAGGTGAAGCCACTTCTGCTATTGAAGCTCATCTACGGAGCATTGTGAGATAAGCTGCAGGCAGGAAGGGTTTGGGATTCCCATCCATGTGCCCCTTTTGTTCTAAAAATTGTCCCTTGATGTATACATGATTGGACAGAGCTGGGCATGAACAAAGGGGTTTGCTGTCTTCACATCTAAACTGGCCCTCAGTTTTGACCTATTTTTAAAGCCACATTTCCATACCTGTTCCCACCATCTGGTGGGCATATTGATAGTGAACAATAATTACTTAATGGCAATGTTGTGTCTGTAATCAGATTGGCATGAAGAGATCTCTGAAAGTAGGTTTTATCTTAGCAAGACAGCCTACTGTAACACAAATGTACTATTGCATTTCATGCCTCAGAAGTGATTGAATCAATAATTGCATCATCCAAGAACTGGAATAAATTATTCATGCTAGCCATTTTGGATATTAACATACAAGGCAGGTGGAGACCTTGTGTAATCCTGATCCTTGTTTAGATGCGTATTATCTTAAAGTTGTGTACTCTGGCTATAAATGAACTTACATACTGTACAGAGTTTGTGAAAATGTGACTCTTCATTTTAGTTTTTTACTATATTTCATTCCCATTCTTTTCTTTACTGATATCTTTACCTGTCAGATGTGATCATACACCTTTTAACACACTTTTATTCGCATAGTGTTTAGCATGGGAATTGTGGTAAATTTCAGGTCTGCTAAGTGCTCACTGTATTAGCTGAAGCCAGGTAATATAATAAATAAATGTTTCCTAAAACTGTACAGCAGAATTTCTCACATTTTTCAGCCTAGTGAGCTTGGGGATGTCTCCCACCACTTTTCACTGCACAACTGTGCTAATTTAGCACTCTTGCCAATGGGTATGTTAGAAAGATGTGAACATTTTCCGCACAATGGCCAAAAGGTCAGAAAGTGCCATTGCTTTGCCGACCAGCCTCTATACACCCATCTAGGGCTGATCACCAGCTGAGAAATGGCAATGAAGAGGATGCTTCAGTGAGCAATTATAATTGGATCTATTTTGAGGCATGCTTGACAAGCTGTGCTGAGCCACAGCAGTGAGTCTCCTTATGCTGGTTGGGAAGTACTGTTCTACAGAACTCAGCTGGTGACTATGTTCAAAATGTGACTCTGCTATCATACACCATTAAAATGATCAGCCCTATCTAGTTGCTGCAATATCCATGCAGGGCTCCAAAAGAGCAGGGATGTCCCATCCTGATGTGAGGAACAGCTTGGTCTGCACATCCACCTTGCTCATATGAAGTCTTCCAAGCATCAAAGAGAATAGAAGCTCTGTTTGTAGAGCACGCCATTTTAACACTTAGGCCCTATTGAGCTTTGAATCGTTGTCAGCATTATAACGTGTTGAAGAAAACATATCCTGTAGTACTAGTTTTAGTAGAAATAAATGCAGGTGCAGAGAACCAAGTGATAGGAAGTTCTTCTGATCTCAGTAATATCAAAGGAAAAATCAAAATGGCCATTGATGTGTAAGGAACAATTTTCCCTGATGCAATATGTGAAGCAGAATTATATAAATTCTACCAAATTTTGTTGGGTGAGAAAACAGCAGCTCTTAATTTCACCCCTTATTTTTTACCAGCACTTGGGAAATGTTTGCACATAGCCTTGGTTGTCCATCTACACAAGGAACCTAGGAGTGAACCCTGCGGTAGTGCATCTCCCACTCTGTGTATACCCTGTAAGAACAAGGGGAGGTCATGTGACACTGCAAATAGGGCCTGTGCACATAGGCCTAGTATCATGATGTTGTATACACTAGGGAGGAGATTGTGAGCCTGAAGGTTTTTCTCACACTCCACTGCATTGATAGCCTACAATAATAATCATAATAATCATAATAATTTATACTCCGCCCATCTGGCTGGGTCAGATCATGTGCAAGACAGCCAACATGGTGCTCTCCAGAAGTTTGGACTCCAGCTCCCATCATCTCCAGCCTATAGTCAGGAATGATGGGGACTGGAGTCCCCAGCAACTGGAAGACACCAGGTTGACTACCTCCCTTTGGCACGATTCCCAAAGGGAATGTGCTGGAGCAACTGTCACAGGCTTCTACTGGAAATTCATTGCGATACTACTAATGATGAGCCACACAGCCCAATTTCTTCACCATTTGGATAACTTCAAGATTTTAGATGTTGCTTTTTTATTCTTCAGTGAACATATATTCCTCCACTATAGAACCTAATGAATATTATGTATGTCACACCTCTGCTCAATAATCTGCAGTGATTGCTAATTTGTTTCTGGGCAGTTTCAAAGTTTTACTGTTAGTATATCCAGCTTAAGACAAGCTTACTTGCCCCATACATACCTAGCCAACTGCTTCTGCCTGTGGATCTTGCACATGGTGAAGTGCCATATGATGTTTGTTCTGCATCTGTTGGTAATTTATTGTGGCAGCATCTTCTTTGTTTCAGCTAGCCTATTCATGCACAAAATTTTGTTATGTATACTTGTTTTTAATGTTTGCCGATTTTATGTTTACTGTTGATAATTGTTGTATGTATACTTCTTAGAGGGTTCTTTTAATTAAGTGGTTTATAGTTCTTTCTTAAACAAACATTTTTAAGTATTCAAAGCAATTCACACTCTTCGTTTCGGTAACCCTATTATCAGCATTTTACAAATGGCAGAGGGGCTGACACTGCTGAGTTGGGTGGCTGGCCCAAGACTTTGCTCTTTCAGCAGTATTGTTTTTCCTTTGCCACTTTAATGTTTTCTTGTGGGGGCAGTTTTTAAGATTCTTTGGCAGCTTGGCATTTCCTCCACCCCTCCTCTTTTATGGACTATGCAGCCATGCAGATATTTATAAAAAGATGGGGCAGATCTCAACACAACAAGGCCATTCACTCATTCATTATATGCATGTAGATATGCTACTATTGTCTCCAGATTCAGGCTCACAGGAGTGTCGTGGATAGTATAATAATGTTAGGGTGCATTTTTTAGAATGTGAAAAAGCCTTCACTGGGAAAGTGGGAGGTATTATTGTATACTGATTTTCTATATGAATTTCATTTCTGAGTGAAAGGGGGAAAATGAGTGAATTCTGAAAAGAATTTTCCAGCATCGCAGTACACCAATGCAGCCATTATGGATATTTATCACTGCGGCAAACGTATAATTATGTTAAAGTATTGCAATTTTCATAGCAAAAATAAATAAATAAATGCAGGGAAGATTGTTTTTGTCTTATAAGTGCACACCATTGTTGAGAATTCCAGCCACTTTTACTGTATATCTAATTCTGTTCCCTTTTGTTTAAGCTGGCAGGATTCATCTATGCCTGTTATGTTGTGAAATGTATCACCGAAGAAGAGGACAGCTGTAAGTAATAAAGGTTTATTACATGCCAGTTGAAACTATTTTTTATATCATCCATCTCACTCATCCATCCCACTCCAATATCATTCTGAATACTTTGTCATACTGTAAAATGAGAAATGGGTTGGGGACAGGGGGTAGAATATTTGAACTTAGGCCATGACAGTTCGGAGCAAATGGTGGAAATGGTAAAATGCAGCTACAGAAAATAATTACTTTCTGAAATGAAACACTACAAAACAAAACTTCCTCTAAAAATACTTCACAAAGATCATGTTTCTTGCTTCTCACCCATCTTAATTCTTGCCCTACTAATGTGTGGGTAAAGTTCTTGTAATGTGACTATTCAGATTTGTTGTAGCAGTTTTGGCAAGAATAGAATGCAACAGTTTCATTTCAAACTTGTTAGTTCATGTTTCTTCCAGTCAAAAATAGTCAAGGAAAGGGGTTAAATGCTTGGAGTTTCTCTTGGTTTGTTGTGTCTGAAAAACCCTACTGAGTGGAATGAAGTACATAAACATAATGCAGTAACTTTAGCTTATCTTCCTATAATCTTGCTTTTTACCTAATCACTTCTATTGTTTTGGTTCAGTTTGTTATCAATATCAATCAATTAATCTTTATTTGCATTTTCACTGACCAGTTTCTCCTGTATATATGAGCATATATCAATAGACAATCTTTATAAATAAATGTAAATATCATAGCCAGACAAAAACATAGCCACCATAGAAATAAAAAATACACTTCCTATTAAGAACAGTTTACTCACTCCTTTCTGGTAATATTTGTGTCAGTCTAGCAAACACATGCTGGAGAGGAACAAACTGCAACCCCTGGCTTATGTCTGAACCAGAGATTGTGATTCATTTAGCTCAAACACATGATGATCTGTAACTCCCAAACAAACCTTGGCTTATCTCTGTGGAGTGAAACAAAGCACATCCCCTCTTTCAGACACAACCCCAAGCCAGTGATTATGGTTTGTTTCTCTGCAGCACAAATGGGTTGGCTTGTGTATGGTATACCAGGAGTGGAGAACCTTTGGCCCTCCAGATGTTCCTGAACTACAACTCCCATCAGCCCTAGTAAGCATGCCCAATGATCATGGATGATGGGAGTTGTAGTTCAGCAACTTCATGAGCTGGTTTACTGTGATCTCCAAAGGTGGCCAATATTTCTCACACAGGGGTCAAAAAGAGGAAGCTCCATGTTCTCTCCCCCTCCCCAATATTTATGCACACCTTTACCTGTGTTGTTTCCCAACCTCTGCCAGAAGCAGCCATTTATGTGGAGCACAATGTAATGATGTCATGAAACAGATAAGTATTCCTAAATGTCGTAGGAAAGCACAGGGGTGAAACTGCCATGGAACTGCCATTTTCAGCAGCAGTCTGCTGAAGAGGTCATCTAGCTATATCCTGAATACATAAAAATTCAGTTTAGAATATTTCAGTAACCACACGCGTAGTTCAACACTCTGAAATTGCACTAATTTCAGCAGGAGAAATTTAAGAAACTAGCTGGATTTAACCACATGTGGTTTTCTCATTATCAAACCAAAATTCTTTCCCTGTTGTCATTAAAATAAAAAAATGTGAGATTAAAGGAAAATGCATGAAATTTGGGAACAGAATACATGCATATCTTATGGCCAGAGGGGTGATAGAAAAGCAATGCAGAAGGGTGTCTAGATGTGTTGGCATCATCTGCCAGAGCACCATGGTTATCCATAGGTCCTACTTGCTCTGGAGTCAGTGAGGTAATAATGGGGCTTTCAAGTTTGTTTGTGACAAATAAGAGTAGAGGAAGCCAGAGAATAAAGAAAATGTATAAGCCAAGTCTGGGTGCTTCTTTCTTTTTGATGGGAACCCTACTTCATGCTAGCAGTTTAAACAGCAGCACTTCTTTACAAGGTTGTTTGGATTTGAAATTAAAATTTAAAAGGTTGCATTTTAGCTGGCTGAGATGTTTTGTTGAAGTTCAATGCATTGTGCAAGTTGAACCTATGCAGTCAGAAGTAAGCATCACTGGATTCAGTTGAGCTTATTAAAAAAAACAACAAACCCAATGCATAGGATTGCAGACATCTCATCCCAATAAATTAGATATTGTGTTATGTACTGTAGCTGCTTTCCCTGTGTATGATAAGGGAATAACACATCCAACTTCATTTTTAGACTTTCCTTGGAATATGGCTATGAGGAGAAGCTTTCATGATGTATTCCTGAACTTCAAAATTTATCACTACACCACTGCTTAAGGCTGCTCTTTTCCTCTCTCACATTTTACATGCAGCCTAGGGTTTGCTATGAGGAAATTCACTCTCAACAGTAGTTCAGGGTCTGACATAAAACATCATGTTTTAATGATTAGAGAATGTGCCAGTGTGTGCATTCTGAATTGATTTGCCTGTCTGTTCAGTTGTTTACGTCCTGACCTGTCTTAAAGGTGTAGGGCAAGTAAGCAACATGCTTTCAATTATTGCTATCCATATGGATAATATTTCAATAGATCTACTGATCAGGGGTATGACTTGTCTGGGCACCATCCTGCATGTCTGCCATGAGAATGATGTTTGCCAGTTTCAATCTCTTGGTTACCTTCATTTTCCTATAAAAATTAGATGATGTGGAGCTCCTGGTGTCCAGAACATATCTAAATAGTACTTTAAATACAGTGGTCTGTGCTTGTTCAAAAAGTTTATATTCCGTGGCTAATTTGTGGCCCTCCAGATATTGTTGGGCTATAGCTCCCATCATCACTGACCACCTTGTCTGGGTCTGGTGAGAGTTAGAATCCAACAACAGGATTACAGGTTAGTCACACCTGCTATAGAACTTCTAAGGGAACTTTTTATTTATTTTACATAGCAGGTTAGGGAAATTCCTATTCTCACCAGGTAATCACAAATTCTGCAACATCAAGCACTTAAATTATCATTTTAAGGGCTACTCTTTCCAGCAATCCCCTGAATCTCACTGGGAAGTGTTTGTGGAAACCTGAGATTCTTGGGTGAACACTTGGGTAGAACAAAAGCTACATGAGCCAAAACTAAAAAATGCAACAGCAACTGTATGTTTTAAGGCAGCAGTGGGAAATTTGATCCAGCTAGTGGGCTGGATCCATAACTGCCCCACCCTCCATGGCCCACTTTGACAGGGCCATGGAAAAGGCTGCCAAATTCAAAAAGTGCTGGATCAACTGGAAATACTCAGGAGTGGACTGAGAGGGCACCCCCACTTACTCCTTTTTGCATGGTCCTGTGGGCTGACCCATCCCAATCCCATGCCTGATGTCAGATGATGTCACGAGATGGACAGGCAGGCATGTTTTAAGCCAAAACATGCCATGGCTCAAATGTGGAGGCCTGGTAGCCACAGGACACAGGTTCCCCAGTACTATTTTAAGGGTTAGGGTTAGGATTCAACTGAGTAGATGCACAGAAGGGAGGGTCATGGAAAGTGGATGGAAAATAGCAAAGGTGAGCCAAGGTATCAAAATAGGATATAAATCTCTATGAGAAATTCTGTGGAAGTAATAATGGGGTAGAGATAAGAGACCCATTAAGGGAATAGGAAACCCAAGGTCTGTTTGCCCCAGTCCCTTTCTCTCTGCATCACTCTCTGCAGATATTGATATCGTAAAGCATTTGTCTTCCTAAAGTCATTGGCATTATTAGCTGCAGCAATTTAAAACCACTAAAATGTCAACACCTATTTTTCCTGGGTGGGATATAATCTTTCCCAAGCATCTTGTTTGTGTGTGTGTGTTTTTGGAAATCTTATTAGAGCTACATTTTCTTAAAATTGCACAGTAATTCTATTACTTTGAAATATTCATTTAATCAGTTTAAACTCTCTAGCAATTTGACTCCTCTAGTACAAGCTTTATGTCAGGAATTTGCAACAATTCAATATGTTTTTTTGAAAACATCATTAAATATTTAGTTACTTAGTGAAAAGCTCTCGAGGGTCATCAATAAAACAGCAGCCTTGTGGGATTTGTAGGTTACATGAAATTAAAAGAAGAGACTTACTATTTCACTGAATGCTTTCCCTCCGGGCTCTACTCTGCCTGAGGAAGAAGGGCTGATGCAAACCGAGCATTCAGAAGACACTGCAATGACTGTCTAGAGAAGCACAGTGTGATTGGCCATGCAGATGCCATCTTAGCTCACAAGAGCAATGTCTTCTTTCAATGTTCACGACTCCATCTTTGGATGTACACACTGGCTTCCCCCAAGCAGCAATATTTGGCTTAAAGCAGGGGTCAGGAAGGGAGAATCCAATGCAGAGTTTTTGTTGCATTTCAGTATTTTGCATTACTGCTTGTTACTCTGCATCACCTCCCTTGCTTTCTTCCCCTTGTTTTATTTGAAGCAAACACCAAAAAATGGCTGAACTATTAATGCCACAATTACTATTAGAAAACATGATCTGCGCTTTGTGTGACCTCTATCCTCCTTTTCAACTATAAAATCAGATCTTGAGGAATACTTCACCTTGTGACTGTTGTGTTGAAGCACCTTAATAAAAGTAGTCAATAATCAAATTATTAATTTAATAATAAATTAATATATTTATAAAGAAAAGTCTATCTACTGAGTTCAGTTGGGCTTATTCCCAGGTAAGGGTTTGTGTCTCGAGGCCCCAAGACCCACCCCCAAAATAAATACACACAGACACTTATATTAGTTTAAGTTTTTGGGCAAATTTTGGCCACAACTTTTTTGAAATACAATCACGTGAGCAGTATTAGCTTAGGCATTGACTCCCCCACTATAACTGACTCCACCTCTCAGGGTGATCGTCCAATGGAGTAAACCAAATGAGGGAGCAAGGTCGATGAGGACCAACCTAAGCTCACCCCGGGGTTCCTGTGGTCCTGGCATGGCCCTAGCCCCTCAAGCGGACTTCGGATGAGATCCAGGCCAGGACCCCCAGATTCCTTTAACGGAATACCCAGTTCCTAGAGGGGCAGGTGATGGCCGCACCTCCCCTCCCCACAATCCAACTGAGCCACTGCCTAACCACCACCTTACAAGTTGTGACGATTTGCTAAGGGGTAGGCAAAAACCAAATGGCTAAAGCCAATCTGCCAAATAGAAAAATTCCTACCCAGCCCCTGTTCCAAAACAGGCAACCCAACCAAAGCAAGGTCAAGCGACTCTACCTAAGCTAGGGAGGGTGGGCGGGTGTTCAACAGTGCAAAGTAAGTGCCCCTCCTTGCATCACACTGCTGTTTTTAAAGCCCCTGGGATCAGGCCTCCCACTGGCTATTGGCTAAAATCGCCTGGCATGATCCCAGGGGAATGGCCAGGACGCCTTGCTCCCCCCCCCCATTTTAACCCTGTCAGGTGAGCTCTTGGGTCCCGCACACAATCAGGACCCTCTGTTATGAGGATCCCATTTGTAGGAGTATACCTTAATGCCTCAATTCTATATATATATTCTTGGAAATAAATCTTATTAGAACCAGGCAGTGGTCCTTCTCGGTAGTGACACCCACCCTGTGGGAAACCCTCCCATCAGATGTCAAGGAAATAAACAACTATCTGACTTTTAGAAGACATTTGAAGGCAGCCCTGTATAGGGAAGTTTTCAATGTTTGATGTTTTATCATCTTTTTACTATTCTGCTGTGAACCGCCCAGAGTGGCTAGGGAAACCCAGCCAGATGGGTGTGGTATAAATAATAAAAGTAGTAGTAGTAGTAGTAGTATTTCAGAGTAACGTGATTAGGAGCTGGTTGAACACTGCCAGCCTAAATTCACTTACTGGAGAGGAAGTCCCGTGAAAATCAGTGGGACTTGCTTCAGATGTAGTAAATCAGACAGAAAGGTATATAACATTAAATCTTCTGATTTGTTTAGTTCATACTTGCTGATCCATGCCTTGTTGATTTCTTGCTGAACATGTTCCAGGACACTAAATACCAATATCTGTTAATGTGGATGCTCAATATTTCTTGGGAATCCATACTAGATTGGGTTAAAGTGTTGTTAGAATGTGGATTTCTTCCAGCCATTTAAGCCACACCTTATAGTGAAGCATGCATTTTAATCCATGTCAGTGACTTTTAGTGCAGACCTAGGAATGTCGTTTATTCTGCATTAATGCATGTTGCACATCTGACATCAGAATTTAACAAGTATCTTTTTTAACTTACTGAAGATTGCAATATTATGCTACTCATGTTCTAGTGCATTCTAATGTTGCACTAAAGATGCAAAGATGTTATATTTTCTGTCTTTAAATTTCAGTAACTGATAGCTATACATCACACCCCCTTCAGACAACTGATCCAGGGACAGTGATTGCATTTGGCAGCAGGCTCTGTTCTGAATTTATGCATGTTCAGTGGAACAGGAACACTCACCTATTCAAAATGCTCAGTTTGCTATTTAAAGCCCTTCATGAGGCACGACTGTGGCTCCAGGGGAAAGGGTCTTCTCAGTAGTGGCACCCCAGCTGTGGAATGATGGCATTGCGGCACCTAAGACCTTTGTATTTTTTCCAGACTTTTAAAGAGCTTCCAGGTGGCAGTTTAGGATTGAGCTATCACAAACTAGTCATTGACAACAGGCTTTATTATTACAGGATTTTTCCTGGAAAGGATTCATCTTGATTAAACAGGGGGAAATACAGGATGACATTTTAATGACAATGACACCATGTAGATGAAATAAATTGCATGCGTGAGGAGCACCTTTCTGAAAAGCACCCTTAATTTCTATCCTTTGTTTTTATGCTGTTCGGGGTTTTGGGGGGGGGGGGTTGTTTGTTTTTTGTTTTTTTGCAGACTGGTTTTATACTGCTGTTTTATGTTGTGGTATTTTTACATTCTTGTTTTAATTTGTTTGATTGTGATTTAAACTTTTTGTATGTTGCCCTTAAAGCTGGTTGAAGGGGAGTACATGAAAATAATAATAATACGCCCACACAAATTATATGAGAGATTGGGTATATAGCAGGGTCCCCAGTGATAGGAGACAAGCTCATGCGCAGTTGATTTGTCTGTACACTGCCTGTGTGTTCTCACATTCTTCTGAACCCAAGTAAAGTAAGAGATGGAGCTTGCTGCTTTGAGCCTGCTCCTCTCTCCCAGACTCTGGATCAGTTGTCTCTATAGGGCTGCTTGTGTTTATACAATGGTGTATATACATTTACCTAGGCTTTTCCCTTCACACTTCTTCTGAGTCTTTGATCTACTCCATAGTTGGTATTCCAGACTTTTATACAATGTCAGTGCTAAATGCCCCACACAGTCAGTCAATCAGTAGGACATAGTTGAAAAATAAACAGTTGAACACTGGACTCTTTCTTTAAAAGCTGTAAAACTAGGATGCAAAATAGAGATACAGAAATAGACAGCAAACATTGCATTGTCAGGGGAGTAGTTTGTTATATGGATCCATGTTCCTGTTTTGTATGCATTTCCTCCCTCCCTTCTCCTCAGGGATCCTTTTATGTGGCCAGAATAATTCAAGATCATGCAGAATTTGCAGCCTAACAAACTAGAATGCTCTGAGATTACTATCGCTTACATTGTTTTGCTCCTATAAATGGTTCCTTGAGGCACAGAAAAACCAAACCAAATGTATGCATGTATTTGAACCTCTAACACAATTTCAAAAGCTTGAATATTTTCCCCAGCAGTTCAGCAAGCCTTTAATAAGAAATCATGATGTTGGGGGGAAATGAGAAAGGTTATCGGAGCAATCCTATACTCACATAACCTAAGGTCTGGAGATATACTGCTGCTACAGCCAACATATCTCATGTTTACTAAGTCCAGGTGGGGAGGGGAGGGTAAGAAACCCACAACTGGAAAATTCAAAACAGCATAAAAATGACAGATATAACCCCAGTGTCCAAAAGAACACTCCCAAAGCCCTCCAGTTGGAAATGGTGTCATCTATAGCACCCACATGCTACCCACACGCGGCAGGAGCCAGCAAACCGTTGGCAATGGGGAAAAACACACTGCAGTTCATTGCATCACTATGCAGCATACAAGATGATGCTGAAGCAACCCCACACCATCAGCCCCAGTGGCTTAGCCAGCAATGACCCTGCTACTGCTAGGCAATCTCCCATCTCTTTAGACAACGGCTCAAATCCACTTATGTTCCTCTCATTTATCTTTTTTATGAGCACAACACACACAGCCTTCAGTAGCTCACTCTATACGTCCCAGGGTTGGGAAGCAGGAGAGTTCAAGCCCCAGCAAGGGAAAAGGGAAAATATGGCTCAATTCTTCTCTTGCATGCCTGGCTTTAAAAAAAGTCATGGTGCCTCAAACTTACACTGCAGGCTCCACAGAACAGCTCCCTAACAACTCAGCCACAGCAGCAGGCATCAGACACCTCCTAGAGTATCCTATCTTTCTGCTGCCCTCAGCCTCAACCCCAGGAGTGCAGAAGCTGCAAGATGAGTCCTGGTTGGATAGAATAGGTCATGGTTTCCATGCAGGGGATACATGGTTCAAAGCCAAGGTATAACACCAAACCCCAGACACACCTGAGCCAATTGGAACACCACACGGACCAATGCCCACCCCTTTTGGTCCGTTCCTGGTAGCCCATGTGACCAATGGAACCCTGCCCTGATATCTTGCCTAATAGGCTGACACTACTAGGTATGATCCCAGCAGGTAACATTATCCATCTCCATTTTCTCCCACATCCTCAACTCATAGTACCCTCGCAGCAGCCTTCATTCCACTTGTGCTCCCTGATATGCCTGCTCCCTCACTGTCCATGTGTCTGACTGAGCAAAGACGGAAGAGAGTCATTGCCCCTAGCCCATCAAGCTCTAGATCCAGCCATACAGTCCATGCCAGTCTGGCATAGGGGTGCCTAGTAACAGGGGGCGGGGGCAGGAGAGAGAGTAGCAACTTCACTGCGCTCAGATGGAGGATCCAGAAAGGGGAAAGCATATATGTGGAGTTAGCACTCCCACAGGTCCCCTGTGTCTTGGACAGTGCCTCAACAAACAGCAAGGGTAGCACGTTTCATGTCCCCTATGGCATCTACAAGAATACAGGAACCTGACTAAAACAAGTAGGTTAACAACCTATGGAGGAACATCCAGGAGCATCCCAGTCACTGCTGCTAGTTATGGGGTAGGTCTTATCTGCATGGAATGGGGGTGGGAGTGAGGCGCTTCCAGACAAGCTATTTATCGAGCATTCATTCTGATTTGCTTGCAGGTAGATTAGATGGCTTTTGGTGTTCACGAATGCTCATAAATCTTTGCAGGGTGGATTAGATGACATTGCGTGAAAGCAAGTTTTATGCCACACTGCCCAGTATATTATATCACTTTCCTTATTGCAAAAAGCCATCATTTGAGTAAGCGGGTTCATTGCACAAGACCTCCCAATCAGCTCAAGTTGTGCAGCCTGAATTTACTGGCATGTGTTTGCATGCCACCTGAAAATGGTGACTGTCTGGAAGTGCCAGAAAAGCAAGGAGAAGCAGGAAGCAGTTGGACCCTATGGTCCCTGAACCTGAGTACACAGTAGATGCTTGTGAGAGAAGCAGAGATCTAGTGGATCCAGGGCTACCTCTACCTCATCCCCCTGCCTCAGCTCAGAGTGCTCTGTTTCAGGAGTGCTGAATGCCAACTGCTGTCAGTGGTAGATATTTGCCTGTGGAGCTTTCCATGGGCACAACAGAGACTTCCTTAGCAAGCATGGGTGTTACACCTGCAGACCTTTCTGCCAGCAGAGGCACCCACCTAGCCTGTGAATTAAGATTGCTCTGTCCATCCTAATGTTTGCAGAGCCACAAATAGACCAGCCTGGTCACAGACATAAGCAGACACCTTGATTTGTTGACAACTGTGAGAAACCTAAACTTAAAGCTCAGCTGAGGTGCAGCTGGTTTAAATAATAGCAAGCAATTAGGCTGAAGACAAAATCAGCGGTGGCATTTTATAATTACAATTAATTTAAAGGTTAATTTCCTTTGGTGCTAAAATCTTATTTAAAACATTTACCAAGAAAGGAAATTAGGATGTTACTATTAAGATGCATGGAGTGCTTCTGGGAATCCATGCCTATTATCAGTAGAAAATTAGGTTAGGCTCAAAGTGGGAATTTCAATTCATTTTAGTGTATAATAGGTGGCGATCAGGGCCTTGAGTTGGTGGGTTTTGGTTAGGGAGACTGTAAGATTTGCATTTCTTTTGTTTGAGGGATTAATTGCAAATGTTTTTAACAAAGGGGCTGGTTTAATACGTGAACAAGCACAACATGAAAAGAAAATTGGTTATGGATTGCTGCCTTCCTAACTAATGAAGTTGATGTTAAGGAAATCCCTGAGAGACATAGATGTGCTATGAAAAAATATTAATAAATAGATTCACACACTGAAAGTGGTGCTGTCACTACCTTCCTATATGTTAATTTTCCTTTTCCCTTATTACCTGGTCCATCCCTCCCCGAACATCCATCACCATCTCCTAAGGGAGCTGCCAAGCCTGTGTTTCAAATATGTCTAAATAATAGTGGTGCTTTGATGGAAGAAACGTTTGCATTGGTTTCTCATCATCATAACCGAGTACTGTTTAATAAAATCAATTCCTGATCACTATAAGCGAAGAGGGATTGTGATCACCATGAATTTTATTATGTTTTATGTTTTTCTTCTTCATCTGTCATATAGTCTTATTACATGAAATAATTTTTAAAATGACTATTTTTTAATGGCAGGGCAATCTTCAGTAGAAATAAACTGCAGCCTTGAATGGTTGGCAAATGTCACAAGCAGTTATAAAAAAACCACTTTTTAGAAAGAAAGAAATGTTACAAGCTAACTCTTTAAAATTAAAAATTGTAGATTCAGCTAATAACATAATAATTGTTTTAGGATTGTAGTAACTGGGAGATTTCTTTAACCTGATTAATTTGTCTCAGTCATTTCTGCTGTTATTCCTCATATTGTTCCTAGCTGGTACTGTCATAACAATAACCAAATGCAAACCAGGATTTAAAGGCTGGGAGTGTATTGGGGATTCCAAACCAGGGTTTCAAAGAATCCTTAGCCATGGCCAGCAAAGGTCAGATGTAATGCCAAACCAGGGTTTAGGCAGGCAAAAAGAATTCATACAGTCTAAAAGAAGAGAGCTGGGGGGTGCAGTACCATAACCTGCTCCTGACTGCTAAACCGTGGCTAACCTTTGGGTAGCATTACATTGCAGCAGCCCTAGGCAGCAAATCTAGGATTCCAGTCTTCTGGGTGATATAAGCCCACATCCCCATGGCCACAAAAAGTTATGCATCTCCCACTACATAATGCTTTATTTCTCATACCCTTCATCCACCCCCAAAAATAACTTTTGAAAACTTAATGGGCTAATGCAGCTAAAGTAGCATCCAGGTCTTTAATAAATATTTCTTTAAAAATGCACTGCCTAGCAAAATTCTATTTCTCTCAAACTCTCATCTGAGTTTTGGCCTGCTAAAATTTACAGCTGAATACCCGATGATGGGAGGAAGAATGGCCTACTGGCTCCCTGGAGCAAACCAGAGTATGTATTCCTTTAAAAATTTGAATGTTTTCTTAGAGTCTCCTTTGTTCAGGAGGTTTGGTTGGGGGGGGGACCCTTGCAGGGCCTTTTCTCTAGTGCTTCTTACCCTGTGGAATCAACTCACCTCTGATATTTGCCTTAGTTTGACCCTTCTAGTACTTCACAGGCACTAGGAGACATGCTTGTTCAGCGTGTTTTTGAAGGGATTTTATGTCTTCTGTTTGCGGGGAATTTTTAAATGTTTGACCTGTATGTGTATTTTTATTGTCTTTGATGTTGTTCTGTTGACTTTATATAAGCTGATTCTTTGGTAGACAGAACAGGATAAAATGCTTGCATAGACTACATGTTTGCATGTATATATTGTTGTCTGCCACCCCAATCTCCAAGTGGTGTGCAATTCCAGGGGTTCCAGGTGCTTACACCAGGTTCAGTGTCCTTGTAATGAGGGGCAGTGAAGACTGTGATGTCTTTATTTACACATATATATAACCTGAGGCTACAATGGAGGGTCTCACAGCATTAACACCGCAGAAGGTCTTGCTTCTCCCATCATCACAGCAGAAATCCAGCATTACTCTCCCTCTCAGGCCTCTGCCTGCAGCCTGCTTCTTATCAGCTCTCACAAACACAATACTGGCTATTGTCCTTCTCACTACCAGCCAGGTGAGGGAAGGAGCCCATCCATTTGCCCTCCAGCACAAAGATTCGTACTTGGGGTCATTACCAAAATATTGCACAGAGGTATTACATAACTGGTCTATGCCTCAAAGTGACCAGCCTCTCTTTTACACTCTCTCTCTCTCTCTCTCTCTATGTTATCCTTTGAAATGCACACTTATCTGAATTGTGTAATGCGGTTCTCCAATCAATTACAAAACTCTATTCCAGTATTTCTACAGCGATTTGATTTGTGCTAAAACATTGATCGATTGCTTAATTTTATTGCAGGAATTGTAATTATGAAAATAAGTATCCCTTTGACCATAATATCTCCAACTTTTTCATACATTTTATTTTAATTTTGCTTTTATTTGATGGGCTGCTTTATTTTTGTTTGCTTTTTTCATGAGACTCTGGGGCTTCTTGAAAGTGTATCTAGGGTTCCTAGGTGAAATCAGTAATCGTGTAGACCAGCCTCCCTGAAGGACAGCTGGCACTGTTCACAACTTATCTTGCCCTGTAATCTGAGAAGTTAGGGGGATGTTTGGTGTCTTCTAGAGCACTTGTAGTTTAGATGGGCAACACTGAAGTTCAACAGAGCTTACCAGTGCCCTGCAGGAATTGAGTGTGTACCCTAGGACAAAGCCCAGGGTTCTCTGTGGCACACAACAACTCGTCTACAGCCAGGTCAAGAAGGAAATTGCTTTAGATTCTGTCTCACTTTTGGTCCTCAGAATTCTTCTCCTGCTGGAGTTTTCCTCCATTTATAGCAGCTGTAGCTCTCTTTCCTCCGACCCCCTTCTTTATCTCTTTTGTTGTGTTGTTTAGTCGTTTAGTCGTGTCCGACTCTTCGTGACCCCATGGACCAGAGCACGCCAGGCACCTCTGTCCTCCACTGCCTCCCGCAGTTTGGTCAAACTCATGCTGGTAACCTCGAAAACACTATCCAACCATCTCGTCCTCTGTCGCCCCCTTCTCCTTGTGCCCTCCATCTTTCCCAACATCAGGGTCTTCTCCAGGGAGTCTTCTCTTCTCACGAGGTGGCCAAAGTACTGGAGCCTCAGCTTCAGGATCTGTCCTTCCAGTGAGCACCCAGGGCTAATTTCCTTAAGAATGGATGCGTTTGATCTTCTTGCAGTCCATGGGACTCTCAAGAGTCTCCTCCAGCACCATAATTCAAAAGCATCAATTCTTCGGCGATCAGCCTTCTTTATGGTCCAGCTCTCACTTCCATACATCACTACTGGGAAAACCATAGCTTTAACTATACGGACCTTTGTTGGCAAGGTTACGTCTCTACTTCTCAAGATGCTGTCTAGGCCTGTCATTGCCCTTCTCCCAAGAAGCAGGCGTCTTTTAATTTCGTGGCTGCTGTCACCATCTGCAGTGATCATGGAGCCCAAGAAAGTAAAATCTCTCACTGCCTCCATTTCTTCCCCTTCTATTTGCCAGGAGGTGATGGGACCAGTGGCCATGATCTTCGTTTTTTTGATGTTGAGCTTCAGACCATATTTTGTGCTCTCTTCTTTCACCCTCATTAAAAGGTTCTTTAATTCCTCCTCACTTTCTGCCATCAAGGTTGTGTCATCTGCATATCTGAGGTTGTTAATATTTCTTCCGGCAATCTTAATTCCGGCTAGGGATTCATCCAGCCCAGCCTTTCGCATGATGAATTCTGCATATAAGTTAAATAAACAGGGAGACAAAATACAGCCTTGTCGTACTCCTTTCCCAATTCTGAAGCAATCAGTTGTTCCATATCCAGTTCTAACTGTAGCTTCTTGTCCCACATAGAGATTTCTCAGGAGACAGATGAGGTGATCTTTATCTCTTTACTTGTCCAGTAATAAGCTAGCCTACAGCAATCTCCTTATGCATTATATCTTGCACTGTCCATTATATAATGATGCAAGAAAAAGATTTTTGGTACCTATAATGACAGGGTCCCCTGGCCAGAACCCCCTTGACATGATGTTATATCTCCTTGCAGACACAGATAAGTATGTGACCTGGCGGATAGCACTTTTTGCAACTGCTACTAGGAAAATTAGAGCAAATTATATAGCCAAGGTAGCCATTAATTGCAAAGGAGATGAATTTATTTGATCCCATCTATCTACCTCAGGCTATGCTCTATCTTTGTCACCAAACTCTGAGTATAAATTGCACATTGTATTAATTGATATTGTTTTTAACATTAGTGACCATGTGATATTTTAGCTTATGAATTTTATTGTTTAATGTTTTTATTGGTACATTGGGGTACTTTTATAGCTTTGTTTAGAATACGTAATGTTTTAATAATATAAATGTATTAAGTCTTTTTTTACCAATTCAGTATATTTTCTTCTAATTGTCAAATAATTCTGTGTACATTGCGGCAGCCTTTGGCTATGTGCAATAAAACTGACAGAGACAGCAATCTCCTGCTAACAATTTGTTCCATTAGGGACACAATGATCCTACCATGCTTGCATTTCCTCTAGATGACACTGATTGGGAACAACCTGCAGATTTTTCCAGGCTATTTGAAGCATCTTGGCAGTTTGAAAGTCCTTCAGGGGCAGTTTTAGAATGCCCCATGTGTAAAATGGTGCATTATAGTGGAAATTGTCCTAGAAATATCCTAGCTCAACTGAAACTTCATTCAGGAAGGGAAAAGAATATATATATATATATATATATATATATATATATATATATATATATTTGCATGTATCATATTTCCTCACGGAGGTCTTTATTATAGGCTGTTAACAATACTTCGCATTTATAAAAAGTTCCATGTTCATAGACCAGTAGATTCTGCATGCATTTGTGTGTTGGGGAAAATTTGTGTAGACTTTTGCAGCACTGAACGTACCTGTAGCAAAGAAAAATAGAGACCCAAAAGGCATTGTTTGCTGTGGGTTTTTGGGCATGCTGATGGTAATCCCCAAAATAGGTACTATGTTGATGAGCTCTAAGGCAAAAAGCAACCAACAGACTTTCCAAACCAAAATGTGCAGTCGCTTATTAGTTGCTGTAAATATTTTTTCCCCCATGTAACATTTCTTTGGTCAGGAAATTACTGTAACTTTTGAGTTACAGGCCAATGTATGCTACTGGAAAGATTTGTTTCCCTCATCTTTTGAGACCCAGTAGAGCCCAGCTTATTTTAAATATTTGTGGGATTTTCTCTCTCTCTTGATGTCAAGTGAAACTTCAACAACAACATCAACATATTTATTAAGTCAAAAGTAAGAATAAGTGTGCAAGAAAGGAAAGTTTACATGATGTGCAGCCCATTCCTGTGCATGTTTATTTGGATTCAATGGGTTCAATGGGATTTACTCCAAGTAAGTGTGCTGGGGGGGGCAACTATTCCAAAGATGTGTATGTGAATAAAGGTTTAGTTTGGTTTTAGATTGTAAAATGGTTGCTTTTGCTTTAGACATTCTTCTACATAGGACAGTCAAAAGTTCATAGGAGAAAGGAAAAACTGTTCTGAAATCAGGTTCAGTGAAGATGGTTAAATTACTACAGTATTTCATCTGTTGTCAAAAGGTTACTATATACTGATAGAGTCTTGTTTTTTGGTTGTTTTAATTAACTCCTTTTCAGTTAAAATTTGTACACTAATTTTGCAGACATTTCATGACTCTGATTTGGCAAATGTTCAATCTTAACATCTAAGACTTCCCTTTCTTTCTTTCTTTTTTACAAAATTCTAATTAGAAGTATCGTTGTGTAGTTTTAATAGAAACAAAAAATGAAAGTTCACAAGAGACTAATGTGCACAGGAGAGTCAGAGTTTCAGCCTATGAACCTGGCAATTAAGGAGAAATAGAAACATAATCAAGATTTGACTCTCCTCCTGTTGGCTAAAAGGTTAAGAGCAAAAATACTATAAAGCTAGTAAGTTAAAAAATGGAAGAGTTGCAGGAGAGAGAAAGGACCAAAACATTAAGATGAAGGATCAGAGAACCCAACTGGGACATTACAGCAGAAAGGAGCCAGGAAAAGACCACAAAGGGACCCAAAAGCTGAACCCATAAGAAACAGTGTAGAACAGTTTTGTATGCGTTTCTCTGTTTATTTATATATATATTCTAAAAGCATGTTTTCTGAAACTGCCTCTAAGTGTTGCCTCACTAAGACACTAAGTAAAAGCATAGCTTATTTTAGGGAGGGTTCCCTGAAGGCTTCACACCTGTGTGCCTGTGCTATATTACTCCACCGGGTATTGATAGACAGAGTCTGCTTAGTGGATGTAAAGAGGAGGGAGAATACATCAAATTTGTGGCAGCGGTGAGGACGATGGGTTGGTTTGGCTATTTTTGCTTGCTTCCCTTCCCTCTCATAGTGTAGACCACAACAGCCCATGGTGCCACTATGTCTGAAGTGTGACTTCTGGGCCACTATATGACTAGGGAAGGAAGACTCAAGAATTGAATCTACATCTGTGAAACAAGTCTTCCATTGTCCCTCTTCTCTGATCTGAGCTTTTTAATAGCTGTGTGTGTTCACATTTGATATCTGGAAGGGGAGAAACGGGCAGGAGAATCCTCACTGTATTCTGCAGGGCTGTAAGTGTTGAATATATCACCAGTTTGGAAACAGTCCAAAGCTCAGGGAAATCTCAGAGAAGGGGAGGGCCTTTATGATACGGATGTTATTTTATTTACATTTTATTGATCCAGAGTTTCTGAAGGAAAATTAAATGAAACTGCCCTCAGTCACAGTCTGTTAAACATATCAAAGTTTTACTAGAAAATCATTTATATGGCTATTCCCATGATAATCTTGATCATACAACCTTGCCCTCATCACTGCAACATTTTAATCATGTCTAGTCAGAAGTAAGTCCCATTGCATTCAAGTAGGTTTCCTCCCAGGTTACTGGATATGGGATTGCCACCACAACCAAATTATTTTGTAGAGATGGATATTTAAAGCCAAGTCATACGTTACTTTCCCCCATGCAGAGGTTCATAAATATGGTTTCCGCCTGGTGGCCTCTGCACAGTTGGGACTTATTTGAACTTGGACTTACAGCAGCAATAAGCCAAGCACAGAAATGCTATATGTCTGTGTTGGTGGGACTCCCACACTAAACTCAACACATAAATGTCGTATTCCACTAGACATAGTGCTGTCATGAGGAAGCAGTGATTAGCAGCCTCCACACTGAATGGGTGATGTATGATTCAAGTCATCTGATTTCTTTCAGTTCTGTTAACATTTGCTACTATGCTGACTACTTGGTTGAAAATGAGATGGATGATTGTGTTGTTTTACACCATATTGCTTTCCTTCTGTCTGCCCATCTGCTTTTTTCCAGCTGACTCACTGCTGCCCTTTGTGAGGCCTGTAAAAACCCCACATCTATAACCTGTGCTAATGAAAGCCCTTCTTTTCCGGGGAGTTGCTATTCCTTGTGAAAAACACTTTTGCAAACATTCCTACAGATAGCAAAACCCAATTTAGGGTATGTCTTAGTGAAGTTGCATAGGTCTGATCCATGTCTTTAGTGGAGGATTTGCTGAGCAGTTGCTGCCACTGCATGCTATTTCTAAAAAATTGCAAAGATTAGAAGGTAGTTTTGGTTTGCTCCAAGAAAGGTACTACCAGGGGGAGGGAACAGCTTAGCAAACCTCAGAGTGTGTGTGTGTTCCCATGAATGCAAACCATTTGTTGGGGGTTTGCTCAGTATATGCAGTGGTTTTGAAAGTGAGCATTGGCAATTGCATTAGGTGACTTCAAGACATTTGTATTGGAGTTGCCAACCTTTTGGGACATGTGGGAGCAATTGGGAGTGTGCCATGCAGTGGCATGCAGTAAAGTTTTTTGTAGGGGAACAGTTAGGGCCAAAGGTATCAGCTTATGAGGGCGATTGGGAAGGGTGATGTTGTGTGTGTGTGTGTGTGTGTGTGTGTGTGTGCATCGTGCCTCCCTTTCTAGGCCAGGCGGAAGCTTCCCGGGCCAGCTTTAATAATTTAATACTCTAATTTACCAGGACATTTAGGGGACTAGCCTAGTCCCCCTAGTCCACTGACCACATGCCACTGGTTCCATGTACACCATCTCCTCTGGTTATGTCTCTCTCTTCCATTCCTGGGTCACTCTCCCCCAGGCAGACATAAAGAGGGAAAGCACACACACACACACACACACACACACACCCTACATCATTTGCTTTTCAAAAGGGTTTGAGTAAAAAGACTGATCCGGTGGAATTAAAATAGATCCTCTTCCTTTTGCATGATTTTACATTGAGTCAACCTCCCCACCCTAACACCATCACATAAATGCTTAAATTAGTAGACTGCACAGTAAAAATCGCAGTGCTTTCCAGGGTTGCTATGGCACAAATGCATCTATCCAAGGCACAGATCCTCCCGAATTATCCAGGGCTCTTAAACAGGATGACAACAAAACCGCCACTAAATGACAGGACACATGAATGGACAGAGATTTAAAGATGGTTCTGAGGGGATCAGTCTTAAAAATTATGGTGATCTGCATGGATTCTTTTGCTTTGGATCCATGTTTTTTTACCATGGCAGTTTTGGAAAGCACCAGATGCATTATTTTTATGGTTCAGCCAACAAGATAAGTGGTTTGCATGGTGGAGACCCCAAGAGGAGGGAATCTGTTTTGATGAATCTGATGTAAATGTGTGTGTGGGAGAGAGAGAGAGAGACCATGACTGATCACTTTTCCCTGCCATTCTCTCTTCCCTGACTCCTGCAGCATCTCACTTTATCCCCCTGCCACTGTCTGCCTCCCCAGTCTCTCAGATCAGTTACCTCTTCCTCCTACAACCTTGGTCATTCCAATCAGAGCTGAAAGAGGAAGTGGGAAGTAGCTTTTCACTTCCAGTCTCCCTCCCTTAGCACTACGTACTTTGGGGGACGGGAAATAAGGGCACAGTGAGTGGAGGCAGCACTAACTTTCACAGGTGATGTATTGTGCTTTCAGGCACCACATTGGTGATCCCAGCTTTAAAAGCACCAGTTGAAGGATTATGATCTAGAGCCCTATTTTAGCATTGAATTTAGGGCCAAGAAAATAGCATGGTAGATTTTTGCAACAATGTTTTTAATGCAACAGTCTCAACCATGAGATAATGGTTGATTGTCTGAGACTTACATCAAGGCTCAGCTAACGAGGCCTTTTCATCAGACCCAGGCAGTATTTGTCACAAGATAAGTCGCAAGTGCTACATGATGGTTGTGCAAATCTACCCTTGTCTCCATCAGGATATGAAAGAAATCCTGATTCCCAACATAACAACATGTTGCCCATTGCAAAGTACAGATAAACACCAAAAAGATTCATTTTGTCTTTCTTTAGTGGTAAAGTACATTAACTAAGGCCCATTTGGCAAATATCCAAAATAAGACCTGTGACACAGTCATTTATAGCATGTGTGGATACATCTCAAAAACAAGCCTCCTCAACGATAAACTCAGTTTCACTTATGTTTTCACCATTGTCACCATCTGTCTCGGGACTGGGTGGCAAATATGCAGGCTTGTAAAGAAATGAATCTGTTTTCCTAGTCTTTTGAGGGGGCAGGATTATGATTTCTCTAAAGACACTGTGGATGCATTAATATTTATTACAACAAATAAATTACCATTGCAATCTAATAATATTTTATCCCTTTCTACTGGACTTGAAGGAACAGATGTGAATTATTTATCCCCCAAATAGAAGGTTGCAGTGGACACTTGCCAGACCATTCTGCTTTATCTGCCGTCTGCAAAAGATACTAATGTGATGTCAGAATAGGCACTTTGACCACTGCTGCCATCTCCAGAGGAGGAATAAATACAGATATACACAGAGGCAACTTATTTAGGCATTAGCATGCCTGAATAATTTACATGTTTTCTGATAAACTAATTGTGCAATCTTGTAAATAGAGGAGTAAATCACATTGGAAACTACCAGTGTGACTTCCAGATAATCATGCATATGACGGGTCTGTAAGAAATTTTAAAATCATGCCTCCATGAAAGAAGTAACTGTAAGCTTTTGATGTTTCACATCAATGGGATTATGCCTCTGCACTTTCAGATTTGCTCCTGAAGAAACATAGTTAAGAACCCTAACTGGTGGTGATGTTCTTAAAAGATCAAAAGCAACTTTTCAGTGTGTTTGATGAATCAGTTTAGGATTAGAACATCTATGGTCATTCAGTCAATAAGGTTTATTTATTCAATCCCATGCCAATACTATCAGACATTAGAAGCTGCACAACACTTTTAGTGACCTTTTAGGTTCTGCCAAAATAAAATGCCCAGTAGAAAGGACATCAATTGGCATGGGGTTTGGAGACTATAATAAAGCCACGAGCAACTTTTAGATCAATCTGGTCACCACCACAGATTCAGCAAAGCTAAATAGGAGTGTGTCATGAATAAGGGGGACAAGATTGCATTGTACTGCTAGTTTGCATACATTGCAAACCATCCTTCTGGAACCTCTCTTCTGTGCTCAAGTCTTTACAGACTTACAACATCCTAAAACAGATGCCCACCTCCAGGCTTCTTTTGTGATGGTACTCACCTATACAGAGTACCAACACCACTTTTCTTGCTGCCCATAGCATCTATTTTATGTGGGCACCCATGGAATGTTTGTCAATATACAAGAACCATCATGCCATTTTTTATGCCCCCCCCCCCCCCCCCCGCAAAGCACTGCACACCCCTTTCCCCATATGAACCTGCCTGGACCCAGAGATTGACTTTGGATGCCCTTCTCTGCATGCTGCTTTCAAGGGGGGTCTGGAGGGTGGCGATGAGAGAATGTATATTTTCAGTGGTAACTCCCTAATTATGAAATGCTTTTCCAAGGGAGGCCCACCGGGTCCCAACTTGGTCATTGTTTCAGTGCCAGACATTTTTTTGTTTGCTTGTTTTCCTGGGCCCTTGATGGGATGCTTTTATTCTCACTATGTTTTTCATATGTTTATGCTTTTATATTATTGCTATGTTGCTGTATTTTATTCATCTTGTAAATCTTTTGGGGATCTTGTTGTGGCGAGTAATTCACAAATTCAGTAACCTAACCATTCTGCTGAAGAATCTCCCAGAATTCTAGTACTCAGGCCATCCAGAGCAACTGATTAGAAGTAAAAAAAGAATCACTTTATGCTATGAAATTCATTGCCACAGAACATTAAAACTAACAAGTAGTTAGTAGTGATGGCTTCCTTGAGTACCTGACAGAAGTAATCAGGAAGATGGCATATAAATTCACTGGTTCCAAAGCAGTCTACTGGAACAAAGAAACAATGCAGTTGCTCCCTTGGAAAATATAAGGTCTAACCATGTCCATCTAGGCTGTCTTTAGCACTTACTGGAATTCACAGGTTCCTTGTAAAGCCTGGGATAATTTTTCAAAGAGCATAGATCCATTTCCTTTCATCTGTTGCTCACAGAACCAGTGTGGCAGCCTGATGTGACACAATAATCACAACCAGTTAAAACATGGAGGCTGCAAATTATTGGTTTACAGCCTCCAACAAATGTGTAATTTATACATTCCAGTCAGGTGGGCTGCTCATAAACAAGAAGAGCAATGGTATATAGATAAATTGTTATAATCTGTGACTGGCACGCTGATGAAAACTTGCTCTCTATATAGTCATTACCCTGTAGATTCTGTACTTTGTTTGCATTCTCCAGAATCAATCACTTCCATTTTAATAAACTATTAAGGGCGGGGGAGGTTAGCCAATGTAATATGCATGAAAGCATTTTTAAAAGGAAAATGCCTATCACTTCTGAGAATGTCAGCAATGAATGCAATCTCCTCCTTTTCAGTTGACTTCATAGGTGGATTTGACTCTTACGGCTATCAAGGCCCACAGAAGACATCTCATTTACAGCTACAGCCCATGTATATGTGAGTACCTAGCTTTCAAGTTACTCTATCAACTGCTAGATGTGTATTAATGATTAAAAAGTAGCACTTTTTAGGGAATGTCCAAGAACTCCTTTAAAAGTACATCTGCTTGATATGCATTTCTTACATTACAATGCTGTTGTATGAGTAGGGAATCTCAGGTTTGCATTTTTACCACATGGATTGGTCTGAATGCTCTGAATGCCATTTCCAGCAACAGCCAAGCATATTCACTGCTTGCATGGAGAGTCCATGAAATTTTACCATCTACATCATCTTTCAAACAACTATTCCTGTGGATCTTTCTCTCCCAGCAGCTTCTTTGTTGATGAAAGTACATTAGCCCTAATTTACCTCTGGGTGAACGCCACAAATAGTGATCCTATTATTATGCTCAGCTGTCAGACTATTTGTGAAACATGGCAGCTTTCTCAAAATTCAGTTTCTCATCTGTGTGTGCCCAAAGAAATGCTTTTTCACTTTTGTCACAGTGTTCTACACTTACAAAATGTTATTTCTTCCTGTCACTGTTTGTGGCTCCCAGGTACTCAGAACAATTCAAATCCCATTTCTTCCTTCATATAGTATACCTTGCCATCAACATATGGAGCCTTCTAGCTGAGATATTATCCCATTCTCTTTATGTCCTCTGCTTTGAGAGTAGCTGATTGCATTTACAGAGTTTACAAACACTGGCTGGGAAGAAAGCTGAAGCTGTAGGGCAAAGAAGTCAATATAAATTTTGAAGCTTGTAGTTGAGAACAAGGAAACACAGGAGGAACATCTGAAACTCAGTGCAGGTTTGTTGCCATTTTGCTCCAGTACTGCTCACTGACATGTAGGAGATATTGGCTATATGCAGAAGACAACAGAGCTGTTGATATTTCTAGTAAAGCGACAAAGGACACAATGGCTGCATTTGGATGTCATGATAAATTTGTCCAAATTTATCATATTAGGCATGAGAATTATCCATGTTGGGAAAGAGAATAGGAGAGACTTGCATTTGCTTGCTCTCCTTTCCCCTAACCCACATCAGTAAGACTGCAAGGAGTTCAGAAGCTGTTAGAGAGAACTGTTGTGCTTATGTCCTGCTTGCAGGCTTCCCATAGGGATCTGGCTGGCAAATGTGAGAACGGGATGCTGGACTAGAGACCAGCAGAACCTTTCTTCCACTCATAAGCTTTTGCTACTTCTTTTTTATTATTAAGTGCAGCTTGTCACATCATCCGAGCCCAATAAACTGTGGTTAACTGTAACCATGTCTTTTGAAACAAGCCAACATCAAACCATGGTTTATGAAGCTGACTTTTTTTCAACAAACCACAGTTTGGGCTGTGTCATCCTAAAGCTTCCAATCTCCTTCTCATGGCCATGTCAGCGAGCATGTAAGCCCAAGGTTCACCTAGACTCACAATAGTCAGCCACTGTCATAATCCAATAAAACCCTTAAGACCAAATTTATACAGATATTTGTATTTAAATATATAAAATACTAATTAAATGTTTTGTGTTGAAATATTTATTTAAATACATTTTATTCTAGCTCAAGATATGCAGTTCTACACATATTTTATCCTAAAGCACATTTTATGCATTTTGGTATAATTTTTTTATTATTATTTTTTGAGCCAAAGGCCATATAGCAAAACTGGAAAAAGTACTAAATTGAAAGTATAATTATAGGTTTGTTCATGTGCTACCCTGAGAGGTGCGAATTAGGTCACTTTGCTTTAAAATGCAGAGCAAACAAAGTTCTCCTTGTAGGGGATATAACAGGAAAGCAGTAAGCATTTTAAAGATCATTTCTGAAGGGCTTGGGAGTTGTTTTCTACCCTTCTTGGGGATTTTCAGGATTCTGAACCAGCTGTCATAATCAGCCAAATTTCAAGCAAAATTATGTATGTGTTGATGCATGATCAACTAGCATTCTTCCTTATGCCCAATACATTGCTCCGTGGCATTCTACCATGATAGAGCCTGCTTTCATCTAATTGCACTGAAATACTCTTGACTTGTCAATGAAAGCAACAATATGGAACCACTAGTGCAAAAGATAACTGAACCCCCCGTAGAAACTTTGCAACGTTGGATTATTAAAAATGTGTGCCACCAAATATTTGAATTGTAGAATAAGCAAGTACATGACGTCAATATTTTTGGTAGTCTAGGAAATAATTTGAAGGAGAGAGACGCTCAAATAGACAATAGAAAGCCAGACTCTTTCGGTACTTCACTATAGAAACATTGGTTTAAAGAGAGAGAAAGAGAGAGAGGGCCGATGACAGTATGTAATATGAAATGCATAATGTGTTGGAAAAATTGCTCAAGAACAGCTCGCCATTACAGAAGAATTTTCCTGTCATTCTCTGAGGACTTTCAGCCATGAAATGATCTGCCTTCTATACAGAGCCAGTGTCATGAAGGCATGCAGTTTGCTTTATGAAGCAGAATTCCTGTGACTAGTGAGATTCTCAAATCTTATGGCCTGATTAAAACTCATTAGGATTTACTCATTAGGGTCATTTCCCCCCTTCATGTCATTGCTATAATCCGGACATTTACATTAAATCCAATGTTTCTCTTGATGTATTTGTTTCCCAAACAAAAGAACTCCTCTACATCTGAAGCCTGCTGCAGGGCATGGCATCCTTCCTTAATTATGTCATTTGCATTTTCCTCTTCTTCCAGAGGAGAAATGCCAGGGTGCCATGCTGTTGTTTCATTTATAGTACACCAAATCCTTTGGCAACCCCAATGCTGTCATATTTACCTTTGCATAGCTCCATTTAAATGGATAGCCATTCTGATCCAGGCAATGAACAGGGCTAATCTGACAGGGTGACGGGGAGAAGGTAGACCTGAAGCAACACTCACACTGATCACCTGTGAGGGAGAAAAATGCTATAGTGAGGGGGGCTGCTACAGCCCAGCTCTTCTCTCCTCACACTTGACAGATGTGTGAGGCTGTCAACCTCCCTGTGATCTTCGGATGAAGGCCAGTATATATTATTATTATTATTATCATCACGGCTAGTCACCTATTAAGATAGGAGTATGGAGGGGAAAGGTGGGGCCCAGACTCATACTTGGCATTCTCTCTCTGCTCTCTAACCTGTGATTGTTGGTGCCATTGTCTGAAGGAGATTAGGTGTTTCTTAGAGTATACACATGATTTCCATGAACATCACCTTAAAAGTGTTTGATGAGTTGTGAACTATATATGCCAATGGGCATTGACATCTAAACCTCTCCTGTACGTATATTATTTTGAAAATTCAACAAAAAATAATCCCCTCAAAAAAGTGTTTGATGGGTATACAAACCTTTGTGCTGATTATATATATATTTCTTTCTCTTTCTTTTAGGTCAAAGTAGACAAAACAAAGTCTGTGGTTGGGGTCGAAGGACTAGTCAAAGAACTTATTCCAGCACGGCCTCCTGTGGGTGCAAAAGAAGGAAGAAGTCTTAACTTTTCTGTTTCAAAATATAATACTAGAAGAATGCTGGGACACGGAGACCTCACTTTCTCACAAGTACAGACTGCAGTGCACAAGATCCTTTCTCTCCCATCTTGGATTTTCCAAATTCTTATACAGAAAGTTCAGAAGGAGAAGCGGTGGCACCATCTTCTGGTCACTGCCTGCCTTCTCTTCTCTTCCCTTTGCTCCTGCCTCTGAATTATGAAACAATATCTCATCCATTTTGGTTCTGTCTGGAGCCGTGTCCTCTTAGTCAATAAACACTAACGATACCATGATGACCTTGAAACAGAAGTCAATAGACAGCAAGTTGTTTGCCCTAAAGGCTGTATAATACATACTTGCCTTAACCTATCCTAAGTTACACATCAGAGAAATTCGGTGTGGACTTTCTGAAGTAACTTCCTTTAGGCTCAACCATGCTGTTCATTAATTGTTAAAGATTTCTAAGGCTGTGTCAGGTAATAGACTCTGCTCCCCAGTAGTTCCAGAGTTGGCTGTGTAAGAAAACCACCCGCTGGCAGTCAGAAGAGGTGCTTTAAGTCTCCAGAAGGGCTGGGATGCAAATACACTTTAAAATACTTCTAAGAGAACTGGGCTCTTTGGGGAGCTGGAAAATGCTGAGGGGAAAAGGAACATTTACTAAAGTAATAACTGTAAAGAAACAACAAAAACAGTGCTCCTTAACCCCACTGTTTTTATTTACTGCACTCTAGGTGCTTTTATAAATGACTCTAAATATGTCTTTTACTAATGACAGAGACGTCTGCATTATTTCTATCAGCAGAGGCCAACTGAATATGTATTAACTATGTTTACTCTTTTATAACTTAATTCCAGTTGAAAATCCTATGTAGGTGAGCTTTTTTAAAAAAAGAAAAACCTGCAGCATATAAGATATTTCTTTCTGGGTTTTGTTTTGTTTTTTTAGTTGGGGTGGGAGTAGTTGCGTTGGTAACATTTTTGAGGACCTTTTTGTGATATTTGGGGGATCTGTTGTGTGTTAGAATGTGTATCTTAACTTTCTGTATTATCGTGGCTGAAAAAAAAAGCTGTGCTGTTATGTAGTTGGCAACAAGATGCCTTTGGAAACTTTGCTAGTAGATCAATGTCTTTATGAAATACCCTTGGAGTCCTAGAAACGTCTGTTTGTTCTGAATTTGAGCTGTATATTCAGCCACTTCATTGGCTTTTCAATGGGAAGAGATATTTTGCTCAGGATTTTTTGGAACCGGAATTGCCCTCATTTCTTTATTTAAAACTTACATGGGTATTCCAGCTGTAGGCACTTGATGGGGGAGAGGTTCTTCTACAAATTAGCAAATTGCCCATCAAGTCGTCTTCAGGCAACGTTTTTCTACACTTGCCAAATGTTTGCATTCTGTGTGGCCTATAAAAACCATCATTCCCCATGACAACTTTCAAAGTCTGTTCCTATAGAAACACCAGTCCAACTCACTCCACCTCACATTTTTGTATCTTTCAATGGATGTAACATGTCACAGACAAAAATAAATCTGGATGCGTACAGGACAGACATGCACTATAAACATAATCAGATTCCAGCAACTAACGTGAAATGGGTGTAACCAAACTGTACTATGAGGAAATCTGCATAGTATAGTGGATAATACATGTAAATTTCAAAACTGTATTCCTGCAAGATCAAGCATCCTACTCTTAAGCAGTTGCATAATTGTATCTACACTGCACTGGTGCAGATTTTCAAGGTGCTCTATAATTCTTGTTGGCTTGTTCGCCATTTTAGGCTCGGACCAGAAGTCACTGTAAACCTAACATTCACTCACTATCAGTGGAATTAGTCTGGGATATGATGCATGAAGTATTGCATCCTTAACCTTACTTTTCACATAGGTGTGTTAAGGAGCGTGGACCGTGTTACATAGTGAAGCAGCAGCACTGACCAAGCAGCAACTCACTGACATTCTATCTCCACTTATGGGGATAAACACAGCATATCAGCAAACTTATATATGTATTCTGGCTCTGGAGTAGAGTTTTGATCTCCTGAATGCATATCCATAGCTCAGACTCCTGGTCTATTAAAAAATGATGACTATACTTAACTACACAATTTTTGGAGAATCCATTGCTTTATATAGGTTCGATCTTGCTAAACACCATAACGGCCTAATTACTTTAAAAATAATTGTGTTTATTTTTACTGTTTATATAATCATATATATATGGGAGTGTACCAACACCAAGCTTCCTCAAATTCCCTATCAGGAAATGTTTGTGAAGTTTGTGGTTCAGTTCAGTGTTAGCAAATATAAGCAAGCTAGCCAGCCAGCCAGCCAGTGCTATTTCATCGGCCTATAGGATGAAGGCACTTCTCTACCTTTGCTTCCCATGCCTGCACCGGTATCTACTAGGAAACAGCCATCTTGCTGCAAATAAATGGCATACTTTCCTAGAATGTATCCTGCTACCCCCGCTGCCAAATATTGCTGTATGTTTTTAAAAACAACTGCATCCACTGTAGAAAAAAGCTGAATGAGAAGAGGGAAGTATGTCCCCTTATTTCCTGTGGGCTGTATCACCCCTAGTGCAAAAGCCTCCATGAAAGAAATAGAGTTTCTCGAGTTCGTGTGCAGGTTTACAAGGATCCAGACTTGCTCTTATAGCAGCACTGACACCGAGTGCCAGCTGCTTTTCAGAGTGCAGCGCAATAGTATGACTAGTGAGTGTCCAGAAAGGAGAAGTGCTTGTAGGAATGATGTCAGGTAAGGGAACCACTTTCTCTGCTTTAGTGTGGGCACTGTCCCAACGAGAGATGGGCTTTCACTATAAAAGGGACTCCCAACTGAGTTCTCCTCCTATAGGAATATATTTGGCTAGAACTTCTTTCCCTGAATTTGTCTAGGCGTATTGCAGGCTTCTTCCCTCTAGCAATGCCCCTGGGGAAATGGAGTTGAAAAACAGCGAGGCGTTTTATTTTGGTTTGGTTTTTTTGCAAGAGATCAGAGAAAAGAGAAAGCTACTCACATTTAAAATGGATTGGCATGCAGAGGAGCAGAGGCGCCTGGGGTTTCTGCTGCCTGGAGGTAAGACGAGAAAGTCGCTGAAGACCATGGTCTTCGAGAAGTGAGAAGGTTCTGCTATGACTGTAAGAGGAGAAAGAAAGTTAGAGTGCCTCTTCTCCTAGTGTAAGAGTAAGCAAAAACAGAGAATTTTGAGGCATTGCAATGAAAATTCTACACTTTCGATGCTGCCATACAAACACACACACACACACACACACACACACACACACACACTAATAGGCCTTCATACTTGCTTACATTGCAGCTAAATCACTACCACCAAAACAATTTCAAGACTGTTGACTACTACAGTGGATAAACTAATGGACACATCTGCTATGGAAAGAGTTTTAGAGCACAGTAGTGTGAGAATATCTGAAATGCTGTTGTTGAATTGTACAGCTGTATCCTCCTCAAAAATCCAGTGAAGAATGTTATTTTTCTAGACTGGGCTTTTTGTTGTTGTTATAAATCCAAATATTTAGAAGGCAAGTGTTAACAATCCAAATGTCCTTTTTTTCTTATAGTCATTTGTTAATTCTGAATGTATTTTTAACAGAAGGTGGATTTTTTTTTTGACTAACTAGTGTAATTTGCATTTTAAAAAAATAAATGGAAAAATATAGGTTTCCAAGTGTTTCATGGACTCCTGCTGCTTTTCACAAGTTTCATAGATTGCAGTAGATTCTCAGAAGAGCAAAAATACAAAAAGGAACAATCCTATTATATTTACATGAAGGCAATTTTGAGCTGTGCTCCACACAGATGTGTCAGCACTGAACAGAAATTGCCAGGTCATGACATCATTTTAACTCAGTCATAGGTAACTGGTATTTTCATTATCTACTGACACTAAAAGGCTACTTTTACAAGGCTGACTGTAATAGACTCTCTGTCATTTAGAATATGCCTTTTTTCTTTTGTTCTCTCATCAGTGAATGTAAGCATGTGATAGGTTTACAGCAGCCAACAATGTTAACTACTGCATTAAGTAATCCCTGTTAAGAGGGAGTAATATTCTATTTTAGTACTGAATCCTCATTCAGGTTTTAAAATACTCATCCCTTGCACAGTCCAAGGGGGGAATAGTAGAAAGTAGTTAAGAGATAGGCAAAAACCTAACCTAAGAAGTTTGCTGATGGGACCACAAACTACCCTTGGACTAATATCCCAATTTATGCCAGTAAGTCTGAGGTCCAGAAGGAGGCGTGGTCAGATGGCCATCCTTGATCTCTTGACAAAGTAGCAGTGCATCCTGCCAGCATAGTAATACAAAGCTACCCAAGTACTTATGGCCTAAATATGTCAATACATGGGCAGGCGGTAGGAAAAGCTGGCAAATATACCGTATGTTCCAACTGCCCCTGTTTACCATATGTTCTGGTTCCTTTCTCTGGAAAAATCACTCTATTTTGTCCCTATGTTTTATCTTTTTGTGCATTGCTATCATTGCCATTCTTCTCAAGGTCTCTAGAAGGTAAATTGCGAAGGAATGGCTGCTTCTTGTCCCTAGCAAATATGCATGTCTGTGAGCAATAAGGCAGCATGAAGTGCACAGCCTCCCATTTCACACACGGCACCTGTTGGGATCAATTTTAAACCACTGATGATATATTGTGGGACTTTTCTGTTTTCCTAGTATATATTTAATCCCAAGGATGACCACCCTCCTGATTTTAAATCAGACACTGCAAAATAAATAAATATTGTGTGCAACAGATGGATTAAAAAGCATTATATGATGGAGGGATCTCAGGCTTCAATGTGATAACAGGGATGCTAAAAAACAATTTCCTGCCTCCATCCATGTTCCATACACACTTTGTCTACACAGGAGGTTCTCTTATCTTGGCTGCCTGTTGGCAGCCTCAGAGCAAGCAAGCAGGCAGGCAATGGAGCCCAGCCAGCCAGTCCTTGCTGTTGGGAATGGACAGACAAGTGGGAGGCCAGGTGGGCAGGCAGGCACTATGAGCCTTACTGCCATGCAGGCCCAGCAGCACCTGCTGTTGCCACTGCTGCCTCCCAAGGTAAGGTGCTGGCCTCACATTCACCTTGGGCCACTAAGGCTGGGGGCATCCTTATTCCAGGCCCCTGTGGGGCAGTGTGAGGAGGCACTTCTCTTTGGGGCAGGAGGAGAGGCAGCTCATAGACCAGGGGTAGCAGCAGCTGCCCGGAGGACTCCCAAGGAGAGAAGAGAGGGAAGAGGAGGCTGAGGGTGTTCGAAAAAGGGTGAGGGGCTGCCTGAGCCACAGTGGCACCACAGGAATAATATAGTTGGTCAAGGGAGCCGTGGACTCAAAAATGTTGAAAAAGCTCTGTCCTAAGACTTCCAAACTGGATCTCATCACTTAATCTGAAACTCCTGTTTTTAAATCTTACTACAAACCAAAGCCCCTTCCTTCTTATTCATGTGGGTATCAACAATACTGCCAGACACTGCCTTGAATGTACAACAAGGGACCATGAGACTCCGGGTAGAAAGTTGGGGCACAGGTGGTTTTTTTCATCACTCTTTCCTGTTGAAGGTCATGGCCCCGGAAGTATTGTCAGGAAGGTGTTGTCAGGAATGATTTGGCTATAGTGGTTGGCAGGAACGTGTTAAGAGTCTTACAAACCTGGGAGAGGTAGTCAATGCAGAAGACAGAATCAGGATTCAAGATGACCTTAACTGACTGTGGGCCAAAACTAACAAAATTATTTTCAATAGGGACAAATATAAGATTCTACACTTAGGTGGGAAGAACCAACTGCACAAATATAAGATGGAGGATACCTGGTTTGCTAGTAGTACAGCATGTGGAAGTTTTGGTAGACCACAAACTTAACATGAGTCAACAGTGTGATGCAGCAGCAAAAAAGCTAATGTTATTCTAGGCTGCATCAACAAAAGTATAGTGTCATGGGAAGTCATAGTACTGCTCTATTCTGCTTCTGACAGACCGCACTCAAGAGTACTATGTCCAAGCTGGAATATGTGCAGAGGGGGGCAACCAAGATATTCAAGGGTCTGGAAACCAAGGGAGAGAATTATGTTGTTTAATCTGGTAAAGAGGAGACTGAGAAGAGATATGATAGGCTAGCCATCTTCAAATATCTAAAGGGCTGTCTTATGGAAGATGCAGACAGCTTGTTTTCTCCTGCTCCAGAGGTTAGGACCCAAACCAATGGCTTTAAGCTACAAGAAAGGAGATGCCAACTTTCTGATGACAAGAGCTATTTGACAGTGAAGGACTCCCTTCAATGGAGGTTTATAAGCAAAGGTTGGATGGCTGTCATGGATGCTTTTACCGAGCTTCCTGCATGGCAGGAGGTTGGGCTAAATGACTCTCAGCACCCCTTCCAACTCTATGATTCCATGATTTTAATAGCTGAATTCAAATTATAAAAATCATTCTAAATCCTAACCTCTACAATCAAGCAAACCTCCACCTAATTTTTCCAATAAAACTAGACAATGCTGACCTTCAGTACAACATCAAAACAGAGAAAGCAAATGTATATTTAATACACTGCAGAATTTATCATAGCTGCAACAAAAGCCTTCAGCGCCAGTTGACTAAACTGATTTGATGTTTTGGAATTTCAAGCAAAACTCAGTCCTGCACAGCTTGTGACTTTTCCAATTGAATGGTACTCACCTGCCATGTTTGGTGGCTTTCAAGGTGCTTGAGAAAGCAGCTTTTCTTGCCAAAATATGGCAGTTGTAAAGCACTTGGTCTTGGACTGAAGCCCACATGAAGCTTAAAGACAGGAGGAGCTGTGGGGCAGCAGACCTGAAATACTGAGTTGAAAAAGGATCCAGGTAACAGGGAAATTAACAGGAAGCCTGGAGGCAGGGTGTCTCAGGAAGTGAGCCAAGGCAGTGATGAACTTCAGGTTCCAGTTGCTAAGAAACAGGAATCTGAGGGCTAAACTTCACGCCTCCCTGGCTGCTATCTGCAGTAAACAGTACCTTTTGGAGGCAAATAACGAAGGAGGGTGGAATAAAAATAGGCGACTTAAGCACACTATTCTAGAAACATGAGCAACATCACACACAGCTGGGCCATTTGAGAGAGCAAGGTGGAAGAGGTTGAGACCTAAGAAAACACTACCATGATGTTTGTTTCTTTATGAGTTGACAGATTTCAAATACTCTTATAAATAAAATAAAGACAGGAATGGAAAAGACGATGAACTGAGGAAAGAAGGGCCAATCAGGGGGAAGTGTAGAAAAAACTCACAAGAGATCTAAGGTCAGGGGAAGTGGTACATTTTAGGCAGGCAGAGAAATGTGGCAGGTAACTAGAGTCCTGGGTAATAAAGGATGCTAGCCTAGACATTTCTCTGATAACTAGTCTTCCATGTTCATAATTTCATCGTTGCATGACAGAGCATTTAGCCATGTGGACCCTTCTCAGCCCAAACCAGGTTTATGGCCTTAGTGAAAACTAGGCATCAAGGTCTGTATTGAGAAAGTATAATCTTTATAATAATGTAGGGGTTGACAACCTTTCTGGGGCTGTGTGCACATTTGCTAACTGGAGAAACTGTCATGGGTATAACCAATGTCAATGGCAACAATAGAAGGCTTCTTTTCAGCCTTATTACAGCAGGCAGAAAGGGCGAATCCTGCCATAAAGAAACATTTATATCAAAAAGGAAAGAAGCAGGGAGATCAATTTCCCAAACTGAACAACACAATTCATAATCATGGGAAGCAAAATAAACCTCAGACTTGGCTGCTAGGCTCTTTCTGTAGGTTAGGAAAACAACAAGCTTTCTACATCATTCTGTCTGCACGCTCTTGCTAAATTCCAACTTATTAGGGGCCAGGAAAAAATGTTGGCAGCCTGATTTCTGACTCTTAACCCAGGAGTGCACTTCCTTCTGTCAGCTCACTTCAGAATCCTAAACACTAAAAACTGGGGAAAACGGCAATATAGCCAACAGTGCTTTTTAGTTACATAATTGAATCCCACACTATCTGACATAAAAGAAATTATACACATGTGTACTTTCAGATTAATGCATTCCATACTTCATTTTACCCTGATGTGCTTTTATACTGGTAACTCTGACGGTGCCGCACACACCAAAAAGTCTGCAAATTGATGCTGTCACCAAAAGATGATAGACTGATTCAATTAACCAATAAGTCATTTTAAGAGTGCTGCTGGGAGCTACTTACTAAGGCCATACACAGCTTAGTCTCTCTTCAAGAGTTTGCATTCTGTCATTCTGCTTCATTATTCTTACAGTTTCATTAATAAACCTTTGGAAAACATCCTCTTCTCAGAGGATAGCAGAGTCTGTGCAAATCTGCTTCTCATTTGCTACAGTGTTGTTTTGCACCTTGCACGAAGCAGACGTTCTAGAAGAATATGCCCACTTCTGAGAACTTCCTCAGAATCTGACGCAACTTGAATCCAAGGCAAAACAAGCTAGTTCCCAAACTCCAGAACCACCTCAGAAGGGTATTTTATTTTTTTATGGCCCAATTTCATACACTTTTGTACCTCCCTCAAGCTATCTATGTGATTACATTTACTCCTTCATACTAATATATAAGATCTCTTTGTATAACGCAGTAGGAAAGAGTGCGAAATATAAACACCATGGA